CTCCCCACTTCCACTGCCCCCACTTCACTCTGACACGAATTCCCTCCCCGCCCCCAGCCAACCCCCATGCCCTTCCTGTTGCCTTCTCTCTCCATGTCTCTCTGTTAGATCCATATCTGACAGAGAGGGTCCTTGCCTATTAACATCCGGCAGTTTTCACCATTATTGGTTCAAGCAAGCCTATGCTGATGCAACACTGAATGTTGAAACCTGTTTGTAGTTTGTGTTGAACCAATGCTGCCGTGTGGCTGATGGGATGTTTGAGAAATACTTTTATATTTTACGTACAGGGGCAGATATTTTAAAGAGGTGAATCGTCTGCTTATGTATTCTGTTACATATTAACAACAACAATGGCAAATTCTGATTTTGTGGCCTGGGTCAGGTTTAGTCTGGACCAGGTATCACATCTGTCGATGGAAGTAGCATAGACTATCTCCAGGGCGCCACACGGAGCTGTGAAGCATTCATCTTGTTTACATTATTTAGCACGTGCAGTTTAACACGTGGCGCTGGAGTCTTGAGTTGGTAGCTTGTAATGCAAATGGCATTACGAGCTGTGACTTAACATGGAGTCTCGTATTTAAGTACTTTGTGAATTGTGCAATGGAATTAGTGTGTTCCCTGCGGTTGCCATGACTTGGATTTTACTTGTGTTCGTGCTCCACCAGTTGTGGTCTCTGAAATTACGTTTAGACGCGGCTTCTCTGAGCCATAGGTTGGGCATCGTTTTGGAGGTGTGGATTCTGTGCAGGGGAGCTCGGTCTACAATGTGATTCACGTTTGAAGGGGCAACCACTTTTCAGAGATTACCAGCAGCTACAAAAACATGAAAACTGGTAGAAAATTTAGGATTTTCAGTGATTGCTTTATATGGGAAACCGTCTTTTTACCAATACGTGAATCGGCCCAAGGTTTGTGTATGAACGGTTAGTTGTGTGTGGTTTATACAATGTTGTTTTGGCGAAACATCCCGATGCAGGACCCTCCTGAAAAATAGTCTCTGACTCAGTGTGGCTTTCCTGGGTAAATCAGTAATTATATTAATTATTGTGGTGGTTTGTACAAGGGTGGGGTGTGGTTTGTGTGTGGTGGAGTGCATAGTCTGTGGTTCGGAGTATTTTGTGTAGATTCAGGTTGTGGGTTTGTATGAGGGTGGCATGTGGTGTGTGTGGCTTGTAAGAGGGTTGTTAAACGATAACGGGTAAAACTGGTAATCGTTTTCAGAATCGGTTGCAAAATCCGAAAGTCAGGATCCGATAGCCATTCCAAATGGAGTTTCAGTACTAAATGGACCGATTGGGATGCGCGAACGTTCAATCGACACGGTCGCCTGAGTCACGGCGGTGTATTGTGTGTGCCCTCGTTTCACAGTTTAAAGTTGACCAGATTCCCTGGCCCTGCTGGCGGCAGGGCCAGGGAATTTGGTCAACTCCTCCACGCTGACCGTACGTGTTGGAATAGGTGAGCGCACCGACACTTTACTCCATTGCACGTGAGCTGGCGATCGACGATTTGTGGTCTTACCCATTTATGAAACTTCAACCGCTGCACCAGGAGGTTGAATTGAACCGGCGACCTTTGGATTAAAAGTTTAGTGTGCGAACCATAACACGATGGCAGCTCTCCGTCCGTACATATGTTGTTTTTTTCCAGGCACTCGTTTCCTACCAGAAATACAAATATTACAGGAGGAATTTGCTAGTGGGACCCTCCTTAAAAGGAATATTGAAAATCAAACATTCATGGGCAAATTAATCCAATTTTGCGACAAAAGAATATAAAGTTATTGACTTATCGATCCAAGAAAACGTCACCGTTTTTCAAGGCTCGTTTTCAGGTGGGCCCAGCATGGCGACGTTTGACCAATTCTATGATGAGGTATGTGTTTGTACGTGGGAGGAAACTGGAGTACCCAGATTAAATCCCACGTGTATAAGGGAAAACAAAGATCCACACAGATGGGTTCACAGGCTCATCTGTGCTGCATCCTCATGGCCACCATGCAGCCCAGTGAGTTTGGGAGTTTTAAAAAGCTACATGACCCACCAACCCCTTCCCTCCAGAGCGCGAGATGAGAAGTAGTTGAACATAGTTTTATTTATGTATTTATTGCTTTGTGTTGAAACCGTGAGTGATTGATGTTGGATGTTCCGTGCACTGTGTAAAAACTGCTTTCACTTTTTTAATGTGGATGGAAGGATGTGTGAAGGACGACGCGGATCATCTGCTTAGTTATTTTGCAATTATATTCTCCACAATGACGCTCATGATTATTTCGTGTTTCGTTTACAAATTATGGCAGTGGCCTAAGTATTATTCTAGTGTTGTCCGAAGCACTTTTTATTTTTTGCAAGAGTGACTCGCACTGAATGAACCATTGCCAATTGGTCCTAAGTCGTGTCATCATTTCTCTCCCAGTGCTGCAAGAGCTGCACTGCCTCTATGACATGAAAACTTGTTTTGGAAGATGGCAAGGGTGAACGTGTGCAGCTTCCTGGATAAACTCGGAAACAATCCAGAGCCCTCCAGCTGTACTCCAGCACTCCTGCACAGATCCAATGGCTGTGGTGACGTTAGGTGAAGAAGTCCCGCGTGGCCAAGAATATTGCGAGCTCGTGTGGAGCATAATGCCGAAAGGGTTTTGGACCTGAAACATTACACACAAAACATAATTCTCGACCTTGATCTTCATGACTAAACTCTTGGGACGTGGCATTGCGGTGCCAACATTCAGCACACGCTGTGCCACATGGTTGTCAAGTATCTCACAGTGAAGTCACACCAGGTGCTGCATCATAGCAATCTCTTCGTGTCTTTTCGAGAAGTGATCACATAAAAATGCGCGTGTTGTGTTCAAACCGCGATGGAAATACAGGGTTATTACCGCTCCTCTGACTTGCGTTAGTGACTCGCTGAGCGAATTTTGTGCGTTATAAATCGAACTCCTCATCACTGTATTATTATCTCAAGCACCAGCACAGGACTGGGCTCTCTAAATGCTTAATGGCATGAGGCTATGCTCGTGTTCCGGGTGCATCTCTGCTCCTTGGCTTAGAGGCCTCAGAGCCGTAGATAGCAGTAGGCAGCAGCTTCCGATATCATGGCCCAGCCCTTGGCAGATCCCATTATGACATTGTGTGAACTAAAGCTCAAGGCACAAGTGAAGCCAGAATTCCAAACCGTGGCCTCTGGTGAGGGCAGCTTCAGTGCAGACGATGTCCATGGGAGGCGAGGGCAGCGTGTACATGTGCGGTGCCGCTAATGCTGCGTCTACAATGTTTCCAGATCTGTCCTCTGGACATGCAGTCTGGGCACCATGACTGCCAAGGATCATCGGAGCTGCTATGTACCGTGAGGTCACCGCAGGCTAGGGCGTGTAGATGAAGCATCCACCACCTTTGTTTTTAAGAGAACTCTCCATTGTGCCGTAGGCTGCAATGATCTTTTATTCAAGGGTATTGGTGTTCATGTGGATCGTGGATCTGCTAGTATGAAATGCATGCCATCTCGAGTCATGGTAAATCTGTTGTTGTAAATGAAGGGGAAAACTCCCTTGTATTTTCAATTGCAGTGTAATTTGACCGTGCATCCAAGTTTCGCGATCAATCAATTTGTCCATTTCACTTAATTTTTGCGCGTTACAAATCGTATTATGATCATGAAGAGATTCAATTTTGTCGTGTGGATATCCTGTGTTCACGTATAAATTGACGGCAAATAAAATGACCACATGGCAAGAAGTGCAGTTTGTGTGTTCCCCCTGAGACACGTTGACCAGCCTCAAGGCTCCTGGTGTCCCATCTCCTTCAGCCCCTCGGCGTGCGCTTCAGTCTCCCGTAGCTCCTACCACCTCTACGATCCGTGTCACCGGTCTGCTGGTGTTCACTTTCATCTACAGACGACATCATTCGAGACCCAAACACCACACCTCCTGGCTTTGACATTCCTCCTAGAAGACAACTGATGTGTCCATCAACCGCATCAAAATATCAACAGGCCAATGCACACATCTCCTTCATAAATGGAAAAGCCAAAGTAGTGCGGTTGTAGCCGTTCCATCCAAACTGTAGACGGTAAAGTAAACCACGAGTCTGCGCGCCTTCTACGAAGGAGGAATAGAACAGCTACCTACACAAACTCCTGAAGCCCTCTCGTCGTGGTACCAGCAGACCTCGACATTGGTATTAAACTACCGAACATATTGCTGCCATATGCAAGAATAGAACCTCGCTCTACCCCATACCTAAAACCCTTTAAAAAAACCCACCGCCCCACGCTACAACACGACCAACGCCGTTCCCGATCCGAGTTGGTGGTCTGCGGAGGCTCCCCGTGGTGGGGCGCCAGGCTGGCTGGGTGTGGGAAGTGACCCACAGCTTGAAGCGGCGCCCAGGCGCGCACGTGGCGCAGCGATCACGAGAAGTCCCCCGACAGGAGCAGCGCTGCGCTGAACGTGGAAGTGCGACGTAGAACTGTTACAGGCGCTAGGATTTAGAATAGTTTTCATTTAGAAAAATGCGTTGAACGTTTTTGAGGGTTGAGAGTGGTGCGCGGGTCCAGAGACTGGTGACCTCTGAGTTGAATGCGCTGTAAGGTGGGTTCACACACACAGGGAGGGAGGAGGACCGATGCAAGTTAACATTCCGCTGGTGGGCAAAGACATCCCCAACGTTTCCACTCTGTCACCTCCATCCAGCACTCCTTCAAATCGTCTCTATGGAATTCCGGCCGGGTTCTTACGGATCGGGATTCCCAGCGCGGGTCTCACGGATCGGGATCGAAAATCCTGGCGTGGAGCTCACGAATTGGGGTCAGGAATCACGGCCTGGATCTCACGGATCGAGATCGGGAATTCCAGCCTGGATTTCACGGATCGGGATCTAAAATCCCGACCTGGATTTTCCGGATTGCGATCGAAAATCACGGCCTGGATATCATGACACGGGAATCCCGGGATGGATTTCACGGATCGGGAATCCTGGTGTGGATCTCGGTTCAGGGTTATGTCGGCCTGGGTCCAATTACATAAAACAACGTAAGTAAATGTCCGCCCAAAACTCACGTACTGTTAGTAGCAAACTGAAGAGAGACTTTTTACGGCACCGGTGGGCGTCTGCATTCCGGACTTCACAGATGGAATGTCACTCCGGTCCAGCTAGAAGAGACTCCACTCCACGATTTCCTGTGCCGCTTCCTCGCGCCCACAAAGAGTTTGGTGCAGAGATGGAGGCGCAGTGAGAGGGACGCGGGGAGGAGAAGCAGCACGACGACATCGGAGACACGGGGGAGACACGGGGAGACACGGGGGAGACACGGAGACACGGGGAGGCACGGGGAGACGGACGGCACGGGGGAGACACGGGGAGACGGGCACTCGCGTCGGTACGGACAGAGGCCACCCTCTCCCCTCCTCCTCCTCTGTGTCTCGTGTGTTTGTATCCCATGGTCTCGTATTTGTGTCTCATTGTGTAAGTGTGTGTATGTGCACCTGTGTGTGTGTGTGTGCATCGTTATGTATGTACGCGTGTAAGTTTGTGGGTCTTTGTGTCCTATATGTGCGCGTGTGTGTGGGTCTCTCCGCGTGTGTTGTTGTTGTGTGGGGCACCATTCTTTGTGCCCGTGTGGGGATCGGACTGCGATTCCCGCTCACAACCAACATTGCACCGGTCCTGGGCCTCCCCTCGATCGACTCAACCTTAAATGAGTACCTCTTGGCGATGTGTAAACATGGCCATTAGGGAGACAAAGGCGGCCGAGCGTGGTGCCATCCACCCCCTCGTGTGCTATTTCGATCCGGCCTTAATAGGTGCTCGCTAACAGAACTTGCCCCGACTGTGTTAAAGGCCACACGGGGGGGGGGGGGGGGGTCTTTGTGTCTCTGTGCTGCGGTGTTCTACTCTTGGACCCCTCTAATGGAACATCTGCGCCGGTCAGAATCATTGAGGCTGGCCTGCCTACGATCCATCCTGGGTTTAACCTGCAGGCTGGATTGTGTGAGGAGCTCACAAATCCTTGCAAGATGTGGACACAATCCCATCGGTGAGCTCCTCCGGCAGGCAAGGCTGCGTTGGTTGGGTCATGTAGCCTGCATGCCCAGCCACCGCATACCCAAGTAGCTTCTGTTCGGCCGGATCGAGGGGGCTAGACGGGCGCGGCACGGGCTAGAGAAGAGATGGAGTGATGTGGTACAGGAGGACGTGGAGCTGAGTGGACTTGCCGATGACTGGTACCAGCGGTGTCAAGATCGGCCTCTGTGGAGGAGGCTCGTGAAGGACGCTACTGGGCAGTTGGAGGCAGTCGCCCTCCAACAACAACGGAGGGCGGAGGAGCGATGCTCACAACACGCCAGCCACACAGCCGGATCACAATCAGCACGCCCTGCTTAATTATTAATTATTAAGAGAATGTTTGTATGTTGAAATTATTTCGTTGACAACCGTGCTAACCGTAAGAAGAGCCTCCTATTTTTCTGTTTCATGTGCACAGTATTCGTGGTTTCCCTATTTGTGGTTTTCCTATTCGCGGTGAATTGGCAGATACCAACCCCACGAGCTGATCTACAGAAAACAGAATTATTGCTCACAGATTGGCCTCCTTCAATGCGCAACAAGCTGTGTTTAACACGGGCTTGACTCGCAAGACTAAGTAAGTCATAATTAATACATATACACAATACTATTACGTCATCAGTCTCTTCGTCGCCTGGTCACGTTCCACCAAAAAAACACTTGGTCTGACAATATCGTTGAGCGTTGTTGCTGACGATGAGGCTGCGAGTAGCAGAGACGAGGGACATAAGAGCCACGGTGGATCTGCAGTCGATGCCTGAGCCGGCCCATGCAGGCGTCAGCTGCTGCAGAGCAAACCTCCACACGTCGGGCCATCTCGACCTGCAACAGGGCCAGGGAACGAGCTACGTCTGCAGTGAAGTGAAAAGAGGACTATCCCTTGTCGGTCCTCCGCTCCAGTGGCATCTGGTGTAGAAACCGTGCACAGCCGACGGTGGTCTAAGCACCAACACTGAGCGTGCATAGGGAGGCCCGTGCCCCTCACAAAATTAACGCATTGGCGATGTTTGTGTCCGTGCAGGTGCCATGGCGACAGTGGTGCTGGTGCCGCTGGTGCTGCTGCTGCTGCTGTGCATGACGAGGGTGTGCATGGGTGCGGGGGTGGCTGAGAGGTGCGTGCGACCTGCCGCGTGCGAGTCCCTCGCCTACAACTCGTGTCTGGGCGCCGCTCTGCCCTACCCGCAAACGGCGCTCGTCCTCGCCAGCGATTCGCGCTCGCAACACGACGCGCAGGCCAACCTGCAGCTCTGGGCAGGTATGTGTGTGCGGTGCCATGTACACAACGCAACACAGAATGTAAATGACACGCACAACGTACACCGGTGCACCACACACAGTGTGCCACACAAGTGTGCCACACAACGTACACCATGTAGAGAACGCACGTGCACGACGCACGTGCACGTATGCAACCCGCACACAACTTATAAGTGCAATGTACGCAAACGACACGCGTGCGCAAAGCGCGCACGACACGCACGTGGCCGGTTGTTGCCGTGCGAGTGACGCGGCGTGGCCATGTGTTACAGAGCTGCGGAGGGTGCCGCGCTGCTGGGAGGTGGTGCAGCCGCTGCTGTGCGCCGTCTATATGCCGCGCTGCAGCGCCGGCGTCGTGGAGCTGCCGAGCCGCGCTCTCTGCCACGCGACGCGCGCGCCGTGCGCCGTGGTGGCGCGCACGCCGCACGGTTGGCCCGACTTCCTGTCCTGCCAGCCCGAGCGCTTCCCCGACGGATGCCCGGTGAGTCGCGAGCGACGAGTGCCTGACCCAACTCCCTGGCCTCCCTCTCACCCCTTGCTCCCGTCCTCACCTGCCTGCGCGCTAGTGGATGGAAACTTGAAGATCTACGTCCGTGTGAATGCCCAGCGACAGCTTCAGCTGAGTGGATGGCTGCTGCTGCTGCTGCCGCCTCTGTGACACTGGCGGGAGAAAGCACAACTCGCTGTCGGCTCGTGCCATGGTTACTCTGCCATCTAAATCACCAGTTGATGCTGAGCTGTCAATTTTGTGTGGTAACTTGACTTGCGATTGTATTGATATATCCTCGCCTGTTTACATTTGGATGTTTCTGGAACTTAATGTCACTGTGAATAGTATCCAAATGTAATTTGTTCAATATGTATTACTTAATGTTTGTGTGAACTACTTTAGATTCCTTCTGTAATGTGATTGTTTTGCTCTAGTTGTTGCCCTCTGATTGCTTTGCTGCTCTGCTTTGTTTGCATGTTATTGCTCTTGTCATTCTGGTGACACAGGTCGCTCTTCTTAAGCAGTCTCTTGAATTCTCACTTGGTCGAACAAAATCAAAGCTCACCATGTAATCTCTGCACAGTAGGGGGAGCACTTTACCATGTGCCCTGTAATGAGACTTACTTGCAAGCCTGGCTGTGTATTGCTTCTCGGTGTTGTGTCCGTGTGTTGTGGCCGAGCGTTGTTTCCCTGTGTTGACTCTCCCTGTCTCGTTGAGTCCCCACCTGGTGAAGCAAACCAGAGTTGAACATGAGCGCGTGGTGGCGGTACCGCTGGGCGTGTCTGGCGTCTGCAGAACACGGTGCAGAGCGTGCACTTCAACACGACGTCGAGCTGCGCCGCTCCGCTCGTGCGCACCGACAACCCCGCCAGCTGGGTGCGCGACGTGGAGGGCTGCGGCCTTCCCTGCAGCAGCCCCCTGTACACGGCCGAGGAGCATGCCGCCATGCGCACGGCCACCGCGGCCATGGGCGCCCTCGCCCTCGTCTCGGAGATCTTTACCCTGGTGCGGGTGGATGCATTGCGCAGCGCACAGCACATAGCACACAATGCACAGCATGCAGCGCACCGCACACAGCACGCAGCGCACAACGTGCAGTGCGAAGGGCGCAGCACACAGCAGACAGTACGCAAACGCACAGCTGTTGTTTTCATGGAAGTTGTTCATGTTAAATAGATTAAAAAACAAATAATGCGTGAAGAATTTTTGTGGTGGAGTCCTGTGGACATTTTTGTGGGCCCCTCTATGGCACGTGGGGCAGCATCCTGCTGAGTGAGATTTCTGAATTGATTCTCGAAACAGAGATATCGCGCCAAAAATACGCCTCGGCATAATTTGGGAAAAGACTTAAAAAAATATACATTCCAAATACAAATTAGGGTGAAATCAATGGCAGTTTTCATAGCAATGTGAAATTTACAGGTTTGAGTTTGCAAATGGAGATGAGCACTGCCCCACACCCATGTCAGCAGGGAGACTTTGACTTAAATAAGATTGGAGTGGTCTTCACGAGTCCAGCGACTAATCAGAAACAAGAACTGAAAGATTTTGATTTAAAGCTTTCGTGACTGGTTTTTTCGGTAAAGTCACGTAGAAGGGAAATAATAAAATAATATTAATATAAAACAATACAAATTCTCACGACGTTTCGACTGCAACACAAGTAATCATCATCAGGTGTGAAATCCACAGCAAGAAAATTTTATAATTTGTGTTATATTTATATTATTTTATTATTTCCCTTCTACGTGACTTTACCGAAAGAACCAAGATTATGACTGAGAGATTGTTAGTACAGACCTTGGAGGTCACTGTCAGCATCGACTGTGCAGCAGTTGCTGGATCTGGCGGAGGTGAGAAGGCGTCGTTATCGAGGTGCGGCGGTAGCTTCAACGGCTGTGGCCACGACGACGTCGCAGTGTTGATTAAGAATTGACTGGAGTGTTGATTAAGAATTGACTGGAGATTCACGTGAGAATGTCCCACGTCTTACACTCGAGTGCTGCGTTGTGTTGCCCCATGGACTCGGCGTTAAGGAGAGGAGTGAGATGTTGGATGCGAGTGGAGAGCGAGCGGTGCGTGGTTGCCCGCGGTTGTGGCGTGCCGAGGAGAACGAGGTGGTGGTGGTGACCGCTGTTTGCGCAGGCGACGTTTGTTGGCGACTGGCAGCGCTCACGGCGTTACCCGGCCGTCGTGATTTGCTATATCAACGCCTGCTTCCTGGTGGCGAGCGCCGGGTGGCTCGCTCAGTTCCTCAGCGACGCTCGGCAGGACATCACGTGCCGGCACGACGGCACGCCTCGCTTGGGAGAGCCCACGTATGGCCCGCCTCTCTCGCTTGCTCGCCACGCACACACACACGGCCATCGTCACTTGCACACTCATTAATTCTATAACGCAAGGCTCCATGCATGCACGTAGACTCATTGTATCATATCGACACAAACGCTCTCATATTATAACCGGCTGGGTGGCTAAGTGGTAGAGGGGAGCAGTCCATCATCCATCTCTCCGCGTCAAGAGTGGTTTCCCTAATGGATAGACCTGATCTACCATATGAATGTGTCATTTCTACCAAGAGATGAGCACTGCCTCAGTACTCAATTGGGCAGGATGTCACTGTGACCCGTGCGTGTGTGCGCAGGTCAAGCGAGACGCTGTCGTGCGTCATCATCTTCGTGCTCATCTACTATCCGCTCATGGCGGCCGTGTGCTGGTTCGTGTGTCTGGCGTACGCGTGGAACGCGTCGTTCCGGGCCCTGGGCACGCCGCAGCGGCCCTTGGCTCGCAAGACATCCTACTTCCACCTGGCGTGCTGGTCGCTGCCCTTCGTGTTGACGGTCGCCATACTGGCACTGCAGCAGGTGCCACCCCGATGCTCGATCTTGTCGCTGTGGCGCCCCGGGTCGCTCTTGCAAATGAGGCTCATCCTGGTCTCTGGGGTTATTGTCTGATGACGCAAAATCAACTTGAGAACTAAAACAATCCGCTGTTCTGCAGAGAGTATGTGATAGCGAGTGTGTGTGTGTGTGTGAGAGCGAGTGTGTTCGCCTGGGGAGAGGTAGTGTCGCGGTCAGCAAGCTGCGCTACGAACCCGGGGACCAGAGTTCTATTCCTGATCATGGCCAACACCAGTGACGGTTATCTGAACCGGTCCTGGGCCTCTCCTAGGTCGACTCGGCCTAAAATGAGTACCTGGTGCGGTGTGTAAACATCACCACGAGGGAGACAAAGGCGGCTGGGCATGGTGCTGGCCACCCACCCCCCTCATGTGCCGTGCCGGCCTTCATAGGAGCTAACAGCACTTTCCCTAACAGTTTGTGAAGGCTATATGGGGGATCTTTGTGTTAGCCTGCGCGAGTGAGTGGAGTTTGCATCATCTCTCTCCCGCTGGTCGCATGGATTGTTCTGTAGGTCCTCCTTGTTTTTTCCTCCATGTTTAGACACATGCGCTCAGATTTGTTGGCTGCTACTATAAAGTCCCACGTGTGATGATTGAGCCACTTCGATCAACGATCATGTGCGACCAGCTTGCCTCTGAAAAAGAGCTCATATCTCAGTGGGCTTCACCTGGTAAAATAAAAATTAGTTTAGTTAATAGTTTAGTCGAAACTGCTCCACTGGTTCAGTCGCTGGCTCGCTCACCGGCGGTTATTCGACTCCTTTTCACTCTTCTGTCACTACTACTGTGGTTACTGTCGTCGTCAATTTCACGCATTGACTCCAACATCATTGTCGAGGACTCAGCCCGACACTGAAGGGTCACCTCACTTTGCTTAGATTTGAGATTCCCTCGCACCATCTCTTTTGCAAGCTTTCATAACAATCTTGCCCATTTCAAGAAACATGGTAACTCTTAGGTGCTTGGAAACAGCACTTGCTCGAGCAGTCTGTTAAGGCTATGGGGGGGGGGGTAGGGGGGTTCAGAAGTGAGTGTAGCACGAGCACCTGTGAGTGCAGTGAGTCGAGGAGTGAATGTGTGTGTGGTGCGAGTCGAGGAGTGAATGTGTGTGTGGTGCAAAGTCGAGTGAGCGCATCACGAGTGCGTTGTGTGCGTGTGTTCCTACATGTTTCCATGTGCAGGTGGATGGAGACTCCATGTCTGGCGTGTGCTTCGTGGGATATCGCGACCCCCACTTTCGCGCCGGCTTTGTGCTGGCGCCGGTCGGTGTGGCCACCGTCGCCGGGGGCTACTACCTCGCGCGTGGTGAGTTGACGTCGCTCCGGCTCTCGCTGTGCAGCCAACTTTGATCAATGCGCTCATTTATCCAGGAAAGCCTCACCGATTCTCAAGGGTCCAGCTATGTTTTTTGCATTATAATAATGATCTTTGCATTTATACGGCGCTTGCTTACATGCCGCGGCAACTCGAAGCGCCATACATTGCAGTTCATCTCAAACGCTCGAAGGGGGGCACCCCGAGTGGCAGCTGTCCCCGTGCGGTACAAAGTGACTCCACACTGCCCTGCACTCAGGCATTCGCCTCCTCGTAGGGAGCGATGATCATGACACTGGTACACAATGGCCTACTCTTCTTTGAATGACATCACGGAATCTTTCATGTCCACTGTGAAGTGGACTGCACAGAGTATTTTATGGTTGATATACATCGTGGTATTAACCACGGCAGCCTTCCGAATTTGAACCATGAACCTCTTCAACAAGCGACGAATGTGCTGCCGCTGGGACAAGTCTCTTAGCTGCACGAGTCTGAAATGCCGCGTGGTTACCCGGGAGATGGTTGGTGCCAGTGTGCGGGGTGTAAAATATCACCACTGGGAAGACAAAGGGGGTCGAGTACTGTGCAGGCCTCATTTCTAAAGTGAAAACTAATTTCTTTAGAACTGCTTTGTTTAGTTTGCTGTCCTTCACCCGCACCTCCGATTAGCGCGGTTCGCTGCGTACGGAGTGAAAGAAGCTCAGCGTGCATACAGGCCTTTGCAGGTGCTCGCTAACAGCGCTTGCCGCAGCAGTCTGTTAAGGCTATACAGGGGAACTTTGTATTTTTTAAAGGTGTAGACATGTGGATGCGTTCGTGCGTCTACACTTTTTTGCACGTGGGTTGTTTCAGTTGTTTATGCACTATATTATTATGCACCCAGTTACATTCCTGGCCACTTCTAACATCAGTGACAAATGATATTGGAACTTGTCCCCGAGTCTCCCCTGGTGGTTACAACCGTCAGTGATTATCTCACGCGGTGTATAAACATGGAAAATGGGGGCACAGGTGACTGGTTATGTATGCTGGCCACTTCACCACCTCGTGCGCCATGCCAGCTTTACCGCGTTCTCGCCAAGACCATTCGCCCCAACAGTTTGCGTGGCTACAAGGGTGATCTCTGCGCTCGTGTGTGCAGGGATGTTTACGCTGTTTCGCATAAGAAGATCCCACCCCGGGCTGCTCAGCCAGAAAGCGTCAACCAAGATCCAGGAGACGATCGTGCGGCTCGGTGAGACGATCACACAGCCTCGCCGAGCACATGCCGGGTGATGAATGCTCGATGCGGCTACGAGTCTCCGAGTCCCTGTGTCCCCTCGTCCCTTCGTCCCATGTCCTGCAGTCCCCATGTCCCCATGTCCCCGAGTCCTCCAGTACCCGAGTCCCTGTGTCCCCTCGTCCCCATGTCCGGCAGTCCCCCAGTCTCCGTGTCCCTGAATCCTCCAGTCCGCATGTCCCCATGTCCCCGATTCCTCCAGTACCCGAGTCCCTGTGTGCTCGAGTCTTCACCAGCTCATGTCACGGTCGGTCCGGGTGCAGTGAGGTCGTCTCATGGGTCACGCCATGAACACCAATACCTCAGTGGTGGGAGGATTGTTCTGTGAGGAGCAGGCTCATGTAAGTCACCACTGAGCAGGTGGAGGTATCGAGAATAAGACAGAAAGTTGGGTGAATGATGGTGGTGGTAATTGTGAAATGCATTAAAGAGGCTGGAACACACGATCCAGAAACACAACAATTCTACAAATAAATTGAACGCTGCTCTGTTATGCACGCACATTGATGAACTACACTGACGAGGGTGACTGTATGCTATGTCACGTGATGTTTATTCTCACGGGTAATGCAGTTTCAATATGAAATAACTGTTTTAAATTTCCTCTGCAAGCATTCATCTGGAGGGTGTAACGGTAAGTAGTGTGTATCCGCCACGGAGCCATGTGAGTCTATCGCATGGATGCATGACGTTCCCGCTCATGTGTGTTCTCACCAGCGTGGTGCACAGCTGTCGTGCAACTGTCAGCGTGGCTGTAGGTGCGGCTGTAGGTGTGGCTGTGAGTGCGGCTGTCAGTGTGGCTGTAGGTGTGGCTGTAGGTGTGGCTGTAGGTGCGGCTGTAGGTGTGGTTGTAGGTGCGGCTGTAGGTGCGGCTGTGAGTGTGGTTGTGAGTGCGGCTGTAGGTGTGGCTGTATGTGCGGCTGTGAGTGTGGCTGTAGGTGCGGCTGTAGGTGTGGCTGTAGGTGCGGCTGTGAGTGTGGTTGTGAGTGCGGCTGTAGGTGTGGCTGTAGGTGCGGCTGTGAGTGTGGTTGTAGTGCGGCTGTAGGTGTGGCTGTAGGTGTGGCTGTAGGTGCGGCTGTCAGTGTGGCTGTAGGTGCGGCTGTAGGTGCGGCTGTAGGTGCGGCTGTCGGTGTGGCTGTAGGTGCGGCTGTAGGTGCGGCTGTAGGTGCGGCTGTAGGTGCGGCTGTAGGCGCGGCTGTAGGCGCGGCTGTAGGCGCGGCTGTAGGCGCGGCTGTAGGCGCGGCTGTAGGCGCGGCTGTGAGTGTGGTTGTTGTGCGGCTGTAGGTGCGGCTGTAGGTGCGGCTGTAGGTGCGGCTGTAGGTGTGGCTGTAGGTGCGGCTGTAGGTGCGGCTGTAGGTGCGGCTGTAGGTGCGGCTGTAGGTGCGGCTGTGAGTGTGGTTGTCAGTGTGGCTGTAGGTGCGGCTGTGAGTGTGGTTGTCAGTGTGGCTGTAGGTGTGGCTGTAGGTGCGGCTGTGAGTGTGGTTGTCAGTGTGGCTGTAGGTGTGGCTGTAGGTGCGGCTGTAGGTGTGGCTGTAGGTGTGGCTGTAGGTGCGACTGGGAGTGTGGTTGTCAGTGTGGCTGTAGGTGCGGCTGTGAGTGTGGCTGTAGTGCGGCTAGAGCTCGGCTGTCAGTGTGGGCTGTCATTGCGACTGGGTTTGCGCTCCACTGCTGCCCTACGTTACGCGTCGGTATCTTCCCTTTGAGACAATGGCACAAAATTAAGTCTTTCCACCGGTTACTGTCCCATCCCAGCTGTGGAGATCGTTTTTCACCGAGCCAATTCTACACCCATGTTGAGGATTCTGTCAACTATACACAACCATTTCGTCTCGTACACCACACCGTGTTTGGCCAGCACACTGGAGGTCACAATAACTCACTCAACCACTCACCCAACCACTCACCCAACCACTCACCCATCCACCCACTCACCAACTCCAGGTCATATTACTTCTCTTGTTGCTTCTTTCCTCGCACTGCTGCACTGAAATTCCCTCCCACTTTCTCTTCTACCCAAGCTCTCATCATAACTTCGCTCACTTCAAGATACCTGTTGACTCTTATCAATTACAACTTTGATGGTGCTGTTTGTTGCTGGCCACTTGACGTTTTGATCCTTTGGGCCTGTGCTCGGCAACTGTCTAAAAAAGTATCCAGCGCATCTTTGGCCTTCCCCTTCTGTCTTGCTCTGTGTTAGGCTGGAGCTGTCTCTGTCGGATCGTCTTTGTCAGTGTCATGTCTTGGCTTAGTTATTTCCTTGGTGCTTCTGTTCCTGCTGCTCTTTTCTGCAGTTTCATTTACACTGTTTATATCACCTGATTGTTTCCGTCTCGTACAGACGATCAGCGTAGAGGTAACAACATTTTACTCACCTTGCATTTTACACAAATCGTGAAGGATTGCATCCGCAGTTGGACGTGCGGCGTGAGTGGCACTGGTTGACTGTGATTGAGGAATGGTCCCGTGCCCAGTAGCACGTGTGAGCGAGTGAGCGAGTGAAGTTCTGTGCGCTGCTGCTGCTACTCAGCAGATGCCTCCATCGGAACCCTGAGCGCTGGTCCTCTGTGCCATCCCCATCGGAGCCTCTGCTCACCCGCACGGGACTCAGCAGGCGCTTCTCTACGCGCCTGTTCCCGCCGCAGTAGATTAGATTATTACTATTGTTGTTGTTGGAGTTGCTAATCTAGTTGTTGCTGTGGTTGTTTCAAATGTGTAAATGAAGAGAATACCCACCGCAACAGATGTGATAGTGGGCAAGGCCGAGAGCTCTTGTACATGCTATACACGCCTTTGTGGTGTTAAATCCAGTTGTGGTTGATAACACCTAATTGTGGTGGTAGTTACGGTTGTTATGTTCATTGTTGTGATTGTGGTGGTGCTTATTGTTTTGATTGGTATGGAAGACGTGGTGGGTTGTTGTTGCGGCGATATTATTGTTGCGGTTGTCATGAGTGGCGCTGCGCATGTGTGTAGGGGTGTTCGGCGTGCTGGCCTGGGGCTTCGTGCTGCTCACGTTCGGCTGCCACATCTACGACTTCCTGCACCGTGAGCAGTGGCAGCGCAGCCTCCGCGAGTACATCCTGTACGTATCTCCTCCTCGACACCTGCTGCTGCTGCCGCCGCCGACGCTGCAACCGCCGTCTTGAAGAGTGACGCTGCTCCCGTGTCGTCCCACGCAGGTGCCGCTCCAACGTGGACCTGGGTTTCGTGAACGCGAGCGCGGGTTCGGGCACCGGCCCGGGCTCGCCACGTAAGTGCGAGCTGGGGGCACGGCCCGGCCTGCTGCTCGCCGTGGGGAACGTGGCGTGCGTGTTTGGCACCGGCATCACCATGAGCAGCTGGGTGTGGACGCGTGCCACGCTGCACACCTGGCGGCACACCTGGCTCCGGTACGTGGCTCAACCGGAACATGGCGCGCGCGGTGCGGTGCTGCCGCGTTGTGCACGTTGTGCCGTGTAACTCCGGGCCGTGTCTGCGCCTGCCGTCTCCGCCCTCAGGATCTTGGGCCGGAAGGACGATCGCCTGAAGCGGCTGCACCGGAGTCACATGATCGCGAAGGCGTTTGCGCGGCGTGGTGACATCCTGCACGACGCGCACGCACGCATCTCGCTCAGCCTGCAGAGCGAGCTCCCCGGGGGGGCCGTGGGTACGCACACAAACACAAAGATCCCCCCTCTAGCATTTTACAGACTGTTGAGGCAGGTGCTGTAAGTGAGCACCTATGAAGGCCGGCACGGCACACGTGGGGGTGAGTGGCTTTGTCTCCCCAACGCCGATGTTTACATCAGCATTGCCCTCCCTTCTCTCTACTCCTGCGAGACATGGACCTCTTTTGAAGAAACGTTTGCGCAGGCTTCAAACATTCAAGCTGGCCCTGCCGACGATCCATCCTGGGTTTAACCAGGCTGGATTTTGTGCTCATAGATGTTGGAAAGATCTGGACACAGTCCTATCGGTAAGCTTCTCTGGCAAGCAAGGCTGCACATGTCCAGCCACTACATGCCTCAAAAGCTTTTATTTGGCCGGATAGTGGGCTAAACAGGCGTAGCACAGGCTATAAAGGAGATGGACTGATGTGGTACAGAAGGATGTGGAGCTGATTGGACTTACCGATGACTGCTACCAGTGGTGTTAAGACCGGGCCCTGTGGTGAGGCTCGTGAAGGATGCTTATGGGCAGTTGGAGGCAGTCGCCCTCCAGAAACAGCAGAGCACAGAGGAGTGACGGTCACAACAACGAGCGGAGCGACGGTCGAATTAAATGCAGCGAAGTGGTACAGTGAGGGACACAGATGGTGCGTCTGCCAGCCATCTCAGTCAGTCAACCCATAACACCTGGGTCTGTCACGTGACTTCCTGTCAGCGAGCCTTCGTCACCTCACGTGGCCTCAAAGTGCACCTAGCCTGGCACAAGCACTGTGGTGGGACTCCTGCCATTTAGTGGCGAATGGCATCTGTTGTGTATATGTGAGGTGTCTCTGTGTGTGGAATCTGTGAGTGTGTACATACTTTCTGTTTATTTTGTGGCAGTTGGGATGGATCTGGACCTGGATGATTCTGGGAGCGACTCGTCATCCTGGATCAATCACGTCACCAAGATGGTGGCACGAAGAGGAGCCATTTTACCCAACGTGTCACGCACAGCCACACCCGGTACCATACACGACACACATGTTAAGCACACACTATACACACACACTATACACACACACTACACATACACGCTAAGCACACACTATACACACACTACACATACACGCTATGCACACACATTATACACGTTACACATACATGCTACACACGCACATTACACACTTGCTGCGCACACATTACACACATACTACATACACACGCTACACACCTCGCACATAATACGCAGGAACACAACACACATCCCGTACACACGGTACATAGCAACACGCAATAGTTGGACCTTATTGTTGTTCGTTGTTGCTGGAACGGATACTTGGCTCTGTATCAGCGATTGCCACAGCCGCATGCGATTCCCTGTGTGCGGAGCATGGGAGTAACAGCCGAGTCTGCACGTTCATTGTCTGTGAGCAGAGCCCTCGGATGTGAAGGCGCCGGTCGCGCATTCCAAGCCACATCACCGCTCTGGCACTCACCACCACAAGAAGAAGCGACGCAAGAAGCACAGGCCCCGAGACCTCGGCTCTGACCACGACCTCCTCCCTCACGACCTCGGCGCCGACCTCCCGGCCCCCGACGCGACCCCAAGGGTGCCGTGGCCCACAGGCGGCGTCCCCCGTCTCCCCAAGCTCCCAAGCAGGCCGTTCCTGGTGGCGGCCTACCCCGGGCCCGGGCATCCGAGCTCATTCTGGGAGGAGGGCGAGGCCAGGCAGGAGGAGGAGGGTGGCAGGAAGATGTGCTGGGGACAGCCGACGGCCGGCGCCACGGCCGGCGCCACGGCCGGCGCGCCCCCCTGGGAGCAGCTCGTGAGCGCGACGCGACCGCGGCACCAGCCCGGGCCGTTCTGGGAAGGCCGGAGGGAGGCGGGGGTTCGCGACGCGCCGCCGGGTATCCCTCGCGCGCCGCGCAGCCTCAGCCCGCAGCGTGATCGCCGCGGCGAGGCCTTCCGCGCGGGGAGGCGGTGGTTGCCGGCGCAGAGCGATGCGCCGCCTCCCGATCCCCCCCCTTACTCGGCGGGCCTCCTGCCCGGCACGCTGCACGAGCACGGAGGCGGCGAGCCTCGCGCCGATCGTCGGCACCACCACCACCACTCGCAGCAGAGGGAGGAGAGCCTCTTCTGAGGCAACGGGGGCGGCTCGCTCGCTCGGACGCCTCCGGTCGCCGCTGTCGACCTCGAGTCGGATCCCCGGTCCGGCGTCAGACGCGGGGAGTCCCACATCTTACAAAAAAATTACATCATCCGTTTTCATTATACGTTCAGCGGTTTAAATACTCGTATTTAACAGGACGTGAAAAGCAAAGTTCAAAGATTTCCTGCTCATGAGCATTGAGGCATTGGTGCTCATCTCCTGTTTACAGCCCTGAGCCAGTGGTTTAAATTCCATATTGTTTTGGTAGGGGTGAGTCCATCCGTAGGACAATTATTGTTGATTTCCGCATAAAGTGGTACTCATTTGATCGAAAATGAAGGGGTGATGGGCCGCGTCAACCCCCAACCAAGATTTGAACTTGCAACTTTCCGAATGCGAGCCACTCTCACAGGCATTGGGCCACGAGAAGCATACACCCACGTCTTAATATTGAAATCACTGCGCCATCACATCCAGAAAGCGCCATAGGTCTTGTAGATGTATCGATTGCGTGGCAAGGATCGTGTTAATGAGTTGAACGTGTGTCCTACTCTTTGGGTTTTTCGGTAAAGTCACGTAGATAGAAATAATAATAAAATAATAATAAATCACGACGTTTCGATCGCAACACAAGCAATCATCTTCAGGTGAAAAAATACAGCAGGCGGACTGCTGAGGCAGGAAGAAATGTAGCGAGAGAGCTGCTACTGCAGCCAAAGGTTATAAAGATTTGAGATGGGTACAACCCAAGGGTAAGTGGGCGGGGCTAGAGATGGAATTTGCAAGTAAGATCGCAGAGCGAGGTACACCTCGGCCATTGTGTTGCTCGAGATTATTCTGCTGATAGAGAACAAGGGAACTTGTCCCATGTGGGATGAGAAGCTTCACTCGAAGCGACTCCACTAGTAGCTGTGATGGCACAACCTGGGAGCTGTTCCCTGGAACAGTGGTGCTCTACTCACCGGGAGCCACTTTGGAAAGCTGATTCATCTCGTGATTTGCCACTAACCGTAACACAATTGGAATATAAAATATACAAAATAAATTCTGAACGGGTTGGACACATGGATGGGGCTGTGGGGCTGGGGGCAGCATTCAGGGTAGGAGATGAAGGAGTCGGCGATGAGGTAAGACTCTGTGGTAGGGACTTGTCGCCAATGTGAACTTCACGGAATTATTGATACTTTTCGTAGAGATTCTGGTTCATTTTATTTTGAGAAGGAAGCTTTCTGACTTTGATTCAAGTTGTGGGTGTAATTGGGGACGACGCGTGCCCTAGCGCGGAGCTCAAGGTCTCGTGGTCTCGTCTCTCACCACAGCCTGCCGGCCTTGGCCCGTCTCCTCGAGCGATGCCGTGGAGGCCGCTGTTTGTCTCGACTCGCTCGTGGCCGTGATGGTGCCGCGTCCCGTTCATCAGGCACTGCAACCGACTCTTGCGCGTTTGGTAGGATTTCATCGTCGTGCGGATGACGTTGCGTAGACGTACGCCTGCGCAAAGTGAGTGTTGCGGTACGACTGGAGGTGGGACTGCTAAAGGACGTAAAAGTATAAGGCTTTGTGCACTGAGCGGCGATGCGTACGCGTACAAGCCAGTAACGGCTGGTCATTAGTGACCTTTGAGGTCTGGCGTCACTAGAGAAACAGGAAAATTGGAAAAACAAAACTTGTACATTGTAAAGTTTATAATAACACGTTTATCTGATGTTTTACACTCCAGAGTGTATAGATCAGCAAGGGTGGCTGTAGTAACGGAATAAAGCAAAGCCGACCGCGCACTGGCCTCTGGCCCACACGGAGGCCGTGAGCATGGCGCGTGTTTAGGCCCGGCGACACTCGCTGCCGTCACTGCTCCAACGACTCCTCTCGCTCGCGTGTTTCTGCTCTTACTCGTGCAGTTAAACTTTTTGCCTTTCATTCAAAATCACGCTGTTAAATGTTTCATTGTAGAATTTGCATGGAAAATTACTGTGAAATATTATGAATTGCTACTTAGCCAACGATGGGAAACGGTTGTTGTTGGACGTTAAAAGCCGTCTTCTTTCCAGGGTGGATACTGATGAAGTGTGTAGACGGTACTCTTTTTAATTTTTGCTTCCGCATGCAGCGGTGCACTGGCAAGCGGATGAGCGGTGTCACCGTGCGAGTCTTTACTTGCACATCCACGGCGCTGACAGATTAGGGAGTTGGGGCTGGGGGTACAAGGGAGATCGATGATGCCCGTGGTAGGGATTCGTGATAGGGACTTGTGGTACAGAGTTGTGGTCCGAAGTCACGGTCTGGAGTCATGGAAGGGAGGGAGTCCACGGTAGGGAGTGGCACGCTATGTGTGGCATGGGCGAGTGAAGCGCTATTGGGGAGTCTATGCTCTCCCAGGTGCGGAGTGTTTCTGGTTGGCAGAGGTCACTGGCATTAGGTTCATGATGGGTCCTCAGTTGACTGAGCGTGAGCTACGGTCGCCAACTGTCTGGTTTTGACCCAGGTTTTCAGGTGGCAGGAATTGATTTGAACCGAGCTCTGCTTCCAGTATTATGTTGCAACTGTATCACAACAGACTGCACAGTTTTAATAGACCCAGACCGAATGAGAAATGTCTGGGTCTGATCGACAGTGGGAAAGGCAGCCATCCTCGTGTGAGCTGCGCAGCGCGTCCCTTCTTCCCAATCACCTTCACCTGAAATGTGTTGGCTCGTAATAATGATCCAGTTTCGTTTTTCCCGGTTTGTGACGTTCAGAACAAAGAGGTTTCTTGTAAATACATGTCCTTCCGTCATGAAATATATATCTGTGTATATGTAGTATTGTTTAAAATGAAGTTACCATACATTTCTGGTAATGTTAATGCATTAAGACTTGTGCTTAAAGGAACAATTTTAGAAACTGTAATTCGCAGGCGGCCCTGCTAGGGCCAGCCGTGCAGCAAAGGTCTGTTACGATCGCTTGGCATTCCGCGTGCGTTTATAACATTGTATAGATAGAAGTGTTCCGCTGATGAAGGAAAGTGATGCTTATCTGCTTCACATTCTCCATGTATCTGGTGGTACAAGTTAGATGTTTCAAAGTTAATCGGTACATGAGTAAAAACCATCACCATCAGGATGGTTCGTGACAAATCTTCCTCCCAGATTTTATGAATGTTCATGCCGTGTGATGAATCTAATGTTATCATCTTCAAAAACTTCAATATTGCTGCCTCATCATAAGCACACATTTTCCGAGATTAAGGTACATGCTGTAAAACCGGCCTTTTTGTACTGCGGATCGCCGTCAGCCCTCAACGTATTTGCACAGAACACGGCGCAGTAAAACAATCCGGTGATTTGTGAAAATGACCGTGTCTGCAGCACCTCCACGGAGCACTCCTCGCACGGTCTGGTTGGAGCCTGCACCAGTGCCGTGCAGACCACAGCTTGGGAACCACCGCTGTCAAATGTTCTAACTATGCCTGCGTCGTTCACGACCACGGTAGCTAAAGCATTTCATTGCAGCGATACAAGAACATTCGACTATTTGTACGTATATAGGGATGAGGCTCGCACAGATGAGAGCAAATGCAAGCACTGCTAGGCGAGGGAGACTTCATGGATTCGTGCGAGTTCGATTGTAGTACTTGGCTGCCCTGGGCAACTTTTACAAAGAGATGTTTTTAATTAGTTTTTTTACCAATGCATCTTGTTTGGGACTTCGCCAATGCAGTAATGTTCAACTGTCCTCATGCGTGCATTTTTTTAGATCTGTTTTGTTACATGGTCCAATAAACCAATTTTTTTTAATACGTGGAATTTGCAGACCTGCCTCAGCGCACAGTCAACGTTCACTGCAGAATTTACATTCACTGCGACTTACAGGGGCTCACGCATGAAACATGCTGTGGGAGGATTGGGAGGAAACCAGAGCACCCGGGACAAGCTCATGCACAACAGGGAGATAACATACAGCACAAAGTCGAGTCGCCAATCGAACCCAGGTCCCCTCTTGCCGAGTCACACGCGTCACCACTGCGCTGCCACCTCCCTGTCGCTCATGATGCTCGGAGTAGAGCCCTTCAGTGCTTTGGCAACAGTCGCGAGCTCCAAGTCAGATTCACGATGCGTGGTCGGTGGTTGTTCAGGTGAAGTTGCGGCACTGGAGTTGGTGGTGCTGGCTGCGTCTCTTAAGCCACTCGTGGAGGTCTTGCACGTGTTGGAGTCGTACGGCTTCATGGGACAGCTGGCTCTCGTAGATGCTTCGGGATAACTCTCAATTATTGTGTTGTAGTCTTCGGGGTAATGTTGTAGAGAGTCTTGGTCTAAAGGTTCAGTCTGTAGAGGAGATTGATATGCACTCACAAAGGCATCAACAGGAGCGGCGGTTGTATCGGTGGCAGTTGTGGCCCGCACAGACGCTGCAGTGGTGATATCGGTCACGCAAACCATTCTGTCGACCTTTCTGGCCACCTGCAGTTCCCGGAGCAAACACACGCATGCATCATCAAACACCTCTCGCACACGCAGCGGACACGTCTGTTCACAGGGTAGAAATGTTGGTTTCCATGAAGTGCGCACGTTTTCCTACTTCACTACGTGCGACGCGGGACCCTGCCTGGGTGAGAATCTTGAGCGCGGGACCCAGACGGAGGCCCAGGGTGGACAGGAGATGTGTCTCTGTGAGAAGGGGCAGCGTCTCTCCGTCAATGGCGTGGTGGCGGAACGCCTGCAGGCCACACACGCGTGCACACAAAGACTTAGCAGACTGTTGGGGCAAGTGCTGTTGGCGAATTGCGCCTATGAATGCTGACACGGCACACCTTTGTCTTCCCAGTGGCGATGTGTACACACACCTCACCAGGTATGAATTTAAGGCCTGGTCTGCTGAGGGGAGGCCCAGGACTGGTTTAGATATTCGTGACCAATGTTGGCCATGAGTTGGAAACGATCTTGGGTCGCTGGGTTCGTAGCGCACGTCCACCAAGGAGATGAGTTCAAGTTGAGTGAGATGGAGCGATGAGATCGGTTCATGTGCACGTGCAGAATGGCTGTTCGCATCGCCGGATTGTGAGAGGTGGCGGTGGTTCAATGAAGATGGTGGTGATGGTAGTGGTGTCGGGGAATGGCGATGTGGTGCCCTCCTTTAATCCAGCGTTGTCGAGGCGAGGGCTGGTAGATCGCTCCACAATTGCTGTGAAACTCCCTTCCTATGCGTGTCGAGGAGTTGCTCATACCCTGGCTTTCCAGACGGTAGTACAGCGAGTGGACTAATCGCCATTATTTTCCCATCTGCCTTGCCCCCTCCCTTCCCATGGGAAACCGCCTTGCCCCCTCGTGCAAGGCGGTTTCCTCCCACTTGTATAAACACTCAACCTTGATTGAGTGTAAACATTTGAAAATAAAAAAACAAATGCAGGACCCCATGTGGCTCTCCTGGATAAGTAAGTAAATCATTATTAATAATGAAATTATTATTATTGACGAGCTTTACTACCCAGTTTCGCCCGAGACTTGGATTCTTGTCTTGGATTAATACACGGCCTACGTTGAGGGTGGGCACGCACACTGCATGACGCTGCCGCATGCTGGTGACATCACAAATGTGACGTCACCACTCACTTGCCGTGCAAACTATATCTATTATTGCGCCCCCCCCTCCCCAAAAATTCAAAAGTCTATTTTTATACTTTTGCATTATGTACATTCTGAAGCTACCCACATGCCAAATTTCAAGTTTGTTGCATGTTTGGAAGTATGCTAAACATTTCGAACAGACACATTCACAAATTTCCCTTTTATATATATAGATAAAGCTGCCCATTGGGGAGGCGTTGCGCACCTGCGCAGACTCCGCACACCCAGGCATCGCAGCAACAAAGGTGCAGACGTTGTCCACGCTCCACGCCCTCATGTCTTCCTCCTCCTCCGCGGCGCTCATAGTGCCAGGCTCGCCGTCTTCCGCCATCTCCTCGCCCGGCCCTTTCCCGGGCCGCGCCGGCCTCGCGTGGCTCAACGGGGACAGCGCGGAGGGAAACCCTGGTGAGGATGTCGCGATACGGTCACTCCTCGCGTAACCCACGTGCCGGGGAAGGCCCATGTTTGGCAGAGGCGCCGACGTGGTGCCGTGTCTCAGGGGGGGCGTTGAAGAGTGTGCCGGTGAGGTTGACGGTGAGGTTGACGGCCCGGGTATCGAGGGCAACAGCAGAAACTGCGAGGCTGCCGGCAAGCGGGTCGTGCCGCTTGCGGTGGCCACAGCTATCACTGCGGGGTTCCTTGCTGCCTCCATGGCGTCCGGCGCCGAGTGATGCAGAGCCACGGATGGCAGGCGAGGAGAGCTGGGCCGGGAAGAGGGGCGCGGACACACCGAGGTCTGCGGCGATGGGGACAAGGAGGTGAGCAGAGGAGCGGCTGAGGGTTTTGACAAACTCTCCTGGGAGCTCTTGCCCGCGGCCTCAGCGCGCCGTGAACCTGAACCGACGTCGCTTGCATCGCCGCCCTGTGCCGCCATCGAGGCATCCGAGAGGTCGCGGCCGTGCCGCGTATCGCCCCGATCGCTCCGCTGCTCCTTCCCTTCACGTCCGTCTCCATCTGAGTCACAGCTGCCGTTGTCGCTGTTGTTCTCCTCCAGCGAGCGAGCCTCTCTCTTCATCACTGCCATCGGCGCAGCATCTTGGGTAACGTACGCCGTGACTTTTTGGCCAGATGACTTTCGCGTTACACCTCTTCTTCCCAAGGGGTGTGAAGCGCGGCTGGCCAGCAGCAGCCCGCGAGCATGGCTCACACTCAGCTGGTGCGTCAGGAGGTGCGGCTGATGCCGATGGCTCAGTTGATGCTGCAAGTGCCGCTGCTGCAGTAGCATTAGCGCGCTGTGACGCGCGGTCTCTGCTGAGTTCCCACCGATGACATGGTGAGTGTGCTGGTGAGGGTATGGGTTGGAGAGGGGTGGAGGGAATGAGTGAGGGTGGGACTGCAGGTGTGAGTGAGCCTCGAGCAGCCTCTGGTGATTGTGCAGGCTCTCGAGCTCCTTCTGCCGTAGGATATCGGCCGACATTTCCAACCTGAAGTGAGAAAAACAATGAAGTTACTTGTATGAAATAAACACTCATGTCAACATCACTTGTTGATTTACACATGTGTACAGGAGTATTGTAAGTAACCAATGAGTCGGCGAGCGGAAGGAGGTGCGAGCGTGTTGAGAGGCATGCGGGGCCAAGGGTGACGTAACGTCACGGGTTACATAAGGGGCTTTCGGAAAGCACTTTTGGGAAAGTGGATGGAAGCGTGGTCGTCGTTGGGGGCCAGGGTAAGGACCGGCTGGAGTGGGGTCTCTCTCCTCGTCGCGGAGCGGTGTTGGCTGATCCCCCGCTCCAGGCAGACGAGTGAGAGAGCCAAAGGGATAGCCGGGGTAGGGTCCAAATAGTTATCAATGTTCGGGTGAAGGACCGAGAAAGAGTGCACCTACACTGGTATGAGTGTGGATGCTGAGTGTGGAAGTGTTTTAATAAACGGCAACAGCCCTTATAGTAATCCTCGTCTCCGCGTGGTGTTATTGCACAACACATGCATAGCAAGCACATAAACGACATGCAAACAATCACTTGAATAAACAAATATCGTAATGTTAACATTGTACAATATGGGTTTGATCAGTTGAAATACATGAAAAGGGTTGAAAATGTATTAGAAATTGTACAATTATGCTGCTAATTTAACTTTAGGGTTTTTTTAAAATAGTTGGTTATATTAATGAACGTTTTTTAATGGTTAATTGATTGCATTAATACATAATTCATATCATATAGAAGTTGTTTATGTTGTCAAGGGCATGCTCACCGGGCCAGGCTGTGCTTGCGCAGGATCCCATGTTGCTGCTGCTGTTGCTGCTGGGAGAGGAGTAGATCGGCTGGGCTGGGTGGGAGAAACCCATAGCCCCCGACTGGGACACACACAGAGACGCCAGTCACACAGGCGAATTAAGATGGAGTCATTGGCCTCCTTGGCAAGGGCCGTCCAACCCTTGGGCTGGCTCACGGTCATAGACCTCAAGGATGCCTACCTGCATGTCTCCATTCTCGCTAATCACCACTGATTTCTCTGCTTCTGCATTATGGATCATCACTGGCAGTTCCGTGTCTTTCACTTTACTCCGGGTTTTTTTCTTTTTTACCAAAGTCCTGATGGTCCTTGTGGTCATGCTAAGGCGGTGGGCCCACCACATCTATGCCTACCTGGACGACTTAATAATTTGGGAGGTCACCAAGTAGCTCCTGGAGTCTTCGGTCTGGGTGGTGATCTTGGCTCTATAGGCCCATGGCTTTGTCTTCAATGGGGCCAAGTGTCATCTGTCCCCCTCGCAACGCCTATGCTATCCTCAACACAGTCCAGGCTTGGGCTTTCTTCATGTTGGGTTGGGTTGATTCTCTGTTGACCACTCGTGGTGGCTCGGCCCGGTCTTTTCTGATGCTCCTTGGCCACCTGTCTGCCACAATCAATGTCCTCCCTTGGACCTGCCTACGCATGCGAGTCCTGCAGTGGTGTCTTTTGGCACCATGGGACCCAGTCTCAGGCACTATAGGCCTCTCTCCGGACAGTCAGGGACCTCCACTGGTGAGCCCTTCCAGCCAATGTCAACCAGGGGAAGCCTCTGGGCTTCTTCAACGAGCAGCTTGTGGTCGAGATGGACCTGATCTGCTGACAATCCCCCCAGTATCAACGTCATCGACCTCCGCGCGATTCATCTGGCACTGTTCCATCTGTGCGCAATAGCCTCAGACAAGCGGGTCCTCGGCTGTGACGTGACAGCTGTTGCCATGGTGAACAGGCATGGGTCTTCCCATCACCATGCTCTCATGAGGGAGTTCTCCATAGCTGGGTCAAGGCCCACAGGGTTCATCTAATGGCCAGGCATCTGGCTTGAACCGAGATCCTCACCGCCGAATGACTAAGCAGTGAGACCTTAGCTTCCGGCGCGTGGTCTCTACACCAGGTGTTTTTTGATTAGCTTATGCAGCGCTTTGGCTTGCCTGCCGCCAACTGATTTGCATCCGTGGTTGATCTACCGTCAGCCCGCGGCTTTCACCATAGATGCCCTGACATGTCCATGGGACCAGGGTCTTGCCTATCTGTTCCTGCCATTTCCCCTGATACCCAGGGTGCTCCAGTAGGTGCACAGGGATGGGGTCAGGACGGTTCACGTCACTCCCAACTGGGCTAGGAGGTACTGCTTCTCTGACTTCTTGGCACTGGTGGACAGTGACCCTTGGCCACTGCCTTCGCGCTTAAGCCTTCTGTCTTAGCGGGGCGTGTGCTACCAAGACTTGTGGGTGTGCTGAAGTAGTAACTAATTGGCACGTTTTGTTTACGTGACAAACCTTACTAATTGGCTGTGTCTGGTGGTGTTGGGATAATGACACATTTATATTTACGCGATTTAACCAAAAAAACATAGATATTGGTCGCGAAAGCTTACGTGTTAAACTGAAGCAAACAGAAATCAAGCAAAAACAGCCGCAGTGCAGAAGAAATCAACACATGAAAAAGTTGGCTCATTCAAATTCACTTTTCTTTTACATTTATCGTAAAATTGTAATTAAGACACTCGCCTGCTGCTGCTGCTGCAGCTGTGGGGCACAGCGGTGACCCGGGCAGAAAGGGAGCGTGCAGCGGCGCGGCGCCCAGCGCGGAGCGGGCGACCGCCGGCGGGGACAGCGACAGCGCCGCGTGTGCCATCTGCCTGCTCGGCGCGGAGACGCGGGGACACGGGGACACGGGGATACAGGGACGTGATGGCACAGAGACACGGGGACGGGAAGACAGGGAGACGGGGACATGGGGACGCGGCTAAATGGGGGACGCGGAATATGGGGGACGTGGGGGATGCGGGGACACGGGGACACAGCGACGCTGATGAAACGAGGATGCAGCGAGTCGGGGTCACCAGCGAGCGGGGTACTGCCACAACCTCTGCTAATTCATGACTGAGAGTTCGTTATGGAGGCACAGCCCCTCTGACCTCTCCCATTGAAGTATCGATGGTTAAACCTCAATCCGGTTGTCATGAAGCACGAGTGGTCGGGTTGGTGAGGGAAATAATAAAACGGGCAACGTTTAGGGCAATGGTCCTTCTGAATAGCACATGCTATATATTTTAAAAGTATGTGCTATGAAGAAGGGCCATTTCCATTTTAAGATGGTGTTATTTTCTCTGCATCCTCACGCCGTGGCTACCTTTCCACAAACAGCCCATGCGGATGCTGATGCAGCTGCTGATGAAGTTGGTGCCTCAGCTGGAGTTGCTGCTGCTGAATTAGACTGGGCTGCGGCAGGAACTGCTGCTGCTCTTGCTGCTGTAGAGGCAGGGGCCCCAGTCTCCTCCGGGCCCCCACTGGCCCCGTCGCTAGGACCTCCTGCACGTCGTGGCCGTGGGGGTCGTGGGCCCACGCAAGAGAGGACGGCGCCGACGAAGAACACGACCGCTCCAAATCTGGAAATGCTAAACAGCGGCGAAGCCCGGAGTCAGCGTCAAGTCACCAATGTCGCTGCTACCGCTCGCGGCACGTGCATATGGTGGCGCGTGTAAAAATCTTTTGTGTACCGTTTATTCTTTTACATTTTCATTTATACGTTACATAAACATCTCAGCAAATTAAACCGCCTTCCATTGCATCTCATTTAACATTCAAAGGGTACACCCAGTGGAAGCCTTCCAGTGGCCATGAGGGGTGGGCATTCGTCTGCCAGCAGTGCATTCATGACTGCTGCTGTGTGTCATCGCAATTGAGTAATTGGGGGTGCAATTAAAAAAATGTGGACCAGGACACCGGCACATAATGGCCGAGCCCTCTTTGGACGACGTCACGGGATCTTTAATGCCCACAGGTGAAGCAGACGGCGCGCAGTATTGCCACAGTCTCAGCCGGGCTGGGCTGCCTCATTCGAAGGTGCGACCGCTCAGCCACGTCACCCCCCTCTTCCCCCCAGTAGTAGATGCGCCGCGTGAGGGGGGTGGGGGGCGAACGCACCTTGCTCGTGCAGGCGAGGTAGCCCGTGGTGGTCGCGTCCGTGGCAGGAGGCGGCGCGGCCCAGGGCCGAGGCGCAGCGAGAGAAGCGCTGCCCCGGGGGGAGTTCGTGGCCGTCTCCCGCCGGGACCTCAGCCAGGCCCTCTGAGCGCCGCACACACGACGAGCATGCGGCAACATCCATTGCGTGTGTCACTAAACATAGAGCAGAGCAATTGTCTGCTGCTCAAATGAGCATTGAGGCGTCCGTGCTCATCTCAGTTTATAGCCTTGCAGAGTCAGTGGTGCAAATGTCACATTCCTACGGCGGGGGCGAGTTTATCCAGAGAACAACCACTGACTTTCCCACAAGCGCTACTCATTTTGTGGCCTCCGGGGCGATGATGATGATGATGGGCCGAGTCAACCCCCAACCAGGATCTGAACTGGCAGCCTTCCGACTGCGAGCGCCTCGTATTGGAGTGAGTGGCAGTGGGGGTCGTTCACCTGCGGGGGAGCCGATGCCTCGGGCCCTCTTCGACGTGGATTCGATCGCCTCCCTTCCTCGGCGCCGGCCCAGTGCAGCACCTGGCCCGAAGGCACGGACGGCAAGAGTCGCGTCGTGGGGCTTTCACTCGGGGCTGGCGTGAGCCGCGTCGCTGCGTGTGCCACCCCACCATCTGGCGGGACTCGCCGCGATCATCTCTCTTGTGATCGATACATTTTTGGAATTTAGGGTCATTATTATCAGTATTTTTTAAAATCTCTCTCATTTTCTGCATCGTTTATTTCACGTTTATTCTGTTTCTTCTACACATCTCTATGTGCTCCGTAACCCTATATCAAACATTCGTTTAATAATTTATATGAATCGGAAGCAATTTACTTTCACATTCACAACTTGATACATGTATTATGAGCGCAGAAATCGAGAGAGATCCTTGTGGATCTCTCCCACAGTGATGCAACCATCCGTGTTAGAGTACGAGCCACGTACTCTAACACGGAAGATCTCGGAGGAAGTTGGATATCACCGACTTACCATCGGATGTTGGCAGTCCTGCACCAAGAGATAAAATCCACACAAAATGGACACCAATTTGATTTAAAAAGGGCCCGAGCATCATCGATTCAATGCGACTGAGTTTTTAGGACACTGGCATCTAAACTATACAAAGGAGACATTTGGGATGTGTGGGGTTAGGGCAACTGAAATAACGGATGAGAAAGGTGACAAATCTGACAGTCTGGATATCACGGCTAATCCCTGAGCACAATCCCAGCCTCAACCTGCAAACGCGCCGCTTCGTGCGTGGAGCACGGGGGGGGGGGGGCACACGAGGCGCGTCGAGCAGGACCACCACGGGCGCCGCTCGCGGGATCGGCGCGCGCCGCCCAGCTCTGTTCGCAGTGTCAGCCCTCCTGCAGATTTATCATCGCTGCCACCAAGGGTGGCAAATGCTCGCAATTGCCATCTCGACGCATTTTACTTCTAGATCGCAGGCATGCATGGGCCACGATGCTGCCATACAATGGCCTGTTCTTTGCTTAATAACATCATGAGACCTTCACCGACCGCTGTGAAGCAGACGGCGCATGTTGTATCGGTTAATGTGCCCACCGTATTGACCGGAGCAGCGGCCGGACTCGAACTGCAAGCCTTCGCAGCAGCACTGGGCTGTGTCACCACCCCCATTATAACCAGGTGATCGTCACGTGGGACGTGAATCGTGCTGTTTGTTGCTGACAGCTTGGCGGTTTGGGCATTTGAGCCTCTGCTCAGCCACCATGATTTAAAAAAGACCGAATACATTGATTTAATAAAGTGCAGCATTGCCTGTGAAAAAGCTCAGCCTTATCCAGACCACCAGTTCAAGAGAACTGAATGCGTGGCCAATTTGTCGTCGTAGTCCATCAACTCAAGGGGTTGAGAACCAGCGGCGATGGCCATCTCTCCGTGTATACTCAGCCGCTTGCACTCGTGTTTCTGTTGTGATGGGGCTGTTTCGTCATTTACAAACGGGAATTACCGAATGCATGCGACAGATTGAAAATGCCAGTTACAATCTTCGTCTGCGTAGGTGAGCTTGTATTTGTCAATTAATTAACGACATGGCCACTGCATAGAGACCACGAGCAAAACTAGACCTGAAAAGACGCCCAGGAGGGACACGGGCATTCAGTATAAGCAGAATACCAGATGAGTGAGATGCAACAAATCGGATGCCCTGGATATCACGGCTAAGCCTTCGGCATAATCCCGTCCTTAAACTGCAAACATGCAGATTAATGCAGACGGAGAACAAGCCACGCACACGCATACACACATGCAGTCGGGCACCCATATGCACAGACAATAATGGAAAAACATTAAAAACATCAACAACACTGGTGCAGCCAAGCCTCACCAGGAAGCCCGTTCTGGCCCACAACGTGAGCCTGGTCTGACATCTGCTCATGCGTTGGGGGCTTCTGAGGATTCTTGTCCGTTTGGCTGTTCCGAAATTAACGTTTCTGCTGAAATCAAACACAGCGGATGCAAACAGTGCTTTTGATTCTCAGAGTCATGTGCATTGAGAACAGTGGCTCAGTACAACTGGTAATGTACAAAGGACAGATTCAGCGAAAGCCGGAATCCTGCTGCTGTCCCACATCTGGGGTGGAGTACCCAATTCCGACTTCACTGCACCTGATAGAATTCAGAGTGAAGCAGTTGGGGTGATTTCTGGTCCACGAACTCACGATTTCACTCCGATCGCTCACAATACTTGTGGTGAACGTGAAATAAAAAAGCATGCTCCGGCAGGAGGTATATTCATCGTCCTTGCATGTTTTTTGTTTGCATGTTCACCACCAGTATATGTGATCAATGCAGACACAAATCCTTGCAAGGGTTTCTGTTTGGTGTTTTAACATCTTAACACAACTGTTTTTTTTTGCCAGAAAGGGTAAACCCGATTCGTATTGAATGTGACTATCCCAACAACCGCGCAGCGACTTGCCCATCGCCGCCTGGACACCCGCAGGGCGGCCCGGGGACCCTCCCTGCAGGGGCGCCGCCGGGAGAGATGAGCCGGCGGGCCCCACCGCCTGTGAGGAGGCGGCGTGGTGGGGCAAGGGTGCGGCCAGGCTCGACACGCCAAGCCAGGCGCGTCGAGTGTTTTCTTTTATGATTGGAGTAGGAATTAGAGGATTAGACGTGGGATTAAAGCAGCAAAATATATGCCCTACTACCCTTAGCCACTTTGAGGTTCAGTTTGGATTTCACGCCGTGGTGTTACGGGATTCAACCGTTGTCATTGGCTTTGCTTCATGGAGCCCATCTCCCACTCACGTGATGATTATATCATTTTTGCAGTCGATAATTGGCACAAAAGTAGAGGCAGCAAGTTGGGGGTGAGTGGTTTTGCCCAATTTAACTTGATTCTGCGTTGGGCGTCTCTTGATGAATCGCCCATTCAGACTGCACGTGACTTCTGCTCGTATTTAGCCTGAACCCAACTTGGAAGCCTTTGTCTTCCTTCTCTACTCGCTGCCGGTAACATTTCCTGATGCTCATTGCCATTGGGAGTCACAGTGACGGTGTCATCCGCAAATCTGAGATGAATCACGTGCTCTCAATATTCATGCCTTTGTTTCTCCAATCCAATATTTTGGAAAACATTCTCATTTTATTGTGAACAACTGTGGCGCAGGTGTATCACACTGTCAGCATATTGGTTCTTCATGTAATCTCAGTGTGGCTGCTCTGTGCTTTTATTTATTATTTATATGCTATATTTAGTCCTGGGTTTGTGCGAACCTGGATGACTGAATCAATGCTCTTTCATCGAGCACAATGGTAAATGACAATCATTCGTTTATTCAAGAAAATATGTCAAGAGATTGACAAACGTCTCAATGACATCAAAACGCACGACGCCAATGCCATGGGACACTTCAGTGCAAATATCAGCAAGAGGAACCGAGACGAAATAATGGGTTGTGCGTTTGGGATCGGGTAGAGGGTTGAGAATGCATACGAGACATGAAGATGCGAACACCGACAAGTCCAGAACGCGTACGTGAGGAAGCCCAAATGGTGGGATTAGGAACGACGTTAAGTTTATTCTCACAAACAACAACCGCCATTCGCCACTAAGTGGCGGTGACGTCACAATGGCGCTTGTGCCAGGCGATGTGCACTTTAAGGCTACGTAAAGTATCGAACGCCCGCTGGCAGGAGGTCACGACACAGAACCAGGTGCTATGGGTTGACTGAGATGAGCGGCAGATGCACCGCCTGGTCCCCTGCTGTGCCAGGCGTGTCTGCCCCCAACTGACTCAATGCAGGCAGTGATTATATAGATGGTTGCAACAAGTTGCACTTCCACAAATCCAGAGAGGGAGGCAACACTGATTGGAGGCGCAACCAAGATTGTGCACATAAAAACATTGATGTCAATCGGTAGTTCGCTCTCACCAACAGAATCAAATTGATGAAACTGGTGTCACCACTTAAATCATTAATTAAATACCAAAGTAGCGATTGACAGAGAATGAAGTTAGAAAGCAAGCGGAGAACAAATGGTATGAAACCGTAAAGAAAGCATAAAGCGGAGAAAAACTAGAGATGGAATGCACAGCACGAAGTAAAGCGATGGGGAAACGAATGAGAAAACAACTCAGAGAACACAACACAAAGCATCTTTGGTAAGGGTCACATTTTGAGCAATGGGGGGGGGGGGGGGGGGGGGAATCTGAAAAAGGTCGATGATTGATAAGTCACAAATGTTCGCACACAGAAAATGATAACACCGTAACCCGCGATAAATATACATTAGTGGAAGTACTTCGGCAATCCGAGCAACACTGAGGACGAGGAGGATGTTCAACTTGGAGAAGTCAATTCCGCCCTTTGCAGGATGACAAAGGTGAAAGCCTCTGAACCAGGTGGTATTTCTGTCGACGTGCTCACAATCAGCGGCCATGTTCACAATCATGGAGAGCGAGCGGCTCAATCATTGCGTTGCTCAGGGCTGAAACGAGATATGAGAGCACCGCCTCAATGCTCATTTGAGCAGGATATCACTCTTATTCGCCAGCGCAGGCGGCACCGTGTCTGCTCTGGTGCAAGGACTGTCACCCAGAGTGTTGACACCCACAAGCACTCGATGGCCGTGAGTGTGGCGCACAATGCCGTGATCGTGATGATGACACAGGTTCCCAACTCACCACGCAGCTCCACGCAGACGAGAAGCGCCTCTCAACAGATGGGCCGGTGCCGAGTAGCGGATCCGGTCGCGACAGCCTTGTTACAAAAACCGCGTTCAGTTAATGCCTGATTAGGGCTGACAACGCCGAGCCTTAAGTGATGACCAGAGGAGCGAGGAGGGAGGAGGGAGCCTGGAGGGCGACTCTGAGCAGACCCCGAGGGTGACGATTAGCGGAGCATTAGCTACAGGTTCGTCGTGTGAGATTAGCAGCTGGGTATTTAGGGGGCAAGGGATGCTGTACTGTATTTAAGATGGATCATCTGGCAGTGGATAAGCACAAACACGAAGAGCCGAGGCGTGCGCAGAGCCCTGGTGCTGTCCGTGCGTCCCACGCTGCACAAACCGCACATCAGGCAGGGCCTGGAGCGGCTGCAAGGTGCAGCAGGCCGTGGTCATTGTGCAGCTTCTGTGTGTCCGTCACCCACGAGTCTTTCGTGAATTTACTTGTTAGCATATAATTTGCATACAGTTTATGAAACAAATACTGAAACGTGCGATTCAGTGCGTGCAGCACAGGGAATAGATATTGATCTGCGTGTGGCTATAAGAACGCCTGAAATCCGATGCATGTATCACGTTTTGGAATTTATATTAAACGGCGGATCACGACATCACTGCCACATTCGTCTTCAAACTGCACCTCGACCTCTCAATGCGGGGGCCAAAGCTGAGCAGGCCGCTCCAAGAACCTCACTGGGCCACATATATCACCACCCATGGGTCTGAATGAATCTGTTAAAATATTAAAATCAGATGTCACATTCTTGTACTCTGAAACACATTCGCCTGATTGTACTGTTTACACGAGTAATTGTATGTATGTTGATTTAACTTCTTTCGCACCGTACGTAGCCAACCGTGCTAATCAGAGGTGCGGGGGGTGGACAACACACAAAACACAAAAATAAATTCTAAACAAATTAGTTTTCAATCTAGGAAGAGCATTCCAAACGTCCGCGGGAAGCGCATCCGAATGCGCGCGATGTAGTAACCGTCTTTGTATTGTGTAGCTTAGACAGGATCATGCTCATCCTGTGAAGAATATAATCTCACTGCACCTGTGATTAGCACAGTTGGTTACGTACGGTAAGAAAGAAGCTCAACATATATACCCTGGGTATTGAAGGTAGCTGGAGCAGCCATGTGGAGCTGATCCGGAGCCAGTCTTGAGCTGGGTTGAGCTACCAGACTCACTGCAGAGCCGCAGTCAGCAAAACGGAAACATTTTCCCCTTAAAAGTCTCACACGCAAATGTAGCAATACAAAGCACACAAATAATCTGTAACATATTTTATTTATGGACGAGGCCCAGAGTCCTGCTCTAGCCCGGGCTCGAGGCAGCAGCACGCCCGTGGGAGTGAAACCGTGCAGTTGAGCAGATTCCTCTGCAGGTTTATCTGGAGCGCCCAGGGTACAGCTCTAGAATTGCACACATCCCACTCGTCGCTCCGCTGTGCTAGAATGCCATTCTTTATCTATGCATCTGTTTAAAACCATTGCAAAGCAGTATCACAATATCACCCTAAACTCTCTGCGCAAAGAATATGCCTCTGACCATTTGTCTTGTTCCCACAGGTGGTCACTTGGAGAGCAACAATACGGAATTGTGGAGCCGAGAATTTTCATATTTCATCCGGCTCTATGTTGTTTACATAAAGTTAGTTTTTTCAGGTTTAATGACACGATGCTTGAATTTTCAGGGGTTCTTAGCTACTTTAATGTTTCATTCCCATCCCAAAAGCTGCCCAGAGCTGAGCGTTAAGTTAATGACGGCTTTGTGAGTTGGCAAGGCGGTTGGTAAGCGATCAGAGCTCGTGATGATGCACCGGAACCTTCAGCTTTACCTCCACGGGGTAGTGATCACTCACCTCCAGGGCCTGAGCACACAGCACCACCACAAAGTACACAACATGACAGTCTAGAGTTCGGTATCACAGTGGCGAGTTCCACATAACACAACAACAACAGCCGCATTCTCCACTAAGCGTGCCGAAGGTGTGGTATAATTTAAGACCATCACGTGAAGTATCAACGATCGCTGGGAGGTCACGGGACAGACCCAGATGTGATGGGTTGAGTGCCTCAGGTGACTGGCAAGTGAACCACCTGCCCTCTCCCCACTGTGCCACTTTGCTGAATTTAAGCTGCTCTGATCATTGTTGTGTCATTCCTCTGCCTCTCATTATTGCTGAACAGTGGCAGCCTCCAGCTGCCCATGAGCAAATTTCAAGGACCTCCTGCACAGAGTTGCGGCCACTACGTCTGCAAATTTGCGCGCGTTACAAATTGAACTATTATTATTATTAGAGGACGATCTTTGCACCTCTGGTACCAAATTTCGGTAAGTTCATTCAGCCCTATGTCCCTCTATACCACATCAGCCTATCTCTTTTTTAGCCCATACCACACCTGTTTAGCCGTCTGATCATCCTAACCTTTCGAGCTGCTGCGACACATGGGCTACATGGCCCAGCCAACACAGACTCACCTTTTGGAGAAATTCACTGATGGGACTTTCATCCTAATTTGCATTGTGCCATCAGCGTCGTATCACGCATTACAAACATCTCCACTCCGAACTCTCATAAGTAGCAGAGAATGGCTCAATACGTGGCACCGCATAATGACTTTTGAGCTACTTTAATCGACCACTGTACCCACACCAGGGGCCCACCCTTTATATACTGTAGTTTATATATTCTGCAAAAGAGTTCGTCGCATATAAAATCTAAATTTGATTCTTAATATTAGTTTAGAAAAAAAACGTGTGCAGCCAATGGTGACCATGGTGAGACCACCAACTCGCTACTCTTGAGAACCCAGTCCAATTTTGGACGGCTGCCCGAATGGAACCCGGGGTCTCGGAGCTGTCGACTTGTCATTGACGCAGCGTTAAATCCCTTCATCCACCCAGCCGTCGCTCAGCAGGGGGTCTCCGGAGACGGTATAGAGCCGTGGTACACCACGACATTGCTGGCGAGGGGAAGCGACCCGCATTGGATGCCAACCTTCTCATTGCTGAGCCCATACGTCTTCTGGAAGTTGAACGCCCTCGCAGATCCAGCAACCAGCGCACTGCGTAACTCCGTCCCGTGCACCACGATTCTGTCATTGAATACGCAAAACGAAAACAGCGCTACCCACCGAATTACCGATAGCACACAAGTGTTGATTCCTCCGCACAGCGTGAGTCTGAAGGCAGACAAATAGCGGGGGACACGGAGGTGAAGCCTCGGACAGTGTCAGTTTGGTGTCTGCAAATGTAAGGCTCCATTTGTTATTCTGCCTCTTTGATCTGAATTTGTTATTTACAGTAGTCGTCAATTTGCTGTAAATGCTTTCAATTAACAACCGTGCCCTGAGTGTAACCCTGACGAGATCTCCACAATCAGCATCACCATGCACTGTTCCCTCACACAGGGATTCCTTCATAAGGCTTACATCTACATCTGTTTAGTCTCTCTCCCTTGTACCTCTGCCGTCTGTTATGTATCCAACTCGCTCTTCTCTTGTTCCTGTCTGTCTTCTGTCTCCCTGTCTCATACGCTAAGCTGGGCAACTGAACAATGTTGAAAATGTTATGAACATTAAAATTATTCAAATGCATAAGGCTCAAAATCTGAAACCTGCATTTGCAACTGCAACTAACCGATGCAATCCGTCCACTACTGTGGGTGGGGGGTGGGAGGGGTGGGGCTGAATGGGGAGGGGCTGGTCACCCCGTGGTGCCCTTATAAAACTCAACGTTTAACCTACTCATGCCGGCTTGTGCCCTCCCTCACAGTCGAGCATATTTGCGGAATACACCATGCCGCCGTTGACCCTGGCCATTGACCGAGCAACCCAACGTCCCTAACAGCTCCCTCCGCAGGAATGTGTTTATGGGTGCACCCATACAGAACATAGCAGGCGTCAATCTGCCACGCGCTGTCTCTGTGACAGATGGAAATCGTGTTGGTCCATCCGTGGAAGGGCTCTAAAACATCGCCGCTTGACGACTTGGGCCCGTGCTCAGCCCCTGTGTTTCACAAAAACACAGCCTCCTCCTCCTCCCCCCGCTCTGTCTGCGGGAGGAGGCCCACGGTCCGTGCCGCCGTGGGCCGAGGCGCCGCGCGTACCGGTCGTAGGCGCAATCCGTGTTCTTGTTCACCGTGGTGTCCACATCGTCCCCGATCGCCCAGTGAAACGACGGGCCCCGAATGCGCACGTGGGACCAGTTGGTGGCCGAGACGTAGCCGCAGGCGGCGTTGAAGTCTCCCAGCAGCATCACGTTCTGCGGGCCGGTCATCGCGCCAAGGCAGCGGCACCGTCACAAGGGCAATAGCAATGCCCTGTGTAGCCATCTGCCAATCCACTACTGGATGAGGGTCTCCCCATGCCGTGCGAATCGCGGGGATTATTTGACCATACTTCGTCACGCTGGTCAGTGCTGGTTGGTAAAGGCTGGGAGCATAGACGTGGGAGCAAAGAAGTATAGTACAACCCACCGTGTGGCCTAAGCCAACCCAACACGCGTGGTGGCTTCCCATCCAGCCACTGTCGGTGAATACCGCTCCTCATATTGTCTTTGTGTAATGGTGTCGTCTGTGTAATGGTTGAGTAGGAGAGTGAGCATGACCGCATGTTGAGTGTCCTCTGGGTAGGTGAGTTGAGAGTGGGCCGACAGGGCGTGCGTGTCCTGTGTAAGGGTTGTGTGTTGGTGTGCCCGACCGTCGATCCGTGTGTGTTAGACGTGACCTGGTTTCCCCAGAGCTGCACCACTTCCTCAAACACGGTGTGCAGCTTCTGCAGTTCCGACACGGCGCTCTTTGGCGAGGTGTGCTGGCCCACCAGGATCAGATCCTGCACCGCTGATACAACAAAAAGGGCGGCGGGCACGGCCCAGCCGGAATGTGTTCACCGCTTGGCTGCAGGGGCTTGCGGTACATATCCGGAAGGTTGCCCTGGTTAACGGTGTGGTGTATTCACCATACATACGTGCCATCTGCTTCACAGTGAAAGATACAGAGCCCGTGACTCCATTTGAATACAATTAGGATACCACAGCTCCGATTAGCACGGTTGGCAACATATGATGCGAATTAAGTTCAAAATGCATACAATTCACCGTACATATATATATCGGTGTGTTGGTGTCACTGTACACATTTGACAAATTACTTAATTGGGAAACACCTAGCAATCATCGCCCCCTACTGCCAATTACTGGACTTATGTGAAAAAAGAGTCCACTCAGTGAGGCTTTCCTGTGTGAAGACGCGCAATTATAGTATTTACATGCGGCCATACACACGTGGGAGCTTCTCAATTGCAGGCCAGGTGCAGGTCAGGTGCAGGTCAGGTCACGCTGCGCTGCGACACTGCATTACAGAGGCGTGCGCTGAAGGTGACCCCGTGTGCCCTGATAACCCCGCGGGGTCATTACCTGTGCTGGGTGAGTGGAAACGCACCGAGAAGGGCTCGCGGAGAAACACGCAGGGCCCTTGCGCGTCGTTCTCCTTGTACTGGTGGGAGTCACGCAGCTTTACCAGGTTGCTCCTGGACAACGAGAGAGCACACGCGGGCTGCGTGTGGTTCTCGTCCTCTATCCACGGCTCCCCACGCCGTCTCCATGCATCACAATCCGACTCGCGCCCACTACGCGTCAACGCCACGAAGCTTGATAACTTATTGACCAGCGTGCACGCGGTTACCATTGCACGCTGATACAGACAAAGAAGACATCCGTGAATAACCCTCGGGCCTTAAAAAAACACAAATAGATAGGCGACGATTTTGTCAGTGGCCCTTCTTCCGCATAGCACGCACTGATTACGATGGCTTCTTGTACATGTGGAGTTGTTTTGTTGAGTGTACGTCATGTGTTTTTGACAGCCAAGCTGGGGGCACATTACACAACAACGGCTAAGTGTGGTAGTGGCGGGGCGAGTGCGGTTCCATTGATGCCAAGCGAGCGAGTGGCTGAGTCAGCGCCGCGTGGCGCTGGCTCCGCCACCTCCACCGCGTTCACCACAAGAGGCAGCTGTGGCTTGACCCTGCAGAAGAGGCCAATGGCACCTCAACATTGTGGGGGAGCGCCGCATGGCTCGAGAGAAGCCGCGCGTCGGGCATGGCACACCCTGCCACGGAATACACTTCGGGTCCGTTAGTTATCTCATAAAGGGGAACACATCAATTATAGTTTTGCAAATGGAAACTAACCCGATTTAGGTGAGTTCATAGCTGGATTACGCTGACATATCCTTGTGTGAGCATTACATAAAGAAAGAACAGATGTCGTCTATATCTGCTTTTAAATCCGCCACACGCTCGGTCTCGCCGCCACTCACCGGTACACGAACGCGTACTGCTCCCTGTACGAGCCCCGTCCCAGGCGCTTGCTCGCCACGTAGGAGTAGCGATGCCCCCCGGGCTGGCTGCAATCAGATCCGCACATTGAGGGCACCCGCAGTGGACACAGTGCCAGTCCACCCACCTCACGAGCACAGCGTGGTGGCCGCGCCGCTCGCCGCTGTATGAACCTCGGCGGTGCCGAGACCAGCAAGGATGTACAGGATGTATATGTGGGGCCAGTGGCGTGTGAGGAAGATACCACGACGAGCTCATGGGTCTAACTGTGAATGTGACAATCAACATTACTCAAACTTTGAAGTATTCACACGACGTATGCCCTCCCGACACCGCGCAGTAACTCTACTCACACCATGTCAGCCTTGTCTCCTCATCCCCCACCTCCCCCAAGTGAGGTCTTACACTCACCCCCCAAGAGCAATCGTCCTGAGCAGGTTTCGAACTTGTAAAATTTGAACCATGACGCAGGCACACAATTGCCTACTCGTTTGGAATGCCGTCGGGCGATCTTTAACCGCCATTGTGAAGCAGATTGTGTATGTTCTGGTTTGTACAACCGAGGTATGAACTGGGGCGGCCTGCCAGATTCGAACCGCGAACCTCTTCAACAAGCGGCTACCGCTGGGCCTTGTCACAGCCCCAGAGTGCGTTGTGTAACAAACACTCGAGAGAGAGAGAGAACAGAGAGACATCACTTGTTGAGTTGCTCCACAAGGCGAGGGAGTGTACAGTTCTTGCAGTCCCGGATCTCCATCACGAGTGTGACGTCACACCGAGATATGATCTATCACAGACATGGAGAGAGGGGAATGGGCTCCACGTTTGCTCACCCATTCCTCAACAACATCTTCACCCATTCCTCAACAACATCTTCACCCATTCCTCAACAACATCTTCACCCATTCCTCAACAACATCTTCACCCATTCCTCAACAACATCTTCACCCATTCCTCAACAACATCTTCACCCATTCCTCAACAACATCTTCACCCATTCCTCAACAACATCTTCACCCATTCCTCAACAACATCTTCACCCATTCCTCAACAACATCTTCACCCATTCCTCAACAACATCTTCACCCATTCCTCAACAACATCTTCACCCATTCCTCAACAACATCTTCACCCATTCCTCAACAACATCTTCAGGGCTCCACGAGCACTGGGGCAGCGACCATCTCTCTTGGTGGCCCTGAGCAAGGGGTGGAAATTTCGCGTTTCCATCTCATATCGCGTCTCTTGACTGCGGCGCCCAATCGCCACAACACGGAGTGGAGGCGCTGGAGCAAGAGAATGAGTCCTTGCAGTAATGAGGCCTATTTATGATCATGTAAAGTAGATGTGTCATGCCCAAATATAGGTTATCCAGAGCGTTCCCTTGCCCATATAAGGAGTTGTAAAAATAAATAATTGCGATTCCAGTTCCATGCTAGATCCCATACTCAAACCCTCGCTCAAACACATCATCGCGAACCCATGCTCGAGCCCATAATGCATGCAGAATCCCTCCACATTGCACGGACTTATGTTGTCACGCCTCAGCGCACACCAGGGCGGGGGGCACTGCACGTTGCAAGCGATTCCTTCCTCTGCTCCCAGTGCATCATGCCACCGAGTTTTACTCAAATGTTACGCGACAAGTTAGTTTAGCAAATGCACACATTTTATCCTCATCTACCGTGTTACAATGCCTTTTTTAATGAAATATGAAAGTTTTTGCTGCTCAAACGAGCATTGAGGGATTGGAGGTCATCTCCTATTTAAAGCCCTGGACCCAGTAGTAGAAATTCCACAAAGCAGTATACATTTTATCGACCACAGAGAAACAATAAGCCTAAGAGTTGAGTATTTTAACCATTATGCCACTCCTGGGTCTGACCTTTACGATGATCTCCATCACGTGGGGCTTGGATGCCTTGGCTTGGCCGAACGTCTGAATGTTGAAGGAGCAGATCTTGAGGTCCGATGATGCCCCACCACACACGAGGGACAGCAGCAGCGGCAGCCACAGAGCACCGGCACGGCCCCGCGGGGTCCTCCTCTCGCACATCTCGGTGACACACGCGGGCCCTGCGCTCCCGAGTCCCACCTCCACACGAGTCCCACAGCAGCAGCAGCCGCCACACAGACTGCCTCCGTGCTGAGCTATTGGGAAACACTTCCCGTTCCATGCGCGTGCAGTGTCTGTGCGGCCACTCGGCCACTTATCTTCAGGAAGTGTGTGGCTTCCTCGTGTGAGTGGGGCAGCACTCGTGCAGATGGCACGAGTGGGTTCTGCGACACTGGCAGTATGGACTATGCCATTTGAGACTGTCCAGAGTAATTATTACATACATTTACATACAAATTCACTTTGTAACAAACATTCAGGTCCATTTATATCCCTGACTTGTTATATCATATATATATATTTAGTTTCACACATTATTTTCATGCTATATTAAAAAATCGCTTGTTTTGGGGCTGTGTTTCCTTGTCCCTGCATCGTAGACATTGCTCATGATGCACGACAACTCCATTTAAGAGACATTTGTTGCCGGTTTCAAGGACAATGGACACTGGAGACGTTGGAGAGGCCACGCTCCTCGCTGGGAGTACAGGCACAGCATCGTGGTGTCTCGTGAGCCAGTGAAGTGAGAAACTGGAGGTCACCAGATCATGTAAACACCCTTTAGCATCAACGCCACTCTTATTTAGAGATGCATACGTTAATTCACGTGCAAGGCTCTTTTATAAATACTGGCAATTTCCACGGTGGTGGCAACCCGCGGCACCCACAGGGCGATGCCATGGCTCTAGATTAGCACGGTTGGCGACTACAGTGCGAAAGAAGTTCAAAATGCATACACGCATTGCTTCCAGAAACAGCGCACTGGCCCTTGAAACATTTCCTCGGAAGCCTGTACCAGCTGCCAAGGAGTGAAGAAGCAGTGTCCATGTCTCCATTCCAATATATCCGGCCAAACGTCCACCCAGTTTTCTAAAGATGGCCTTCCCCATAAGTCTTAAACCGGCTCTTGACTCAACTTGCCTTCCTTTCCCACCGCTTCATCTTGGTTTGGTTCTCACTCTCGACTCACTTGCCCTGCCCTGCCAATCTCTGTACGACCCAGCGAAGAGGCCGTAGGGAAGAAATTGATTTGCCTTCCTTTCCATATACTTTGCACTTTGATGTGTTTTGTATTGTTTGTTGTAACTGCCTGACCCGTCCCGACGGGACATCTGTGAGAAAGAGCTGCATAGCTCATCGGATTTCTCCAGGATAAATAAAACCCTCTGTTGCCAACAAGTCTTGCCTCGAAGTTGACACGCAGATGCCCTCACCCACCCTTCTTACCTTGACTTGCGTCGTTGTTGTTGTTGGACTCTCGCTGTGTCTCGTATGGGTCCCAGTGCTCAGTGTGGGATCTCAGTGTCTCACTCTGAACTACTGGGTGCACCCTGCTCATGCTTACGCGCTCGCTGCAATTTTCCTCATTAACACAGCCCCTGGGCGTAGTCAAACATTATCCTCATGGTAATTAACACCCAATTACATTACTTGCATATGACAAGAGGAACTGAGAATGTCATCAAACAGCATAAAAACAAAGCGTTTGATTGTCTTGTTTTATTGTGAACCACGTAGCAACGGGCGGACGGTAAGTCACAATATATATTGCAATAGTGAGACCACTTGTTTAATCGTGCAAGAGGCTGTGGGAACTTTACGAGTAACACATGGATTCAGATTTGTAAGAAAAACGAATGCTTCCGGGCAGCGAGGTGTCCGCCCGGCGGTGACGGAGACAGTGACAGCACAGGGCAGCCTCACGTGGTGGCTGCAGGTATGGGAGGTCTCGCTGGGAAACCCTGGAATCAGGCGCTGTACACGATGGCTATGTTTAAAGCACAAGTGTTCACTCAGTAAAAATTCATTTATTTCACAACCGTTAGTTAATTGGGTGAGTGGAGCGTGTGTCGTGACGGGTAATATGTGGATGAGTGATGTGTTGAGTATGAAGGCTGATTTTATGCAAACACGACTTCAATGCCAGTGTCATGCACGAGACGCAATACGAATGTCACCAACATGACTGTGTCTGCCCCCTCCATACCTCCACGACTGTCACTCCCTACCCCTATCGGTGTTCCTTGTGTCGATACTCACTCCCTACAGCTCCTCCGGCGCCAATCTAGCTACCTCCAAATCAATATTTTCTGATCACCACCCCAGTCTCCAGTAAATATTCATCTTCTTAGCATCTGCTCAATGTCCAATTATTTTTCCATGCTCGATGCTCAGCTTCGATGGGGAATTGGAATCCTGTGTCTCTGAAGCCCTGGCACACCGCGTCTGACCTGAGCACACGACGGTACTCTCCTACGACGAGCCCTCCGCTGGGTTCGTCACGAAGACGCTCACTGCACTGCCAATGGTTGCAGGCCCCCCATCATTTCCTAAACCGATTTGAAAATTGCTTCTCTAAAAAAGATGCTCTTGTACACTCCCACCCTTAATTCACGCCTCTAATCCTTAAACTCCCAGCCTCCTAAAGTCAATCCCTTTTGGAATAACATCCTCCTTCCTGAGTGGTTTTTACAACGTCACCGTCCTGCCAAGCTTCCCCTCCACCACCCCTCACATTTTACACATCCCGTCATCCACACAGCCTTCTGGAAGTCCATACTTTAATTATCCATGGCCCCTGCCTCTCCATTACAAACTTGACCTTGTTTCAAACATCTGCAATGCACTCCTTAAAAACGTCATCCTCGGTTTACACAGTCATCAAATCCTCATCGTATTCTTCCTCTGAAGCCCCACATCGGTAAAGGTCGCATTATCACACGCTCGATTGGACATAAACCCCCACCATGAGGATATGTAATGAATATGTAATTAATATAAAATGTAATTAAAGCACACACATGTGATAACATACCTGGTTCAATACTGACAGTAGCGAGTCCCTGGCACAGTGAAACCTGTACTACAAACAGCACCGTAGTTCTGAGTGTGCAATGCGTGTAGATTTGGCCATTTGACATATCGCACAAAGGCCGTCGTGATGACCCGGGCTGACTGCTGACAGAACAACAACACCGCTGCATCGCCGCGTTTTTCGTTCTGATGAGCCAGCACGGTTAAGCCCAATTTGCTGCCTTGCACGACCTCGGCCCATAACAGAACAGAGCCCTACATGTGCCGGCTCAGAGGAACTCCGTGCAAACAAGCGCTGTGCGGTGCTAATCTCTGTTCGCAATGTGCATTCCACGTTCCTATGGTGAGAGCCTGTCTAACCATAGAGCAGACGCTGTTGATTTCCTACGAAGTTATTCTCTTTTATTTAGCTCAGAGGAATGCTGGTAGTGGAGATACGTAGATAACTATACTGTAGTTGTTGAGTAAAATGTTTTAATTTAATTAATACTGTGCTGTAGATTATATCAGCACCAACTCAAATCAATGTAATTGTTTGTTTAAATATGCGGTGCCTCTGACACAAATCTGGCCATCACATTAAAACTCAATAAAACTAGAGAGATTCTAAACAATGAGAAATATATATCGTTCCAAACATGTTTCATTGATCATCATGAAGCAATTTTCATACACTGCTGGATGAAGACCACACAAATCCACGCTCATCTCTCACAGCCCTTCGATGTTACAATCCGCCTCGCGCGTGTACATGAGAGCTCCACCTTTGCTCGTCCTGTCCACTGGCTGCCACGCCATGTGAGAATCAGAATCTTTATTTGTCCTGGAGGAATCCGATGAGCGATCAAACTCGTTTTCACAGATGTCCAGTAGGGGCGGGTCAGCAAGTTACAACAACGAACAATACAAACGATAGGAGTGCAAAATAGAGAAAAGGTAAGAAAGTAACTATAAATAGATAAAAAAAAACCATAACGCATACAAATTGCATGAGTACATACATTCTTGCTGATTTTTCTACACTAAATACAAGCTTGGGCAAGGCACCAAAACAACAAAACAGCCACAAACCACATCAAGACAACACAGTCCCTCAATAAAATTGCACATTAAAATTTAACTATAGATACAAGGGTAAGGATTAAAGTTCACATTAAATTGTTAATGTGGTTGTATCCAGCACTAATATGCTTCAGGTTTTTTTTTAAAGGGAGATGTATGCTCTTCTTGGTTCTTTCGGTAAAGTCACATAGAAGGAAAATCATAAAATAATAAAACATAATAAAATATTCTCACGACGTGAGCCTTAGCTCTTAGAAGAGCTGGAAGGCTGGGAGCCGGGGTCCTGCCTGCCAGGACCTATTCTCCCCTTGACCGCTGGGACACTGAGCCTGAGCTCTCACAAGAGCTGCAAGGCTTGGTCCAGGGTCCTGGCTTCTTCTGCCGGGCTTCGGTCTTCGTGTGAGAACTCGCGCGCGCTCCCCGCGCTCGCCCTTTTATACCCGTGTGTAACGGTCCTTATCCAATCACACGCTCCCCCGTGGGACCCTCTGATTGGTTCTTCACAATCCGTCGTTTCGATCCTCTTTACCTCGTCTGACCCCTGGCCGTTGGTCTGGCAGGAATCCGTGTTTACGATCCGCTCTGACCTCTCCCTGACCCCGGCCGTTGGTCCCAGCGCGGCAACTCTGCATTGCCCCTCTGATACACAGTGGACCCGCAGGTTACCGAATAGTGTGTCTAGCACCTCTACATAAGTACACCCAAACATTTTAAGCATTTTGTTCAATATTGTTTCTGATACCCGTAATATGTGAAGGGAATTATACTGGATTTTTGTTTGAAGAAAAGATAATTATCTCAGTTTTTGGAGATTTAGGAGCAATGGCAGAGCCAGGATTTTAAGGTAGGGGGGGGGGCAACCCCTCCAGCAATAAAAATGATAGCAGTTGTTAGTAAGTAAGGACTTATCCCTTGCTTTTTATTTGACGCGTGTGCGGCGATAGCGAAGCCATCGATCGTGTACTGTATACACAACTGCGCACAATTCTGAGTCACTTATAACTGCTTTGCCGTTACTTATTGCCAATTATGGACTCAGACTATTGTCCTATCATCTCATAGAGTCCCTGGCACGTAATAATATGCTACACAGTGGCAGTGGGGGTCGCAAAATGCCGATTTATTACTAATAAACTCCAATGATCCGATCGAAATTAGGGATTTCGATCGGATCATTGGGGGGGCACATGCCACCGCCCAATGGCTCCGCCAGTGTTTAGGAGAAATTTTAGTGTTGACAATTGATATTGAATTCAGTTGAAATCATTTTGGAGATTCTGTTTAACTTCGTTTGGAAATTTACCCGATACGAGCACGACATCATCAGCAAAGAGATTCAATTCTGAGCGATTTAAGTTTAGTCCAAGATTGTTAAAATGAGCAGAATTGGACCCAGCAAAGAGCTTTGTGGCATATCCTTTGTTATTTCAATGTGTGGACGAGATGTTATCACTGTGACTTTTTAGAACGGTCTGAAAGGTAACTCTTAAACCAGTTTATTGTATTGTCAGAACATTTTAGTTGACCAAGTCTTTTGAGTAGAATATCGTGGTCAACAGTATCAAAGGCATTTGACAAGTCGAGGAATAGTGCATAGCAGCAGTGGCCTTCATCCAGATTACTGAAGATACATAAATATGTGATATATTCTACGGAGGGCTAGACATCTTCAATGTGGCACACGTCTTTTCGAGTCTGTGCCGAACGCCGTAATGAGGTTCAGGATTGTGACAATCAACTGCTTGGAGCCGTCCATAAATGACGTCACGCGATTTTTCACGATTTTTTACCCCCCCCCCCTCGTCCCAAAAGTCAGACCCCCCTCAAATATGACGTCACAAGCTCTGCCCCCCCCCCCCCCAAATAAACATGCTTCAAATCGCTTTAAACTATTGTCATTGGAGTGCGTATTTAATGTGGCGCTGCACTCTGATGTTGTAGGAGAAAACATTTATTAAAACGTCAATTTAATTAAGTAGAACGTGTTGTCTATATTTATTTAAAGTTGCGCATTTTTACGTGACGTCACATTTCTCCCCCCCCCCTCGTCACGCATCGTCACAAATGTCTGACCCCCCCCCCCCCCCCTAGGTGCGTGACGTCATTTATGGATCGGCCCCTTGGGTCCCACGCCGTATCATCCACGGGGGTTGTTTGATCATGCTCCACGCGGGCCAGTGCGGGTGAAGGCAGCAGGCACAGACGCCATCGTGAGTTCCGGACGGCGGATTTTGAACTTGGGGCGAAACCACCTGAACTAAACAAGATGGCGGCCAGCGGATAAGCGACGTCACTGATTGGTCTGGTGAGATCACGTGGCAACGCTATTCGAGCCACGTGACGTTGGTCACGTGGGGCTCTTTCGGGGGCATCGCGGTGTACAGTAGCGGCAGCTGGTACAGTGAGAGGTTCGTCTCCCGCGTTCATCGTCTCCGCGGCGCGACTGGCTGCTGGTGAGAGCCTGAAGATCCAGCCTGGCTCAGTGTGTGTGTGTGTTGAACTTCTTTCGCATCGTACGTAGCCAACCGTGCTAGTCGGAGGTGCGGGTGAAGGAAGACGAAACACAAAACGCGGATCTACAGAAATGAGCCTTCAATCGAGATTGTAAAAGTGCAGAGCTCCAGTCGCTTGCTAACAGTTGCATTCACCGTTTATAATGTTTTATTATCATATGGAGTCAGAGATGTATTCATTTTATGACCCCCAATTCTCCACGCATAACGCGGTGTCTTTGTTTTTACCACACAAGAAGCTTCGAGTCGTGCGGTGAATGCGTCATGGTTGTGCTAATTGTGGTCTCTGTCGCGATGTTTGTATTTGCGTGTCTTGAGCGCGCCTGTCTTGGCTTCCTGAAGTTGACGCGAATGTCCACGTGGACATGTGACATCACGGGCTGGCAAGACTGGCCTTGATACTGAAATCAGGACTGACATTTGGGGCCGTCCATAAATGACGTCACGCGATTTTGGAATCCCCCCCCCCCTCGTCACACGGCGTCACAAAAAGTCAGACCCCCCTCAAATATGACGTCACAGAGCTCTGCCCGCCCCCCCCCCCCCAAAAAAATAAAACATGCTTCAAATCGTTGCACTCTGATGTCGTAGGAGAAAACATTTATTAAAAAGTCTGTTCAATTAAGTAGAACGTGTCTATATTTATTTAAAGTTGAACATTTTGATTTGACGTCGCATTTCTCAACCCCCCCCCCCTCGTCTGACATCATTTATGGACGGCCCCTTTATGCATCAGAGGTTTTTTGGGTTATATCGCGTAAATATATAAATGTGTCTTAAAACCCGCCACCACCCGACACAGCCAACTAGTAAGGGTTGTCACGTAAACAGAACGTGCCAATCCGTCACCAGTACAGCACACCGGTGTGTTATTACAATGAACCAGTATAGCACACCGGTGTGTTATTACAATTACTGGCGAAATGTCGTACTCAGTTTGTAAATGTCGTGGCTTGGCTCTCCAACACACCGGTTAGTGCTGTACTAGTGACGAATTGGCACGTTCTGTTTACGTGACAACCCTTACTAGTTGGCTGTGTCGGGTGGTGGCGGGTTTTAACGACACATTTATATATTCACGCGATCTAACCCATAAAACCTCTTATGGATGACTGTACCTGCTGCATTGTGTCTGCCATAGAACTCTGCCATGGCGACCATTCTTCCCCTGGATCGGCTCGTAGTGGAGGTCGTGGACGCACACACGGGTGCTGCACATAGAGTGCCTGCCCTGGTGGGTCACTCACTCACAGGCACTGCTACAGCAAAACGCAAACACTGGCAGAGAGTATAACCTGAAATGTACAGAGAAACATGGATAAATAGATACTGGAAATTACATTTACAGAAGGAGGAATAACATTGATCCGAGAACTAATGCAAAGCAGAGAAATATGGACCGTTAAGAAAAGGGGGCTTTAGCAGTACATGTCGCAAAAAGGAATTCTGGCCGATGGAAAAGACGATTGACAGAATCGCAGCCAAAGGAGAGATCGTGTTGGAAATGGCAGCCATCGCGAATAGAGAGCAAGGCAACAGGAAGAATCAAATGATCTCATCACTGACGTGTAACACAATTTCCGTGTTAGAGGTTCACAGGAGAGTCCCTCTGTGCACTGTGTTGTGGCGGTGAGCTGTGCAGCACCCTCGCTGGAAGGTGGAGCGGAGGTTTGTGGCGTACCGCCCGCCCCCGCCTGAAGGCTGCCCTGTCGCACTGCACGAGTGGGTGGAGCGCTTGCGGTTTCTCACCAGCGATCTGGACTGGCTGCTCAAGCAGCCGCACCCACGCTTCTGGTCACAGGTGTTTTGTGCGACACCTCGCAACATTGACTTGTGTCTCTCTTTTGTACTTTGTGTCTCTCTTTTGTACTTTATTGAAACATTTACTATGTTTACGACTGTAATTCAAGACAGAAAAAGGTGAATTTTTTTATTTTTCAGACTACTTCATAGACCTAGTCATTTTAATCTAAGTATGACATAGTAACAGTTAAGCATTTCATTACAGTTTAATGCAATTCTTACGAATTAATACATTTTCGCGATAAAGCACGTGCAAAGACAAGCATGACTCTACATACTTGTTCTCTTGGATTTGTAATTAAGCTGTTAGATGTTGAACAGCACAGCATATTGTTTCTGTGATTAATTTTGGACAGATGGGTCTGTCCACTGTTGGATGAAGGCTTACCCTGCTGACACCATTTCTCACTGTCTCACGTTGCCATAATCCAACTTCTGCACAGGAACCAATCTCATAACTAAACCTGTGCAGGGATTACCCTTTAGGCGAGTTTATTTTAAACTCGCAGGGCAGTGCATCACCCGTGCTAGAGAATAGCCCGAAGAAGGAGATATGACAGACTTACTTCTGAGATCTCAAGTGTCAATTATCAGCTTGTTGCACTTGAGAAGCCAGTTTAATTACAGTCGGCCAAAACCTAGATTTTAACCCAGAATCTCAGTGGTGCCATCTCACTGCTCTTACCCATGAGCCACCTGGTCAATTAAACTGAGAATCATCATCACATGTTTGCAGAAAAATAATTGTAAATTAAACTAAAAAAAAACATGAACCCAAAACAAACTGAATGAAACTTGGCACTACAACGGAGGTGTCATTTACTGTAGCCAGCACTGACACAAGTGCCATGTCAACCCTGGCAGGTGGTGTTTGATGAAGATTTGCACAAGAGCCTGGATTCCTACGTTCGTCTGGTCACCCGGGCGTATGATGGTGCCGTGGACCGAGGCGGCGCCTGTGGAGGAAAGTGTTCGAAGCAGGGCGCATGCGAACCTTGCAACTTGCAGACCCAGTTACACCGCCAGGTGTTTATGGTTTACCTGCGAATGTCAACAAACAGAGAAAGCAAGGTCCTCAATGCCACTTTAAACACACACCCATTGCTACAGCTTGTATAACACACAAACATTCACACACACACGCTGCTGCTGTAACCAACACGAACATACACAAAGTCTACAGCTCTAACCACACACAACCAAAGCCCTAACTGGACACTATAACACAGCACACACTTCTACAACTCGAGTGTCAATTGATTTAATTTTATTTCGTGTTTTTGGTTGTATCTAGTGGAAACTGAAGCAGTCACAAGCTAAAGATCTTAAAATATCAAAATGGATAAAAAAAACTATTTACAATGAAGGAAGCAGTCTATTGAGATTGCACAAAGAGAGTGGTAATCTAAAAATCAGTAGAGAGCGTCAAAATACAAATTATATAAGGTGTAAGGCAAGGAGGTAAGCTCTCAAAAATGTTATTCACAGCAACATGAAAGTATATTTTCAATAAACGGAGAGAGCATTCGCCAACTCATACTTTCTGATATTCGTCATAACACAATGAAAATTATCTACAGGGAATGATTGAAGAATCTCTTGAAGGCTGCAGAGTTGGAGGAGATAGATATGAGTAAAACTAAAGTCATAATTTTGCCTATCTCAAAGTAATTGAGGGGCATAACTGGAAAACAACAGAATGTTATATCTGCAGCAGTTATTCAAGACAAATTGCGATCAAAATGAAGAGTGGTGCACGAGAGCAGGGATAATTGGGACGCTTGCCAGGAGATGGGAATGGTGTTGGAATGGCAGCCAAAGAAGATAAAGTGCCTGAGATGACAACTGCCACAGAGATGGGATGATAAGATGAGCTCATGTGCAGGCATGAGATAGAATGTGGCATCACTGGAGCATGAGGGATGGGGAAGGCATTGAGGTTTTCATCGAGTAGGGAGTGGAGAAACGATGGCTCGTCATGATAGTGTATGGAGTGACTTAGCTAGAGACAAAATATGACCATGAACGCTCTTCTAGCATATGTTACGAGTGCCATAATAGTCTTATTTTAAAATGAGCATCATTTTCAGAAAACCACTTGACTTGAGAAGCTAAGAAAACATTCAATGTAATTGGTATTGGTCAAACATCCTCATGTTGAACAATTATATGCAAATTATTCAATTAGATTTACACATAGCAACATCACCCCCGACAGATTAATTGGCAGGGCTCTCCTGAAACAGCGTTGAGACTGGCTTTCCACGGTAAACAAGTGTAATAAATAAATGTTTAGAAATACAATGTTATACTGATATTTTGTCATGGTCTCATGTTTACCTGACTGGCTATGGTTAAGAATATTAGATAATTTGATTGCAATCCATTGTCACAATTTTAATGAATATTTTAATTGTAATAGAATTTCTCATTTTATGTGCCCTGCAGGAATGCTTCCTGTCGACAGAAGCATTTGCCGAGGTCATCTACAACAACTTTCTCTTCGATGTTCCCAAGATCTTGGACCTGTGCGCCCTGTACGGCCGAGGGAATGGGGCTCTACTCAGCAAAATGATCGGTGCGGTTTAACACCGCTCGAGCGCTCACCTGGTCTCCACTGACCTTGTCATCTGCCCGGGTGGCACTGTTGGTTCGATTTTTCATGAATGAAAATCATGCATTTAAATCCCAGTGTAGCAGTTCTCTCAGTTCATTAACGCTTCAGAATTAAGTTTCAAATATATTTAGTTTAACCAGGTGAGAACTCAAGGTGAGACCTCTGTCATTAAAGGTAATTAAATACATACCACTTTTTGAAAGTCAGTAGTAGAGTCCTATAGAGAGACTGATCTCTGCCACAGAAATGTGGAGTTTGTTTTATTTATTTTTATTCCCCGTGAATGTTTTCTTCATGTTCAAGACTTAGGACAGGTGAATTGTGCCTTGAGCTGGTGGTTTTCTGTTGAGCGCGATACCATGGTCATGTTGAACCTTACAGGTGGTCCAAGTGCTTCCCAGTGACTTCTGTTCCACATTATAGTGCACAGCATCCCCACAGTTGCAACATCAGCACGGCCCATACAGCAATGCTCAGGTCTTTTGCTTGTGTCCATGGGAGATCTAAGATGAGTAACTGAAACCCACTCCGCTCTGTGTTGTTGTGACCACGCCATGTATTTTGTTGTGTTTGCATAAGGTCGTTGCTGTTGGTATTGCTGAACGAGAATGGCTGGGAGTGCTGAGGATTCTGTTAGCTGAATGTCTGATTTCAGTTTTACTGGTGAGAAGTCTTTTTTGGTGGTGCCAGTGTGGGCATTGAGGGTCTGTGGTGTGGTCTGCCATTACAGGTAACATTTTCAAGAAGCAGCCAGCCTACCTCAGTGACCTGGAGGAGAGCATTCCTACTATTTTGCAGGCGAGGCAGAACCCACACAGCAGGGCAGCACGTTTATTTGAAGCACATGGGTGAGAGGTGGAAGGAGCTGTAGAGCGAAGAATGAGGGCTACTACGCCTTTGTGCCGTCAGGGCCGTGACACGCTGCGTGGTGCTTATAGTGCGATTTTTTTGGCGCTAACGTATGATTTGTGTGCAGGTGTTTGACATGATAGCGGGAAAATGCGGCGTCACGAGCCACGTGTGGAGCGATGGGTTTCCACAGAAGCTCACCGGCCAGGCCTCCCACTCTACAGCGACCATACCTGACTTGGTAATGCAGACTCGCAGCACACAAGGAACACGCGGCGGCGGATACCGAACATACATTCTGAGTGCGACACACAACCGTGAAACACCAAATACATTGACATGCTCATCTCTCACAATACAATGGCCACCCCCTCAGCTCTCACAGCTCTCACAGCTCTCGCATAAACCACACCCCCCTCTTCCCCCCCCCCATCTCGGTTCCCATCTTTGGATTTCCCACTCGCTTAGGCACAATCTCTAGCCCCCACCCTCTTGCCCGATGCGGCAACCCCCCGTCCCCCCCTCTCGGCTCTATATATGAGGACTTGTTTCAGCAGCCTGTTTCTCTATCCCACCTGAGGACGATTGCTTGTGTGGATTGAAAGGTCGTGATCTATTATTCTTTCTACCCACGTGACTACCGAAAGAACCAAAGAGTATGGATTCCTGCAGTCATGAAAGCTTCAAATCAAGATGTTTTCAGACTGACTTTAGGAAAATGCCATTGCACAGTGGAATTGATAATATATTTACTCTGCTTTCAGGGTACAACCAATTATCTGGTTACATACTTAATGCTCTACCCTAATTTAAATCTGAAAGGTTACATGGTCTTTTTTATTAAACAAAGTTGCTGAGCACAGGCCCAAAGGCCCAGAACATCTTAAATTGAAGGATAAAAAAGCTTGTGAAAAAGAGAGAATGGGAGGGAATTCCAAAGTGGAGCACTGCAAATGAAGAAGCAGAAAGAAGTGGTGGTGGTGGTGGTCGAATACAATATGGATGAGACGAATCAGTCAGTCTGTTCAGTCCCAGTCCTCAACATGGGTTGAAGAATTATTGAGTGAAGTTCACGGCAACAGTAGCCATGGTAGTAGTAGAAATAGAAGAGGGATAAGTAGGCGACTGACAGCCGGTGAACGAGTAACTGGAGTTTATTGGTGCGGTGTGTGTGTCTGCGGTGGCGTGGATGTGTGCAGGAGCTGAAGGATTTACTGCAGTACCTATGCGACGTTGCCACGACTCTCTTTGCGTTTTTGGACGTTTACCCTGCGGCGGCCGCAACCTTCCTGCGGCAGGACGCCCTGTCCAGGTGCAGAGGCACTCAGGCACAGTACCAGGAGAAGGGCAGCGCGAATGGAAAAAGATTTACTGTATACGGCAGAACCCTTTTTGCCAATATAAACGTTGATAGCGCATTGGATTTCAAACCAAGCCATATTGTTTTTATAAACAGACAAGCAGCGTTTTGGAGTATTTTCTGCCTGTTTATGACACTATCACAAATATATTTCAAATGAGTTTCTTGATACGTGAATGAAAACGTTTTATTCTCTGTTCAAGGATTTCAGGTTTTTATGAGATTGTGGTTCCTGAGATGGAGAAAGTGCTGACCCAGACAAACTTTGAAGACAAAGAGTAAGTGTTTGGATCAGAGCCAGCACGCGATGTTGTTTAACAGTCTGCTGTTGTGTGACACGTGTATACATGATTCATGTTGCCCATAGTGGATTTGGTGCAATGCAGTACGCACACTCAAAGCTCTTCGTGATCATGCCACTATCTCCATACACCTTTCTCTTAGCAAGGATTGCTGCTTTAAATTCATCATTGTTCAGAAATGACAACTTCAACAGCAATTATCATCACTTCTCTGTATTAAATGCAGCCGTGTGTAAAAAAAATTTTGGTACTTACATTGATAGAAAAAAAAACATTTTAAATAGTAAACGGTGTTCCATCATTGTGTAGACTGGGACGAGCTGTGTACATGACAGGTACGGGTTTTACATTCAAGAGCCGAATGTCTCACAGGGCTATACCTAATAAATGAACTTGAACTTTAAACTTGAAACATGAGCGATTCTCTTGAGCTCCTGTCATTGCCCGTGTCAGACTGCAGGATGAGCTGTGCCGCTTACTGGTCACGTCCCAGCGGCGTCTGCTGAGCGTGAGCCACGCTGTCATCTCCGCCTGCTGCTTGCAGCCCCTGCTGGATGCTCGGTCCGTACTTGTTCTGCAGCGTCGGGGTGGTGTTAATCCGTTGTTTACCTTCTGTTTCACAAATAAACTGTATGCATACAGTATATGTATGTGTACCTTGTAACAGCTGAGAAGTCGAGCAATGAATTTTTTTTTATGGAATAAGACGAGAAAAAGAATAGAGAAGAAATGTTAATCTGGGCTAACTGCTCCAATAGTCGGAGCATCTACAGCCAAAGGTCGCTATTCCTGAAAGTAGTTGCACCAGTGGCCCCAGAAATCTATGAAGAGCTGCCTCTAGAGCCTAGTATAGCTTTGCTTTGTGTGCTGTTTGACGTGTAGCTATGGATATACAAATGTGTTGCTGTTTTTGTATGGGCGTGGCTCCTGCCATGCCTGTGTGCAGCACGGAGCAGGTGCAGGACGTGGTGGAAGAATACTTGAATGTCGTCATGACCCTGCTGCAGCAGCACCGGTTAGTACTTTTGCAAATTACGAAGCCTTGCCCACATGCATACGTGGTCTATAATGATTAATTTAAAGTGATTGGCAACCATACCGTATATGCTTTCCAAGAATTGTGTACATTGTAACCAACTGTAAATAACGTGCAGATGACAATAGGAATGTCCCACTGTTTAATGGATAAGGAGTTTTCTTAGTGGGTAATGGGATGAAAAACCCCCATATGTAAACCTTATGTTTCCCAGATGTCCTCATAGAGGATATGTGTTGCCTCAGTTATTTTATTAACACACGTGGCAAAGAGATGACATTTATTTTAACATTCTCCACAATGACGCTTAATGAATAGTTTGTGTTACGTATTACAATGGCTTGCATTGATTTAGGACCAATCTATGATAGAAAGGTCCTTGCCTATAAACATCTGGCATTTCACCAGCATTGATTCAGGCAAGGTCGACTCTGCTTGTGAGACACTGACAGTCGAAACTGGTCTAGAGTTTATTTGTATTGAAATAGTGCTGTTATTAAAGGTGCACACTCCCAGAAGACCATGTGGCCAATGGGTTACGTAAAATACAGTATTTTATTTTTGCATGAGAGATATGGAAGGGGGCATTATTTTTCAAGTTATAAATACAGAATTAAATACAGCATTAATTGTCTCATTTGGAACTCATATACTCGGGATTTAAATCATCATTAAATTCACGGATAAAAATCACTGTTTATGCCGATTAGCATGAGTGCCTTTATTCCCTTCCATCACCATCACACAGACATGATGAGCATCTGGTGTAATATATTGTAAAATAGTTGTAAATAATAGTAATGTGTTGTCATGTCAACAACTCCTAGGTTTCTTGCAGATTTTGATGAACTCTACCCAATTGCGGATGATATCAGCATAATGCAGCAGGCTTCACCCAGCTTGTATCCTTGTGAAATGCATGGCATTTACACTTTAAGTGAGTCACATGTTCCACGAGAGGGCTCGACTGAACCACCATTCTACCGGGTACTTGCCAGATAAGCCACTTCTAGAGTTGCGCCTTCGTGCATTCAGTCCAACTTAAATCTCATCCTACCTCAGCCTACATTATTATATATGATTATGCTTGTTTACCCAAAGGGTCCTGCCAAGTTTTGACAGGAAGGGGTGATGTTGCAATGTGTTATCCCAATTAAGTAATTTGCAGGTAATTTTTCAGCATTGGGATGACAATGACATCCATAAATAATGTCTAAGCCATAAACAATATGTCTATGCATGTGTTCTTCCCCACTTATTTAGTAAGCTTCAAACTCCATTCTTCACACCCTCACTCCACCACCACACTTTCCTTTCTCAAAGAAATGGCTTGAAATTAGTATTTCTTTGGCTTGCAAACTGTGGCAGTTTAAACTGTGGTCATACTCTCTAACTCAGCATGACCGCAGAGATGAGACCCGCATCTCCTATGTACTGGATGCTGTTCGGGAGGCACGGCAGTCTGCAGGCAGCAGGCGGCCTTCTCAGCATCCTCAACACATGGCAAACTGTGAGAGCCCAGCTGCTGATCAACACAGCAGCATCGCCACACAAAACTTCAATGGCAGTGAAGATGCCGAGCCTGACCATGTAAGTTGATGTATGCTACGCAAATTGTGCGTTCAGCCATGTGTGCACACACGCATGTGAGATGGAACATCTCCATGTGCGCCTGTGTCTTGACATGGCCCAGCGGCAGCCGGCTGGCCATCCTGGTAATTAATGAGGTGTATTATACATAGATATGTGCCATCTGCTTCACAGTGGATGTTAAACATCCTGTGATGTCAATCGTAATGAGTAGGCCATTGTTCGTTCGTTTCTCAATCCGCTTGTCCTGGTGAGGGTCGCGGTGGCAGCATATTGAGTAGGGAGGTCATTGTGTGCCATTGTTATGGTCCAAATTTGCCAAATTCGCAAAGTTACCTGCAAATGTACTCATGGGATTAGACACAGCAATCATCACCTATTGCAATGATAACCTCCCTGCAAGTGGGAATTAAGAGGACTAATGCCCACTTGCAGAATAGTGCAGTCACCTTTTGCTGCACAAGGACAGCTGCCACTGGGGGACGCCCAATGGCAGCTGTCCTTGTGGCTACGAACGGTGCGAAATAAGTTCAACATACATACATACATGCCCTTGTAACATGTGAGATGAGATGCTACGTAAGGCACTTTGAATTTCTGAGGAATTTAAGCACCGTGCTAATGCAATATTGTAATTATGGCGGCTCATGAGTTGTTTTGCTCGGTTAATGTGGTCGTTGTAATTGCATCTCGCTTCTCTTTGTTCTTCCTGCTCCTCCTCCCGGCTCCACAGGAGTCGGTGTCTCGTGGTGTGGAGATGGGCGGCGTGGAGCTCGCCTCGCTCGTGTGCGGCATCCGCGATCTGTTTCCTGAGCTGGGGGATGGGTTCATCGAAGCAGGACTGCATGCCCTCAACTATGACTCTGAGAGCCTGGTCAGCCGACTGCTCGACGACACTCTGCCTGACCAGCTGAAAGACCTGGACAGGAGCATGCCGAAGTGAGCAGCCTTCCATTCAGAAAAAAAGTCTCATACACGATGCTCATTCGAAAGAGGCAATAAACAATTTAAGTATCATTGGCCAAGTAGATAACCTGGCTTGGTGAAAGACCAATGACCGTGCAGTGCCAGCCTGTACGGCCTCCGTGCCGTATGCACGCGGCGCTGGGTTTGTATTGAATTGACGAGCCGTAGAGTCACCTTGCGATGCATACCCTGGCTCGCAGGACGGAGGAGAGCAAGGTGCCATCGTTGCTGGCGGAGAGGCGCGGGGTATTTGACGGAGACGAGTTTGACGTGTTCAGCCGTGACTCTGTCGACCTGGCGCGGGTGCACAAGGGAAAGAGGTGAGAGACCCCACTGCTGCATGAGGCGCGGGAACACATGGCCTCCACGCGTCGCACATCGTCCTGCACCCCTGGGGTACGCAGGCTGAATCTCTCACATTCTATTGCATATGAAGGAATCAATATATTCAGGAGATACATGCCAATGTCTGTTAACCACAAGAGGGCTTCACGATAGCGATAGGGTAGTTTGCTATTCCTCTGTTGAAGGAGCACAGACTACAGTGGCTTACTGCATGGTCCATAGGTTGGGCTGGATGGTCACAACCGCACTACTGAGGCTTGTCTTTAATTTTCCATTTATGAAGGAGATGTGTGCACCAGCCTGTTCGTAATTTTTCACGTAGCACTTTTCCTTGTGAAATCAAACAGCTTATTTAAAATGGATTTATGCATGGTTCTAATCTCTTCCTTACAGCCCTGAGCCAGTGATGAATATCTTGAGGGTAAAGCTGACCATACCTGGACGTCAATTATAACATTTCCATTATGTACTTTTATGTTTTTTCGGTAAAGTCACGTAGGTAAAAAATAATAAAAGTAAAATAATAATAAATGTAAATAAATATATTAAATCACAGCGTTTCGGAGGCAACACAAGCTTCCTTCATCAGGTGTAAAAAATTAACCCGTAAAAACAAAGTTTTTCACTCTAAATCCTTTATATGCGTGGCGGCTCGAGTCCTCTCGTCCTCTGGCTTGAGATGGCTGCCACCTATGGGTCAGATGATTGTCTGCCAGCATTAAGCAATTGGTAATTAAATATTTAAAAAAATTCCCTAAACAGTGTAAAATTTTGGAAACAATTTTCACGAAAATTTATTGTCACGCACAACGAGTCTGTGGAAAATGTCAGCTCGATTGGATCACGGGAAGTGTGTTAAAAAACGACCGAAAGATTTGCACGGTTGTAAGCAAGCAAGCACGCAAGCACTCAAGCAAGCACGCAAGCAAGCAAGCGAACTTAATATAAAGGATTTAAAAAGGCACAGCAGTGCTACAGTTATTGCCTCTGAAACGTGATTTAATTGATTTATTTTCATTTATTATTATTTTACTTTTATTATTTTTTTCCTACGTGACTTTACCGAAAAAAACCTAAGAGTATGAATCCTTGCAGTCACGAAAGCTTCAAATGTAGAATTTCCATTATGTGTTTTTAATTTTACTGACCCTGGGGAGATGAAGAGTAGTACTCAAATGTTGAGCTCATCGACCTTGTAACTGCAAGTTGCACACTTGAGACCACGTTAGCATTTGGCCACATCACACACCTGCAGTATGAACCAGAGTGGCCTGCCGGATTCAATCTGCGAACCTCTCCAGCGAGCGGCAAACCTGCTGCTGCTGGGCCCCGTCACCGCCCCATGGAAATTCCACATTTCTTTGGTGTATGTTGAAACGAAGCTGGTTTGGTGTTCAGGCCGGCAGGGCCAGGCGGCTGGCGGTCGGTGCTCGCCGACCGGAGCGGCGTAACCGGCCCCTCGCGAGAGCGGTACGCGCCATACGGCCTGGTCTGTGACGAGGAGGAGGAAGAGCCTGGGCTGCCGGGGGCAGGCGGCGTGCGGGATTACGACGATGAGTACGACGACACGTACGATGTCGGCCACGTCTGTGCCAACGACGGGGACGCTGATGACGATGTGCTGGCGCGCCGGTAAGCCAGGGCTACACTGCCCTCTGTGTACTGGTATATCAGTTTTAATTGGGAATCATTGGGTAGGGCCCTTGGGCTATCGCATCTAGAGCCAAGTCAAAGTGTCACTTTGCTCAAGTGGGCAGTGGCACACTTCTCTTCTCCATTAGCAGCCCTGGGCCTGTGGTGGAATTTCCACATTTTCTGGATGGGGTGGAGCCAGTTTTTCCTCAGAACAACCTTTGTTGAGTAATTTTTTATGAACGTTAATTATAATAACATCCAAACACCTATAACAATGTACATCACATCAAACCATGCGTGTGACCGGTCAATGACATCTGTATCATTTGCTGACTTTCCCTAGAGATGTCTGACAGGGACTGATCCTAGTAGGCATGACTGTGTCATGGGGAGAGAGCAGTTGTAATTCATACATTCTACACTAACAGGCTAAATGTCTCATTAACACAGCCACCGTTTCGGTGGTTTTCTTACATTGACATGCTAATCTTACATTAACAGATTGACATGCTAATCTCTCACAATACAATGACCACCTCCACAGCTTTGTAGTCGTGGAGGTATATCAGCTTGCCGATCTTATATTTAGATGCAAATTCCATCTCTAGCCCCGCCCACTTACCCTTGGGCTACACCCATCTCAAACCTATATAACATCCTGCCTCAGCAGCTCTCCCGCTATATTTTTTCACCTGATGACGATTGCTTGTGTTGCGATCGAAACGTCGTGATTTTTTTCTTTTTCTACGTGGCATTACCGAAAGACCCAAAGAATATGAAGTTGTAATCTTTCAAGTCAGGTTCTCTGTCAGTGTTGTGCAGCCAGACAAGAACACAATGAAATGTACAGTAAGATCCATATAGATAGCGCTTTAGCAGGCGAAATAAAAATTGCATAAACTGGTATAGATTCCACCATGCAGGACAGTTTCTACGACACTTGCAGTCATGCACAACACCCCTGCGCCTGAATAATATCTTTCCACGTTGCGTGGGTGTTCCAGTAAGACTCTTGTGCGACTTACTTTCAGGCCGTTTGTGACACCGCGGGTGCTGCAGACCCGATCAAGAGAAGACAGGAAAGTTGCATCAAACTACGAGGTTGAAGAGGATAACGAGGATAAAAACAAGGTGTGAGCTCCACTATCACTTCCAGGGACATGTGAATGTTTACGTAAATGAAGACCCTCATGCTCATCTAACGTAACCCGAACTCGTCACAAAACCCCGAGGCGATCCTTGTACAAGCTCTAGCCCAATATTAATATAAAAGCTTCGAATCTAGTATAAAATACGCAGTTTAAGATACTTTCCTGATCTGTAAGTTGAAATAGCTCCCTGATTGGATTTTACCTTTGATGATTAGTTTCTCGTTTGTGCCTTCTCATGAGTGTGCTACACAGCCCGGTTCTTATTATTGTGGAGAGATTGCAATGTCGGCTCTCCTCATCTCCATCACGGAGTCCATACTTCATCACAGGAACTATTTTGGAAGACTCATGCCTTTGCAATACGGTCTATGCTTTGTCACAGAATAGTAAAAGTGGCGTGGAAAATGACTGCTGTAAGCGATTATGGTGCCAGAAAGGTGGTGCATTTTAAAGCACAGCAAACTACCGTGCATTGCCGTGTTAAAGTTCGCTCGTATAATTATAGATTCTGTTCATTGGTCATTTAGATTGGTCACTCCCTTTCACTTGTACCTCCGATGAGCACCGCTGGCTACATAATGTGCAAAGAAGTTCAACAAACGTACATATTTACGGCACCTGGTATCACATGGTAATAGTTAGTTGCCTTCTTACATGATCAGGCAGTTTCCCACCACAGTCCTGTCCTAGTGCCACCTCCGAGTTCGTTTTCAGATGCTTCAGTGATGATTATAAACTCTGCCACAATCTGCTACCATAATAAATTCTTCCTCCACCAGTCCCTTCTTTGGTTCACCAAGGTTCATGTCTGCCTCCTCTTTTTATTGGTCAATTGTTAAGCACTTTCGAGTTGGAATTAACTTTTTGTAATATGTGATCAGACTTCACTCACCTCCACCCATGCAGAGGAATCGGTGTACTAATTCACTCCAGTGACTTGCTCACCAGTGACGAGTCACCTGCTTGTCACTCTTTTATCGCTACTGCTATGCTTACTCTTCCTGTGAACTTCACTCATTGATTCTTCCACCCATGTTGAGGACTCGGTCTACCAGATGGTTTCGTCTCATCTGCACTGTATTGACTCACCAGACTGCAAGTTACAACATTCTCACCCACTCACCACACTGCAGGTCACAACAACACATTCACCCACTCACCACCCTGCAGGTCACAACAACACACTCACCCACTCACCACAATGCAGGTCACAACAACACTCACTCACCACTCTGCAGGTCACAGCAACACACTCACCCACTCACCACACTGCAGGTCACAGCAACACACTCACCCACTCACCACAATGCAGGTCACAACAACACTCACCCACTCACCACTCTGCAGGTCACAACAACACTCATCCCACTCACCACTCTGCAGGTAACCTGACTTCACTTTCTGCTGTTTTGTTCGCACTGCTCCACTTCGGAATTTACTTCCATTGTCTATTTTCCCAAGCTGTTATAACAATGCTCAATTCAAGACACATGTTAACTCTTATCTATTACAAATGTGGGTCTGTGTTCAGCAACTGTGCTATAAAAATATATTTTTTCACGTGGTTCTATATCAAGAACTCTTTATCTGTTAATTTTACAGATAGCAGCTGTGTGTGATTCAGATTTTCATGTTGTGTATTTGTTTATGATGATGCCTTGTATTTATGTGTCATGTGCTCATGGACAGAGCGTGTTTGCACAGGAGAGACCCCGGGATGACTTTGTGATGGACCCTGCCGTTTTGAGGGAGCAAATGGCTGCCAAACGAGAAACATTAATGGCAAACAGGGGGTAAGAGTTCGCCCACTCCGCCGCGTGTGACCGTAAAGAGTGACAGTTGCCTTTAGTATTTATCACACCAGTCTTTGCCCAGTAACCCCCTGAACTTTGTAATTTAGACTGTTTCCAAGGTCTCTTTAACACAACAGTCATCTCAATTTGTTATCACCTGGTTATTTACTGCACTCACTCGCTCACGAGCAGTTGGCCAGTCACCTCCTGATTACTCTTCCATCGCTACGGCCGTGATTCATGTTCTTGTGAACTTCACCCATTGATTCCTCCACCCGTGTTGAGGACTGAGTCAACCGGACTGACTGTTGCATCTCATTCAAACTGCTTTCAACCAGTGCATTGCAACTCACAACACTTCTCTTTCTTCTTCCCTCACACTGCTGATTGGAATTTGGAATTATCTCTCGTCTCTTTTCCCCAAGCTCTTATAGCCTTCCTCAATTCAAGGAACGTGCTAACTCATACCTATTACAACTTTGATCATGCTGTATCTTACTGGTTGCTTGATGATTTGGGCCTTTGCTCAGCAACTGATAAAAAACTGCGTCACATTTGGATGTAAATTGAAGCATGAATAATGTAACCAAATAATTGGTTTTACCCATGATGCATAATGAATCTCTTAGCAATTCCCCTGTGCAGTGGCATTTTCCCAAAGTCAGTCTGAAAACATCTTCTTCCACTGCATGCAAGACCAAGTCTCGGTCTCAAGCAGCGCCTGCACCGTGGTCTACCGCATTATCAGCTTGTGGCGCATGCCTCAAAATTTAAAGAGCACAGAGTAGCACAGGCGTGTCAGATAGTCATCTGGTTGTTTAATATCTCTGGGTGTCCAGACTGTCATCACAGAACACGCAGCAATACGGTAAGCACACTCTGAAGCTGACAAACTGGAGAAAAAAGGGAAAATCATACAACCAGGTATTGTAATGATAGGCATGAACCTGAACAAATCAATAAGCAAAATACATCTTTAATGATGCCTAAACGTCCTCTCACCCAGTTCAAGAAAAGGCATGCGTTTGTGACCTTAAAAAAACACCTGCTTTGAAACAACGCTCACCTTGTGTGGGTTTTACTTATTTTGTGCTGATATTTATACTCAAATGTGGACATGAGCCCCCTGGTTCAAGACTGTATACCTCTTCCAGCCACTTTACATTAAGTAATTCCATTACACATACAGTGTTTTTAAAGCATTTGAGTCATCCTTTCTCGTGTTTATTGTTCAGCAATAGCACCGAGTTTTACAGCACGACTACAGAAGAAGTTCGTTGTTCAGGGTGCGTGGTCTGGTTTCGTGTGTGGGTGTGTGATGTTGACACAGGCACAGAGGCGGGGCAAATCAAGCGGTGCGAGGGGTTGGCCGTGGCCAGGGCCAGTCGAATGAGACTCTCGTGCAGCGGCGACGGAAGGAGGAGAACAAGAGTAAACGTGGCAATCACAACCGCCGGGCGGGAGCCAGCAGCAAGCTCAGGCGGGGAATGATTCCCTCGTAGCCTCGGCGATGCGGCCCAGCCCTGCTGCAAACGTGCAGCTACACATCGCTTTGTGTTTTGACACTGCTCATGCTTTGGGCACGTGTGCATTCATATGTGTAAGCACGTACAAGTGTGGTACCTGGGAAATTGTGGCTTGAGATTTGTCACTATTTTACATTTCCAGTAAGTAAATGGATGAGCAGTTATCTTGTGTGTTTGAGTGAATCATCATCCCATATAATATATATAAGCGCACAACTTTATCTATCTGTGATGAACGCTGCGCTTTCCGTCGTTTTCATGTAGTGGGCACTGCAAACATACGCGCCCCCTGCATGAACGATGGAGGCGCAGGGACAGACGTTCGATTACGTTGGAATCGATCTGCAGACGGCGGTCTTCTCGCACGGCCAGCTCTGTCGCCTTATCTCGATCCCGCAATCCCAAACAGGTGAAAGTCCGCATCAAACTGAACCCCCGGCAAGGCCATCTACTTAACGACGAGAGAAAAATCACACAATGTCCTTTTCAGTTAAGTCTTCCAGATGTAAAATGATATAAGCTTTTAATGAAGAAATAAAATTAGCTAATTCAAAACAACACAATTCAAAGATGTTTCATTTTAAAACTTCAAAACGGAGCATCGAGTGCTTGCGTGAATGCGTCGTTTGTGTGCAATCATTTTTTGTGACTTTCCTGGCCGAAGGCTGATGGTTGAGGGGCGCCATAGGCACCCCCTAACAACCCCTAGTTATCTATATTCTTCTTTAGTATGGCGTATTGTAGAGATAGCAACTGATTTTTTGGAACAACAACAACAGTTATAAATCAATGCCCAAGGTTCTTGAACCTTTTAATGGCGTTGGTTTTGAGCTGCTGGACTGCTTCACCAATTCGTTCACCTGTCCAATGGAGTCAAAATGAGTCGATTCCACCAGCTGTAGTCGGTAATGACATCCTTATTGCAAGTGATATACATTTGAATTCATAAACACACCTTAGTAAATATCGTATAGGTGAGAACAAACATTTGCTGGACTACACAATGTTTTTTTATATAGTCATACCTCGGTATGCGACCGCTTTGGAATACGTCGAATTTGGTATACGTCGTGTTTTGATGAGAAAAAATTGTCTTGGGATACAACGTCTTGCTTGGGATACAACGCACTTGCTAGAACTTGTATGGGTCGGGATGAGTCACCGCGTATAGTACCCGCGTACACAATACTGTTACGGCTCTAACAAGCCGTAACAGTATTGTGTGGAATGACCAGACAATGTCACACTTCAGGAACATTCTTAGAAGGCAAAAATAAACTTGAATGGGCAGGTTTTTAGTAAAACTCAAACCTGGTGAGCCTCAACAAGATCCAAGGCAAGAAAAGAGACAGAAAAGAGAAAAAAAAACTGAATTTCATGTTCCTGAACTTTTAATGGAAGGGGACTCTCATTCCAAAAAATAACATCTCCTCCTCCCCTTCCTCACCACCATCCTCGTAGGCTATCAACTCCTCTCAGCAAGGTAAAGTGATGTTACTTTTTATTTCAATTTATTTTAATGTATGTATGCATTTATTTTAATTTATGTATGCATTTTAGTAATAAGTAGTGTCTAAATTATATTATACAACCCCATTAATGTATAATATGCCATATAAAATACAATTTCTTATACTCTTGAGCCGATTATTTCCTTTCCCTTTATTTCTTATGGGAAAAATTCGTTTGGTATACGTGATTTTCGGTATAAGTCCTACCTTCTGGAACGAATTAACGCCGTATACCGAGGTACCACTGTACTTGTAATGCTGAAGGCTTCGACGTGCATTACATCACTTTTAGTAATTACAATTCCACCTGCGACTGCAGGACAGAGCAATGCAACATTGCCAATTGCTGCCCATCAACACGATTTAGCAGAGGTACCTAAGCACGACGATGCCTCATTGGTGTCTGCCCAGTGTCGTTAACACTCCTTTTGGACAGTACAGAAGTTGAAATGCCTCATCAGTAGGCTGTCACTTTAAGGAGCTTTATCTTAATACCATGGGCCAGAATTTTAAATGAAATTGCAAAACATATCACCTTGGTGGTTTATGATGGAGATATCGTATTAAATGGAACTCATACCAGCACATGAATCATGCATTTTATTGCTGTAATATACGAAAAAATCTGATTTGAAGCTTTCGTGACTGCAGGAATCCATACTCTGGTTCTTTTGGTAAAGTCACGTAGGTAGAAAACAATAGATCACGACGTTTCGATTTCGATCGCCACACAAGCAATCGTCACCTGAAGACGATTGCTTGTCGTGATTTATTTTATTTCTTCCTACGTGACTTTACCGAAAGAACCAAAGAGAATACATTTAATTAACATTTCTTGTGAATAGACTTTAGTGATGAGAATCTGTATAATCTACGATATTTTAACCTGTATAATCTACAACTTCGATCAGTGAGATTGGCTACATAGGGTGCGAAGAAGTTCAACATACATACAGTACATATAATATAATCTCAGAATCTTCTGCAGTGGTGTCAACATTGAGGTGTCATACCACCACCACCACATGGCTACCACCACGCAGCGCCCTCCTCGATCTGCCCTGATAGCATCCCACAACCTTAGCAGGTCTTCCTTGGTCGCCGGGAGCGTGGAAACTTCTCAAACGCAGTGACGGACATCTGTAGGATTTACATTTACGTGCATCTATCGTGGTCTGCATCTGTAGAAGCTATAGCACTGGGAGTGAATTTGTATAATGTATACAGTTATGACTAGAATTTACAATTGCACGAATCTATACTATTTAGTGGTGTGAATAGGATAGTGGTCTGAATCTATACAACATGCAGCGGTGTGATTCTATTTAAATCACAATATTCTGCCACAGTACAGCTAGTTAGTGTGTGAACGGCACTCTGTAGTGTGATCCATAAAACCATATCTTTTTTTTCTGGAAACGCTAGTTCAATACATTGGTGGATTTAAATCTCGGAGCATTATAACTTAGATTAAACCCAAGCGCGCACCTTTGTAATGACCGAAAATGCCCCCAAGCCAATGTGCAGCCTAACGGCTATTCAAAGATAAACCAATAAGCCAAGGGTCTCCGATTGGAGGAAAGAGGCCACCACAGGGATTGACCAGGAGGCAGACTTTTTAAGTGATTGGAGGAAAAGTTTTTAATGAGAATTTGCTGGAAACAAAGTGGATTCCCAGAGGCGACGGTTTGTAGCCGTGAGAGGCGAAGGACACAAGACACGGGATTGCCTCCGGGAAATAGTGAGGGGACGTTCGAGGAAGGGGGCCGGGGGATAAATAAGCGGGGGAGAGCACGACGAGTGGAGAATTTCGGAGGAAAATGCAAGCCGGAAGCCAAGCACGAAGCCTCGACTTCCTTATTGTGGAAGTCTTCAAATAAAAGTGGCTCTTAATATAACTTGTCGCGTCGTTACATCTGCTATGATGTGTGGCAGTGCGGAAAGTGCGAGCTTATGAAGCATTGATTCTGGATAAAATAACTTTGCAGTGTGTGTCTACTGCCCAGTTAACACCGACATGCGCGGCTTTGGTTCCTCAACGCCGGATTGTAAATTGCAACAGTGCAAGATATGAGATAAGTTGTGTAAATAGCTCGAGTTGTACGATAAAACGAATGAGTGTGGAGGCGTGGATTGTACCTGGTGGTTATAACGTCTTAAGATTGGACTGAGTGCAGACATCGCAAGCAGACAGACCTCGCGCCGGTACTGTGCCTCTTCTGCAAGATTCATTTGATTGTTGTCTATTTCTCACAAAGAGTATGTTCGTGCTTGATCCTGGTGTTCTCTATTGTATTTGACGGCCGCACTGCTCGTGTGAGAAGCGTGAAGTGTCGATTCTGCACTTGTACCATGTAAGGCAGCTGCCGTGGTGGAATGTCTCTGATTCAGTCGGTGTGGGTCACCGCAGGAGGAGTGGGCAACTCTCAGCCTCTCCTGTGCTGCGTGGTACAGATTCGGGTCGTTAAATCGTGTTTACATTACCGATAAGTGCATGAAAAACCCTGGATGTCGCCTGATGAAGCTAATTGTAATTACTGGCGAAACGTCGTACTCAGATTGTAGATGTTGTGGCTTGGCTCTCCAACACACCGGTGTGCTGTACTAGTATACTACACTATACACTACACTACTATACACTACACTACTATACACTACTATACACTACACTATACACTAGTGTTGTAGCGCGCCAATCCGCCAAAATCCCTTTCGGTAAAGGGACTTTGGCGGATTGGCGCGCTGTCACCCGTGTCAATATGGTGTCGCAGCAATTTAGTACAACCAATATCAAATTTGTGTTGACTAAAAACGTCAGCAAATTCGCTCAGGAGAACTTGCAGCTGCGCGCGCTGCGAGTCGGACAGGTCCACTGAACCCGCGCAAAGCGCATCCAGCCATCTGTCATCACAGTCCGAATGCGGTCGCGACGGAGGATCGGTGGATACCTGACCCACGAGTGGTTCCTCATAGGGTACCGGCGTTGCGTGTGCAAGCACGGTCCCTTGAGGAACCACGGCCGTTCGCGATCCTACATTAAGGACTGCAATGAAGGGGTCCCCATCCCCTCTCACCATGGTCTGAGCCGCGAGCAAATCGGGTCCATTGACCCCGGCCCGAGATGGTCCCAACAAGACCCCCCGATCCGCAACCCCTTCATTAAACGGCCGACGCAACCTAAGAGGGACGAGCATCTGAGCCCCCGGAGGTACGCGCACAGTTTTTGTCACGAGCGCCTGCACGGTGGCAAACGCCCGACGCTCCGTGGTGGGGGAAGACAAAAATGTAACGCGTCGGCCCGATGGGAGCTCAATGCACCCCTGGTCAATCAGGATACGGATGGGCATTTTGGCCAAGAAATCCGTCCCCAACAGGCACGGAACCGCGAGTGAGGAGGAAACCAAAACAGGCCCGGATAATTTAATGTCTCCAATGCAAATAGTGGCGCGGATTTGCCCAATAATGCCCAGCGAGCCCCCGTTAGCAGTGTAGTAAGTATATATGGAGGCTCGACGACAGGATCAGAGGCACACTTATTTATTACACCAACACAGTTATTACAGGTCACTTGGCTACAGGGATTCTCGACAGCTAACCCCTCTAACCTATACCAATTCCTCCACTACGGGACTAGGGGAGGCTATCTGTCCCAGCTTGGTTAAGCTGGGATCCCGGCTCCCTGAGTCACCAGACCAGCTTCGTCTGGGCTCTCGGGGCCACGCCACCGGCTTGCCCTGGTCGGCCCTTATAAGGACAGCGAGCCAGGGGAGCTCTGGGGCCTACACTAGCTGGTCTTCCGTCTTCTCTGGTTAAAGCTGAGTCCCGACCTCGAGCCCTCGAGCTCATCACCTTTTATAGGACTCGCCCCCGAGGGGGGGCCCGTGGGGGATACACATGCGGACGTCGGTGCTAGCGCCACCCTTGTGTACGGCCGTAACCCCGCCCCTTGTGTTTGTTGGCCATCCGTGGCCATGCATAATCACACCTCAACATTCGTAGCCATGCGCAATTACACCTCTACATCACCCCCCCCCTGTACAGCTCGCAGCCGTCCCTGGCTGCAAAAAAAATCAGAATAAAGGTGCATCCCTCACGAAAACCCCGTGTGTGTGCCTCGCGTAATTTTTAACAAGAACAAGAGAACCTTAACAAGAACAACAACAGGAAGAGAGAAAGAGAGAGAGAAAAAAAATAACCCGACGCACCCCCCCCGAATAAATACCCCGAAACCAACATATATACACACACTCCGGACGCCACCCCTCCCATTGTCCTCAAGGCCCCCCAACGGCCGACCTCACAATAGTCTGCGCGTTTTGGCGCGCGTTCTCGCGGCGGGCCCGTCACAAGGGCCCGTCCTGGCACGCTCAGTGACGGTTGTTGACGGTCCGGGTGCAAGAGAGTCAGGCGTCGCTGCCGAGTGACCCCCGACCCCTCCGGGAGGGGTTGGTGGGTGTGGACCCGTCACTCCTGTTGCGCCTGGGGACGGAACAGTTGATGTCGGGTTAGGCGAGTGCAGCGACGTCGGGGAGTCGGCGGAACCCTCACACATTTGGCCATGCGTGTGTGTGTGTGAACCACGGGGCGGCGCGATGAATGGTTTCAACCTTGAGGGGTGCACATACCACCGGCGCCTCCCCCATTTGACGCGAACACATTGCGGCCGCAAGACCTGTACGACCTCCACTGGCCCCCGCCACGGCCGTACCAATTTTGACGAGGTTGCCAGCGGCACCTGGGGACAGTGCAACCACGCCCTGTCCCCTGGTTTCCATTTGACCACCTGCACCCGCCCCAACCGAAGCCTCTCGTTCGCCTTCTGGCGGAGTTCAGAATTTTGCACGGCCGCTTCCCGCGCCTCAGACAATTGAGCGATGTTAAATTTAACGTGTTCGGACAAATTAGACTTCGCCTGGAGCGCCGAGAGCTTCAGCTGGGTCGCCACAGGGGGGTTAACTTCGCGCCCATACATTAAAAAGAAAGGGGAAAATCCGGTGGCCGCATGGGGAGCCATTCTGTAGGCCTGCAACACACCGGCTATGCGGAGGTCCCAATCCGTCTGGGATACCGACACCTGCTGGGACAGCATGGACGTGATGGTCCGATGCAGCCGTTCCACCATCCCGTCAGTTTGTGGGTGATACGGAGAGGTCCGAACCTTCTCCGTACCCAAGAGGTCGCACACCTCACGTAGGAGTTTACCAGAAAAATTCCTACCCTGGTCAGTAAGCAGCCGTTCCGGAGCACCCTTGTCGAGGACATAGCCCTGGACAAAGGCCTCCGCGATGGCTGCTGCCGACTGGTTCGCCAGGGGCCAGGCCATAGGCCATCTCGTGAAGTATTCAACCCCCGTTAGTAAATACCTATTGCCCCTGGGTGTAGCGGGAAATGGGCCAAGTATGTCCAGAGCGACGAGCTCGTTAACCCGGGAAACTTTTATGGACTGCAGCGGAGGGTTGGACCCCCTAGCAGGTGGCTTCCTCTGCGCGCATTGCGTGCATGACCCCAGGAGATCCCCCACGTCCTTTTCCATGCCCGGCCAGAAGAAATCTAGCTGGAGCGTGGCAAAGGTCTTGTGAACCCCCAAGTGCAGAAGCCGCTCATGAACAGCCCATACCACCTTACCCCTTAAAGCAGCAGGCACCACGAGCCGCTGGCGCCGGGTTTTACCATCCCAGTGCATTAAAAGTCCCTGGAACAACCCCCACGAGTCAACGTTTTCCACCCCCTGGCCAACCCCCCCGGCGCGACGGCGCAGAGCGAGGAGGGAGGTGTCCTCCATTTGGAGGCGACCCCATTCCGCGACCGACAACCCCAGCAACGAATCCCTCCCTTCTTGCTCGATAGGACCCGAAACCGAAGGCGCATCGGCAGCGGCCACGAGGACCGAATCGGTGGTGACGTTCGGAGACCTACAATGCCCCGAACCCAAGAGGCACGCGCACTCCGAAGTGGGTGGCAATCGCGACAGGGCGTCAGCGTTCGTGTGGCGGAGACCCTTACGATATGTGGTGACAAAGTCATAGTCTTGGAGAATCTCCAACCATCGAGACAACTGGCCCGATGGTTGTTGAACCCGCAGGGCGTATTGTAGGGCCGCATGATCTGTACGGACGGTGAACCGCCGACCGTACAGATACGGGCGGTACTGCTGAATGAAATAAACAATCGCCAATAATTCCCGACGGGTAACGCAGTACCGCTGTTCGGCTGGAGACAGTACCCGACTACCGTAAGCCACCACATGCTCTACGCCCCCAATGAGCTGGGACAGCACGCCCCCGATGCCCGTGTTACTTGCGTCTGTATCGAGCAAGAAGGGTTGTGAAAAATCCGGGTAATTCAACGGCGGAGCCCCCACCAAAGCATTCCGGAGGGCGCGAAAAGAAGCCTCCTCCTCCGGCCCCCAATGAAACCTGACTCCCTTGGACGTCAAGGCATGCAATGGTTTCGCAATCGTAGCGAAGTCAGCCACAAATCGCCGATAATACGACGCGAACCCAATGAAACTCCTGACCTCTCCCACAGAGGTGGGAGTCGGCCAGGAGCTGACGCATTCCGTTTTGGCGGGATCAGTGGATATCCCCGAGCGCCCAACAATGTGACCCAAATATCGCACCGATTCGCGGAGTAAATGGCACTTCTGTGGTTTAAATTTCAAATTGGCAGCCCGCATTTTGAGAAAAACAGCACGCAACCTCTGGAGGTGTTCCTCGAAGGATTTGCTAAAGACGATGACATCGTCTAAGTAAATCAAACACGAATCCCATTGCAAACCTGCCAAGACCAATTCCATTAACCGCTGAAAAGTTGCCGGCGCAGAATGTAAACCCATCGGCAAGCGGTTAAATTGGAAGAGACCTTGCGGTGTACGAAAAGCAGTCTTAGGTTTTGATTCGTCATCCAGAGGAAGCTGCCAGAATCCTGATAGCAAATCGAGGGTGGAAAAGAATCGCGCACCGGCCAAGGCGTCGAGCGACTCATCCATCCGAGGAAGCGGGTACGCATCTGCCACAGAGATTTTGTTGAGACGCCGAAAGTCGACACAAAATCTCAGTGAGCCGTCATGTTTTTTCACCAAAACGATCGGCGCGCCCCACGGGCTGTTGGAAGGGGAAATGATATCGGCGGCTAGCATGTCATCAACAGCCGATTTGACATGATCCTTTTCGGCGGGACTCAACCGAAAGGGATTTTGGCGGATTGGCGCGCTGTCACCCGTGTCAATATGGTGTCGCAGCAATTTAGTACAACCAATATCAAATTTGTGTTGACTAAAAACGTCAGCAAATTCGCTCAGGAGAACTCGCAGCTGCGCGCGCTGCGAGTCGGACAGGTCCACTGAACCCGCGCAAAGCGCATCCAGCCAACCGTCATCACAGTCCGAATGCGGTCGCGACGGAGGATCGGTGGATACCTGACCCACGAGTGGTTCCTCATAGGGTACCGGCGTTGCGTGTGCAAGCACGGTCCCTTGAGGAACCACGGCCGTTCGCGATCCCACATTAAGGACTGCAATGAAGGGGTCCCCATCCCCTCTCACCATGGTCTGAGCCGCGAGCAAATCGGGTCCATTTACCCCGGCCCGAGATGGTCCCAACAAGACCCCCCGATCCGCAACCCCTTCATTAAACGGCCGACGCAACCTAAGAGGGACGAGCATCTGAGCCCCCGGAGGTACGCGCACAGTTTTTGTCACGAGCGCCTGCACGGTGGCAAATGCCCGGCGCTCCGTGGTGGGGGAAGACAAAAATGTAACGCGTCGGCCCGATGGGAGCTCAATGCACCCCTGGTCAATCAGGATGCGGATGGGCATTTTGGCCAAGAAATCCGTCCCCAACAGGCACGGAACCGCGAGTGAGGAGGAAACCAAAACAGGCCCGGATAATTTAATGTCTCCAATGCAGATAGTGGCGCGGATTTGCCCAATAATGCCCAGCGAGCCCCCGTTAGCAGCATAGCATGGCACGTCAACAGGGAGCAAGGGACGACTTTGAACGGGAAGGATGTTATAAATCAAATCAGATATAATGGTCGCCGATGCCCCTGTGTCAATTAAAATCCACACCTCTACCCCATCAATATGACCGACCACAACCGATGATCCCGCCGACGCAGCAACGACACGATGGGCGAGCTCCGACCACTGACCCAGTTGGAGCGCTCGCCGCATTATAGAACAATCGCGCGCGACGGACGGGGAATTTGGAGCCCTGTTTGGTTGAGCGCGTGAGTGTGTGTCGGATGTGTGCGTGGGCCAAACGTGTGAGGTGCCGCTACTCGCCGTATTTCTCTGCTGGAGCTTGGGAGGAGACGGCGTGGCGTCCTGACGAGGTGTCGCCCCGCGTTGACGGGGAGCCCGGCATCCTGACGCAACGTGGCCTTGCAGGCCACAGTTGTAGCAGCGTGTGAGCGCCCCCGATGTCCTGGGCTGCTCCTGGCGGCTCGGTCCATTCCGAGCCTGTGGTGCCGCCGCTCTCCATTCCCCTCGCCGCTCCACCCCGCAGACCTCCTCCGATGGGAGGGCGGTAGCCGCCATGGCATGGCTGGCCGCCCCCTTTGCCGCCTTTCGACGCAGGGACCGCAAGCCCCCGTGGATGTGGCGCGCGACCAGCAGGGACGACATCTCCGCGTCGTCCTGAGCCAGGACGTTGACGTCCAGCTCGTCAGCGAGTAGCAGCAGCTTCTCGGCCACCATGGCATCCACTCCTTCCTCGTCCATCCTTGGAAAAGCAGCCTTCGCCAGAGCCAGGAGGGCCGTCCGGAAGGCCAGGGGTGACTCGTTGGCGCCCCGACTCCGATCGTGGAACAGCTGCCTGCAGTCCGAAGGCGGCCCATAGACGGCTGACAGCAGCTGCAACGCCAGGTGTAGAGTGGCGCGCTTTTCCCTCGGCGCCGAGGTGAGGGTAGCCAGGGCGTCGTTGTCCAGCATCGCTGGCAGCGCGCGTAGGGCCTCGGCGTCCGACCAGTTCGCCATCTCTTGATGAGCGATGAACCGCCTCTTGAAGCCGCCCCAGTCTCCGTCAGCGCCGACAAATTCTTTAAGAGGCGGCAGACGCTGTTGTAAGGCGGCGTCCGTGGCCGCAGAACGCTCTCCGTCGCTCCCCGCCGATGATACAGTGTGGGCGGGCCGTGCACATGGCATCGCCGGTCGCTCCGATGTTGACGCGCCGGCCGGCGTTGATGATGTCACGGCTTGTGCTTGGCGCTCAGCAGACACGTGACGCGGGCCGGCCCCGCCCTCCGCTCGTACTGTAGATATGGCGGGAAATTTGACCGCGAGCCGCGTCGGGGTGGCGGGAAACGTCGCCCCGCGCCGGCTGCCGTCGTCGACCCGCGCTGCTCCTCCAGCCCCCAGCCGCGTGATCTCCTCCAACGCGGCGGCCGCGGCGTAGAGCAGGTCCGCCAGGCGGGAGTGGGCCAGCCGGAGTCCTTCGGCCGACGCATCCCCCTCCTCCTGTCGTAGCGGCGCGGGCGTACTCGGCCCCGGCTGCTCCGAATCGACCCCGGCCATCTCTGGTGGTGATTCGGCCGCGGCGTCTTCCATCTCCGACTCCCTGGTACGTGTCGTCCCTCGTGTGTCCATCGTTGGACGTTTACTTCTGACCCCAGATGTAGTAAGTATATATGGAGGCTCGACGACAGGATCGGAGGCACACTTATTTATTACACCAACACAGTTATTACAGGTCACTTGGCTACAGGGATTCTCGACAGCTAACCCCTCTAACCTATACCAATTCCTCCACTACGGGACTAGGGGAGGCTATCTGTCCCAGCTTGGTTAAGCTGGGATCCCGGCTCCCTGAGTCACCAGACCAGCTTCGTCTGGGCTCTCGGGGCCACGCCACCGGCTTGCCCTGGTCGGCCCTTATAAGGACAGCGAGCCAGGGGAGCTCTGGGGCCTACACTAGCTGGTCTTCCGTCTTCTCTGGTTAAAGCTGAGTCCCGACCTCGAGCCCTCGAGCTCATCACCTTTTATAGGACTCGCCCCCGAGGGGGGGCCCGTGGGGGATACACATGCGGACGTCGGTGCGAGCGCCACCCTTGTGTACGGCCGTAACCCCGCCCCTTGTGTTTGTTGGCCATCCGTGGCCATGCATAATCACACCTCAACATCCGTAGCCATGCGCAATTACACCTCTACACTAGTATACTACACTATACACTATTATATACACTACATTATAGACTAGTGCTGTACTAGTGACGAATTGGCACGTTCTGTTTACGTGACAACCCTTACTAGTTGGCTGTGTCGGGTGGGTGGCGAGTTTAATGACATTTATATATTTATGCGAACTAACCAAAAAAAAACTCGATTATGTATGATATTGGTCGCGAAAGCCTACTACGTGTTAAACTGTTATAGCCAGTTTGGGCCTTTACAGGGGAAATATTAATGGAGTTATGGACAAGAATCATACGTTGTTACGATGTCAAATTGGTTGACAACCAGATAACTTTGGACGTGTTGTTGCTTGTGGAGAGCCATGAACACGAGGTCTGCCAGTTTATTGGCTACACATGTGCAGAGTGCGTGGTGATTCTTTTTCTGGAACGAAACTCGTTTCATGGGCACATGAGGATGCAGTGACGGACCGTGTGTTGCACTCCTGTGACCTGTGAGAGAGCAGGTGACCCCAACCGCAGCAGCCATGGCTCAAGTGCACGGGCTGGCGTACCTGCAGCAGAGGAAGCTAGCAACCTTGCTGGGAATCCCACACTCATCTCTGCGCAGGCTCTACCAGGGCAGCGTGGATGGGTTCACTGCCAGCGCTTTCCACGCCAAGTGCAACGGCCAAGGCCCCACCGTCACGGTCGCCTACAACTCCAAAGGCTTTATATTCGGCGGCTACTGCTCCGAGTCTTTAACATCGCGGGGAAGTTACATTGATGACAAACTCGCTTGCTTGTTTCGCTTGGAGGAACCAGACAACTCGGCCACATTCGTTGCTAAAATCAAATCATCCAGCAGTGCATTCTATGACGCCTCATCATATGGGCCCACTTTCGGTGGTGGTCATGACATGCATTTTCTGCCCACTGATGGCTCAAGTAAACTTACTTTCACCGCCAATATAGGCAGTTCTTATGACGCAACCAATGAGAACATATTCGGCACTGATAAAACCCTACAAGAGCTGGAGGTCTACATCTTAGAAGGTAATTTGTGTTTTATGGTCTCTGCAATTTTTCTATAATTTCATTTTGTCAAACGTAATTAAATGAATCTCGCACCGTTTTGTTTGCTCCGGATATTGTACCACTAAATGTCTTTTCATGAGATCAACTCTCGGTGTCTGCGAACAGTGGCCCACTCTGAGCTGACCACAGGTACCAAGTGTACGTTTAGGAAAAAGAGCAAGGGGCTGTGTATCATAAGGCTGCAACTTTGGTTTCCATGGACTGTAAATCATTTCTTACACGCGTGATGTTTTGCAAACTTAAGAGTGTATCCGATACCCATAACTGTTGCACTCTTGTTCGTCTAATCAACATTTTTTAACAAAGAGCTGTGTTTCCAGAAATGAAGCTCTTGCCGGACCCATGGCGCAGCGTTGAATGGACAATCGAGTAGGTCTACCACGCTGCACAGCCGTCGCCGTCTCCACCACACATACACCTAAACTCGGTTACTATTTTTCCAAGCACGACTTGGGCCGAAGATCTCAGAAATACTAACTGAGCACCTTGACGTGCATTTCGACACCCCGAGTAATGAGCTGCCAATATATGCCCGTGTCCAGGACGCGAGAGCATTTGTTGAAAGACATTCGTGGGTACGTGCCAGTCGACTGTGAGACTCACCCACGCATACTGCTGCTGGGCCACGTGGGCTCGGGGAAGTCGAGCTTCGTAAACTCCATCGATGCGGTCTTCTCTGGACATGTGTCGAGTCGCGCCATCGCGGGGACCCGGGAAAAGGAGTCCAGCTTCACCACCGTGGTAACGACGGCACCCCGAAGATGGACGGGGGAATGAGCACGTGCCTCTTGCCAGGGTACCTGTAATTTCTCGAAGCACGCAGCTTCCTCGTAATAATGTGCATACATCCTCTTGGTTCTTTCGGTAAAGTCACGTAGAAGGGAAGTAATAAAATAATAAAAATAAAACATAATAAAATAAAATAATTCTCACGACGTTTCGGATACAACGCAAGCAGCCGAAACGTCGTGAGAATTATTTTATTTTATTATGTTTATTATGTTTTATTTTTATTATTTTATTACTTCCCTTCTACGTGACTTTACCGAAAGAACCAAGAAGATGAATCCCTGCAGTCACGAAAGCTTTAAATCGAAATTTAATGTGCATACAACCTGATTCTAGGGTGAGTGAGACCTTCAAGCTGCAAATGCATCATTGGAAAGAACCACAGTACATTGGGTTGTATGACTATTGCCCTCTCTTACTTTCCCAGACGAGTAGTAGCAGTAACTAGAAGCCACGCATAGAACACGGCCGCACCATTCGGGCCACGTTTGTAAACAGCTCATTGCCCTCATACGGAGCCTACATGGCCTCTGAGGAGCCATGCTTCATGCGTCACGGCTCCACAACAACAAGAACGAAACAAAACCTTGGTCACATTAAACACACTTCACACTGCATGAGCACCATGTGCTGGAGTGTGCTATTTTCTACATGTGTGTGACAGTTTCGCAGTTACAAATTGAGAAAGAAGAGTGGACGCAAGTTCTTCCCTATTCATCTCTGCGACACCATGGGCATCGACAAGGATCTTGGGGATGGCATAAACCCAGAGGACATCGTAAGCGTGCTCCAAGGAAACGTGCCAAATTCCTACCAGGTGCCCCCTGCACACTCAACTGCCGCAGGCCACATGACATCACCAGTATTTGTGAATTCAATGTATGCAACTCACATTGGTGAACTCCCTGCGATTTCCATGTGAGAGATTTATACAATTGGTACACCTATTGTATACCTCCCATTAGCACGGTTGGCTATGTATAGTATGAAAGAAGTTCAACATTTATATCTAGACTAGCAGAAGTACCCGGCGTTGCCCGGGTGAAAAATATATTTCTTAATAACCTTACATATATACACAGATGGGCTGCTACCCCTGCCCCCTCCCCCCCCAGCCACGATCTCCTCGGCCGCTGTGCAGTAATATGTACGGCCTATAGTGTGGTGGGGTGTCGAGGCCTAGTACCGTGCAGAGCCTCCGGCCTCGCCTAAATTGCCCACCCGGCTGAGGCTGGGTACTGGGGCCGTTACCCCCCCCCCCCCCCGCGCTACAATAATACTGTCTAATCGCTATAATTTTATTATCTACTGACCCTATAATAGTAATTGCACACATTGGGGTGGGGGGGGAGTGAAGAGGATGTGAAACTTTGATGAATTTACCTCAGAGTCGCGTGTTAATGCGTGCGCATATTTTTAACGGGAATTAAAAATGGCGTCCACCCCGCAGCGAATGCGTCGCTACCCGTTGCCAGGGGCAACCGCCGTGGAAAACCAAACGGACCAATCGTGTCTCGCAATTCCCTCACATTTCGTCCAATGAAACTGCGTATGGTCCGGCGACACACAGACAGACAGACACACACACAGACAGACAGACAGACAGATTTGCGATTTTATATATATAGACTAGCAGAAGTACCCGGCGTTGCCCGGGTGAAAAATATATTTCTTAATAACCTTACATATATACACAGATGAGCTGCTACCCCTGCCCCCCCCCCCCCCCCCCAGCCACGATCTCCTCGGCCGCTGTGCAGTAATATGTACGGCCTATAGTGTGGTGGGGTGTCGAGGCCTAATACCGTGCAGAGCCTCCGGCCTCGCCTAAATTGCCCACCCGGCTGAGGCTGGGTACTGGGGCCGTTACCCCCCCCCCCCCGCGCTACAATAATACTGTCTAATCGCTATAATTTTATTATCTACCGACCCTATAATAGTAATTGCACACATTGGGGTGGAGGGGGAGTGAAGAGGACGTGAAACTTTGATGAATTTACCTCAGAGTCGCGTGTTAATGCGTGCGCATATTTTTAACGGGAATTAAAAATGGCGTCCACCCCGCAGCGAATGCGTCGCTACCCGTTGCCAGGGGCAACCGCCGTGGAAAACCAAACGGACCAATCGTGTCTCGCAAATCCCTCACATTTCGTCCAATGAAACTGCGTATGGTCCGGCGACACACAGACAGACAGACACACATACAGACAGACAGACAGATTTGCGATTTTATATATATAGACTAGCAGAAGTACCCGGCGTTGCCCGGGTGAAAAATATATTTCTTAATAACCTTACATATATACACAGATGGGCTGCTACCCCTGCCCCCCCCCCTCCCCCCCCCGCCACGATCTCCTCGGCCGCTGTGCAGTAATATGTACGGCCTATAGTGTGGTGGGGTGTCGAGGCCTAGTACCGTGCAGAGCCTCCGGCCTCGCCTAAATTGCCCACCTGGCTGAGGCTGGGTACTGGGGCCGTTACCCCCCCCCCCCCACCCCCGCACTACAATAATACTGTCTAATCGCTATAATTTTATTATCTACCGACCCTATAATAGTAATTGCACACATTGGGGTGGGGGGGGGAGTGAAGAGGACGTGAAACTTTGATGAATTTACCTCAGAGTCGCGTGTTAATGCGTGCGCATATTTTTTACGGGAATTAAAAATGGCGTCCACCCTGCAGCGAATGCGTCGCTACCCGTTGGCAACCGCCGTGGAAAACCAAACGGACCAATCGCGTCTCGCAAATCCCTCACATTTCGTCCAATGAAACTGCGTATGGTCCGGCGACACACAGACAGACAGACACACACACACACAGACAGACAGACAGATTTGCGATTTTATATATATAGATTACCAAAACTTGCTGCTTTGCCGGCTGATACACGTCACTGTAACTCTCAAGTCTGGCAAGATGAGAGTTATCAATATCTGTCCTGTACTTCGTTAATGTATATTATGAGCACTGAGGATGATTGGATAAAAAAACACTTGTCTCTCAAGCGTATGTTTGTCTTGATCGCTACTAACCTCTCTTCCTGATATACGTTTGGCAGTTTAATCCACTGGCACCCATTAAACCCAGCCACCCCGCCTACGTGAAGAACCCGGCACTGTCGGCACGGACGCACTGCCTGGTGCTGGTGGTCGACGCTTGTAAGATGTCCCCGATGCCTGAGGGGCTGCTGGGCAAACTGCAGGACGCGCGCAACAAAGCCCATAACCTGGGTGCGTCCACACCCTTGTGTCACAGCAACATTGAGCATCGACACTCGCCCTCTGTAACCTCTGCTCTTTAAAATGACTAAAGTCATGGGATGTAGCCTAAAAACATGTATTGTGTTCCATAAAAACGGGTAATAAGCAGGTTGGTGAATCACCACACATGTGAAACTCACTTCCCGTGGGTGTCGAGGTGCCATACCCTGGTTCGCCAGGAGAAAGCAGTAAGTGGACTCATCTCTTATCTGTTTCCATCTATAAGGGTGATGGAGTTTTGCCCCCTCGTATGCGTGGGTTTTCTCCCACGTGTATAATTAACGCATTGTCAATTGGCTGAAACACCTTAGAATAATAACCCAATGTAGCAGGATTGTCCTGAGAAGAGGCCTACGACTCAGTGTAATTTTTCCTGGATAAATAAGTAAATTATGATTACTCTGGACCAAGGGCAATTGTGAATTAAAGGTCACTTCATGTGTGCACCGGCGGATTCAGTCCTGCAGCTTAACGTGGCACCACAGGATAGATGGCACCCGGCACACAGCAGCCAAAAAGCACTGGGTGTGATGCCAAATGCTGATGATGGGATTGGCTAAACATCCAAATGCAGGTGTTCTGGATGAGTACTTTGCTACAATTTCCATCACATGAGGTTGCCAGTGTCATTGGTAATCAATCATACCCTGTCCAGGTAGCATTACTTGTAATCCAAAAGGACTCCACAGAGATGATAATGCACGCCGAATAAGGTTACCAGATCCATGGCAGATGTTTTCCCTTTATTTTAACGTGTTTACACTAGTTACCACAAGTAAACAACTTGCTATTTAACATGAACAGGTACTCGTGGACTTTTCTATTAAAAAATTGGCTACGTCGATTTCTAGCCTATACCTTCCCTTCACGAAGTGCTGTATTTCACAACAGGTACGGCAACATGGCTTTGAATCTTCGTCAGCAGTCGCTATAGGTTGGCTCGTGAACACTTTATACTTGACCATTGTATATACTTGCAGATGATAAAAGTGACGACGATTGTGAACATAGTGCTGGTGACTCCCAATGCTCATGGTGATTTGGATGACAAATGTGGCGAGGGTGATGACGATGGACTTCTTACCCAGGCGTTCCTCACGTCGTGCTTCTGACCAAAGTGGATGAAGCCTGCCCTCTGGTGGAGAGTAACGTAAACAACATTTACCTGAGTTGGTTCATCAAGGAAAAGGTATTCATTCCTCAAGGCTTTACTGTCTCACAGTCACGGGTTCCATTACTTCTTGCTAGCAACACTTTAATCATCAGCAGTCATGATTCACTAGTGGTTAAGGCCTCCCGAAGCCGTCACCAGCCGGCATTATCCCACGACACAACAATGCAGTAAAAATAAACTCAACTTTTATTTTACCAGGTACGGCCCACCCAGCTATACTGTATCGCTCTTTATCAGAAGCAACCTTCCACAAATGATAGCTCAACGAAGTGGTTTATGTGGAAATGTATAGCAGTGAAATACTCAGCACAATTCATTCTAGATACTCAGCACAATGCTGACGAGTCAGTACAACGCTGACTTCGTGACTCAAGTCAACTCGGTGGATATTGTCCAATGTTGATCTCTTCTTCATTCAATGGAGGTCACGTTTCCCTCTTTTCATAAAGCAGCATTCTTCGTTTTAGTCTATTGGCCTCTTTCCCCACCATTCCTTGCATAACTCCCTTCTTCGAGCTGTCACCTCTGACAATGTGCCGAATCCACATCTGCCTTTTATGGATTGTTCATCTTGGACTTCTGACCCTGCTCATGAACGTCTTCATTCAGATATTCTCTCTCCAACTGATTTTCTCCATTCGACACTACACCCACAACTCATAACTTCCCAGTCTTATGTTCCTGACCAAGCGCTGCACATAACAACTGCACTCTACTTTAAGGCAATGTTTCTCTCGACTTGTAATCAAGTTGCCAAATACATGTCACGAGTTTATTACATTGACAGAGATGTAGCCCACTAACCACCTGCCTGTCTCCCCCCCCCCCCCCCTGCTTGCGGAAGGTGTACGAGATCGCCACGCGTCTGGGCATGCCCGTGTCGTCCGTGTTGCCCGTGAAGAACTACGCTGTGCAGGTTCAGCCAGACGCCTCCTCCGACCTCTTGCTGATCATGGCTCTACACCAGATGCTGCGCTTTGCAGATGATTACCTGCTGGACCAGGTCTTGTCTGACTCCAATGAAACGGAGTGATGCTCGCAGCACAAATACAATCTGTGTGCGTTGTGCCGGTACAGCAGGGCCATAGACTTGCCCTGCTTTATGCAGGCTAAATTCATAATACAGATCTTTTTTTTGGGTGGATAATAATTTCGCAATATATAAACCTTTAAAAATATATTATCAGATGCTACTTATGACACATGTGTGGTGTTCCAGGCCCAGTGAATGCTTCTAATTAGCAATAGCATTTATTGATTTAGACATTTTTTATTAAGAATGTCAATGGGGGATTACTTGATTACTGGGACTCAGGTTGTGTGTGCGTTTGATATTCTTCGTGTTCGTGACCACAATTCCAAGTTCTCACAATCCATATTAGGCATGTTTTCCGCTGATATTGCTCTTACAATCGCAAAATCAATGTAAAGGTAATTTTGCGGTGAAAAACAAATTGCTGCAGAATGATTTGTGTGTTATAATCTGTAAAAGTTTATTATGTTTCCAAATAAAAGTGATGTTGATTTAAACTAATTTACGGTGCAATGTGATACTGACTGTGCGTGGGGTGCCAACAAGGTTTAGGTTTTGGGGTCGCAGTTAGCGCTGCGCTACCAACCAGTCACGATTATTTTAACTGGTCCCGGGCCTCTCCTAAGTCGACTTAACTTTAAATGAGTACCTGGTGTGGTATGTAAACATCACTCGGGAGACAAAGGCGGCTGGGTGTGGTGGTGCTGGCCACCCACCCCCTCGTGTGCCGTGCCGGTCTTTATCGGTGCTCGCTCACAGCGCTTGCTCTAACAGCCTCTTCAGGCGACACGAGGGATCTGATTCTTGGTTTATGCGCGGTCCCACACTGTGCTCGTTCACACCTGCACAGCCTCCTCGCAGTCACCCTCAGGCAACACTCGTCCATCGCATCACGACCACGATTTAACATCAAACGCTTTCAGATGCGCTTCTGTGGCCGTCTGGAACGCCCTACTGGAGCTTTGCACTTTGAAATTGATTAAAAACTGATTTGGCGTTTAGTTTGTTGTTCTTCCCCCCGCATTCACGATTGTCATGGTCAGCTACGTACGGTGCGAAAGAAGTTCCACAGTAATTAAAACATTCCCGAAAAGGCCAGTCCGCCCAAACGCCGCGTCTTGCCTGTCACGCAACGCGAGAGCGGCGAGGGCTCAGGGTGAGGGATGCTGAGGGTGCTGCTGGGCAACTTCTTTGTGTCTGACGGTTCGTGACCGAGGCCGGGGTGAGTGGATGCACTCTGGGGGTTTCCACGCGGCCCGCTCCGCTGTGCGGGCTGGGGAGGTCAGTGCAGTGTGGAGGGGGGATCGGGATCTGAGTGGGCGGAGCCGGGGGGAGCCCTCCCTCCCTCCCTGGGTTCCGCTGCAGGTGGCGTGAGACGCCGCCGCCGCCAACGCCGCTGAGTGACGCGCCATGAAGGCTGCTGCCCCAGGCGCCCGGGACGCGGCTCCCCTCGAGGCCGCCAGGCGGCGCCAGACGCAAGTCGGAGCTTCAGCCTCCACGCCGCGACCGCAGCCCCGCGGGCCAATCGGCGCGCACGCCGTGCCCCGGGTCACGTGGGCTGCGGTCGTGGCGCCGATTGGTTTGGCGCACCCGGAAGCGCGGCCCGCACGTGTCCCGGGATCCACGTGCGGGAGGAAGCGAGAGAGGCGGCGATGGCGCCCGAGGAGCAGGAGGAGGAGGTCCCATGCTGAGATCCGCGACTCGCTCCGCGCCTTCCAGGCGGCCGAGCGCGGCATCGAGGCGGCGCTCGAGCCGCTCATGTCGACCCCGCGCGTTGAATGGCAGAACACGGTGAGCGGCGCGGAGCCCGGGACGAGACCCGCGGGCCGCTCGTGCCGGGGTCTGGGTACATAAGTGATGAGGTCTGGGTCCATTTTCATTTGTGATGTGAACTGGGTTAATTCGTGGTGAGACTTAGGTTGTATGATGACTATGATTTTTCATATTTTATTTTAACAGTTAAATGTTCAATATTGACAATGGTTTGATGTTAGGACAGGTATTCGTCAAGGCTGTATTTTGTCTACCACGTTTGATGTCACGATTGACTATTCAACAAAAACATGGACGAGGTTAGCCGAAAACCATGGAACCAATACAGATGTGAGATGAATGTGTGTGTGACTTGGGAGTCCGCTGATGATGTCGGGTTGTTGGCTAGAAATGCCCACTCCTTCCTTGGTCTCACGGAAGACACGGTTTGGATGCGGCTATTAAATTATATATCGAGTTGGATAAAGTGCCCCCCCACTCTCAATGGCCAACACCCTTGCTCTGACGACGAGACAAATCAACGTTTATTGGGTCGACATGGCCCAAATATCCGTGGTCACACTTGGTAATGTTTGTTGACGAGTCCTGCTTTGTTTATATTCAGCTGGATCCACTGGAGCAAGCCAAGCTGGACCTGATGTCTGCGTATACCCTCAACTCCATGTTCTGGAGTAAGTGCGTTGTGCGACACGGTGGAGGGGATGCTTAGAGAATGAATCCCCATGTCATGTTCTTATAGTAACTGTGCAGCACAGTCGGTCTTCTTTAACCACATGATGAACTAACTCCATTGAGACACATTGTCTCTTTTGCAAGGACAATCTGGGGTACATGAAGATAATCTAAGTACACAAGCAGTATGGTGCCGTTGGGTACGAGGCTGGCTCAGTGAAGGTGTTCATTACCACGTGTATCGAGAACAATCCAGGAGGCTTTGCATTTTCATTCCCACGATGCATTCACCTCGTGCGGTGAGCATGCACACCTGGGTAAGCCATTGACGTTTTTTTTCTTAATGTGAGACTAAATTTGAACAACTCGTTACTTTAAACATTTTGAGTGGCAAACTGGGGAAATTTTGTTGCAAGTCCTTTATAAAGTTGATGTAAATTTCATAGCATTTTCTACTGGCTCGAGGTAGCGGGTGCTCGAATAGGATTCGCAAGCATTTACTGTGTTTGTACTCATCTGCCGTGGCTGTCACAGTGTTGTTCTGATTGTTTCTCTCCACACCAGTGTACCTGGTGTGCCAGGGCGTGAACCCTAAGATGCACCCCATCAAGCAGGAGATGGTGAGTTACCCACAGCTTACCCTGCCGCTCGCGGTCCTACACGTGATATTTTGTGCGATTTCCTTACTCGTAGCTACAGTCCTGGCCACTTTCCGAGCCGCCTCTGTTGACTGTATTCATGTGGATCACACGCACCCACCTTCCCGCTATGCCACCACTGGTGAAATGTGCAGGACCGAATCAAGACGCACATGCAGCGTTTAAAGGAGATCACCGATAGGAAGAAGATGGCGAAGCTGGACAAGGGCGTTGCATCCAGATTTGTCCGGAATGCGCTGTGGACAGCAGAGCCTGACAGTAAGATTTCGCCTCCCAGAGCTTCATATCTCCCTTGCCTCCACACAATATGCACACTGCATTGCTTGTGAGAGGGCGCGTGCCGGGTGTAACTGCTGTGTGCTGCTCCGGCAGGAGGTGCCACGGGCAAGGAGGCAGAGTGAACACTCGTATCGGTCTTGGGGAACATGACGAGGAAGACGGCACAGAACATGGGGAGCATGACAGATACCACAGCTGTCTTCCAGTGGACAAGTCGCAGTGCTGGATGTTGGTCTGAGAGAGATGCTTCCTCTGGTTCACCCTTAATTACTTAATTTCCCCAAGTATATCATTGCATTTTTAGTGTTAGTATTTGTACTGTTTCACTTTAGAAGGCCTTTGTTAAACTATTTTATTTTGTTCAAGCGATTGTATTTACACTTTATTAAAACTCCTAAAACACAATACTCTTGTGTCCTCCGAGTACCAGTATGCCAGACAGTACACAAACGCTTGTACACACTTCCACAATATTGTTTCTATGCTCAGAGTAGATATTTTATTGTTCGTCTTATCAGTCATACATTAATCTTGAAAGTTATGTCAATAGTACCAGAACATGAATTTATTTTCACATCATGGGTATCAGAGGTTACTCAAAGGGTTATTGAAGTAACTTTTTTTACAAAATTATCATGTTTGTCAATGTATGGTGTGAAAGAATTTAAACATGCATAAACTTTCTCAGTGTTCAGATTGGTCGATTTTAGAGCTTGTGGTGTAGTGGTTCGCACACTGCCATGAACTTAAGAGTTTGAACCATGGCCATGGTTCACATTAGTGGTGAGTGATATATCTGAACTGGTAATTTGAGCCATTTTTCATTTTGATTGATTTTCAGTCTCTGTGGTCTAAGACCTAGAATACTTGGCCAGGTTCATCTCGAACATAAAGATCTCTCTTTAATCAACGTTTCCTGTCTTAAAACATTCTTCACCAAACAGCAGTACTGGAACTGCTAGAGATGTGTTCACCTGAACCTTGCTCTTTGTCGATATGTCTGTTTTTTCAGGTCTTGTTCCTTCTAAAGGTCACAGCTGCCAGAGGATGGTTAGATTATTGGGGATTTGGTACAACTTTGGAGATTTCTCCAGGTCCAGATAGTACAGTAGGGGATGAACAGTAAACTTCACCATCAGGCTGGAATTGAACTCTCAGCCTCAGAGCGAGATACTATGTAGCCACAGTGCCGGTCGATCGGATTTGTAACATTACATTAAATTAGTGTTATTATTTAACAAATAAGTTGGCTGACAATGCAATTATGTGAACACATTTGACATTAACTTCGAGGCTATCTTTTAACATCAAAAGGCACAATTGTGAAATTTAAACATTTCTGCTCTGATGGGAGACTTCCCAACTCAACCTTGCAGGTGTAGCAAAAGCAATGCACAAGCAACAAAAAACTCCACAGCTCCAGAATGGAATTTATTTGCTGAGCTCCTGCACGACTCTGGCGAAGGTCCTGTTGATGACTTTCGGAAAATAGTTATTCCAAAAATACATTTCTCGTGCCCTCAAGTCACTTCGAGCTTCAGATGTTGTGTCGATGTGTAGATATTTGCGCTGTCGAAGATCAAATGTTGGCCAGGCAGTGCTCATGTTCAGCATTGCGGGCGTCGGATCACTGAGCAAAGGGATGCTTGGTTAGGCAACGTAAGAAGGCATTGGTTGGTTAATCACAATCAAATACTGCGCTCGTGACACGTGTTGAACCGTGCATGCAAGAGTATAATTTCCTATTTGTACAATGCAAGGAGTCCGCATGCTCCTACAGCCAACTCTGGTGTTGCATTGAGCACAAGCCTAAAGAATATTGTTTGTTACATCGAATAGTCATACCAAGTGGTATAATTGCGAGAAAGCACATCGTTACAAGTCTATGCAATGGTCAGTATTTCTGTAATGTAATCCAAGCCACATGACAGAATGTCATTGCACTTACAGGCAAATCTAACAAATATTGAGAATGCTACTGGAAAACTCAAATGAGGAGGAAACAACAATCAGAAGCATTCAAACAGTCTAAGCAAAGTGTCCATGTTGTAGAGTGCGAGTTTATGGGGGACGTGTTGACTGCGGAAGGGACTGCAAAGGTGTTCCAGGTAGGTGCAGCGTTGTGGGTGAATGAGCAGATCTGCAGCATTTGCTTTTATAGGTGAACGTATACCGGTGTAGGTCTCCCTTTTGAGACGATTGATGGAAATTAGGTTTAAAGTAGTGGACAGTAACATAGGGGCCCTCGTTTAAAATAAAGCGCAAGGCCAAATGGAACATGGGGTCTCGCTTTTAGAACTGTGCTACGAGTGATAACTGACAGCAACATACACGGGCATGAAGGTGATAGATCAGCTGGCAACACAGGTCATGGGTCGCGTGATTTGTTTTTTTTAAGAAGGAACCCAAAGTGATTTTTTCTTAGATTTTCTTTAAGAGTACTATACTGAATATTCTTGTGACAAGCCAGGCGCCTGGACATTGGTAGGATTTAGCTTTTTTGTGAAGGAGCCACAATGTACTTCGAGGAATTGGAGCAGGGTTGATCCAAGAGGCTTTTAAAAGATAAATACCAAATGCGAATGTTTGAAAAGTATGTATTACCTCACTATTTTATATATTTTGTAATACTGCATTGGCAGTGCTGCACAAGCACAAATGTAACATTCTTCAATAACACCTTGAAAGAGGAGGGATGTTTAGGGCAATGTTCCATAGCACAAATGAGCTGATTGTGAATAATCTTAAGCTGGTAACTAACTGCATCTGAGTTGTGCCAACTCATTAATATATTGCTGTTGCTTGGTGACAGTTCGTGCCCACTTTGTGGGGTCATATGCCCTTCTCCAATCTGCTGCTTCTGAATGTCATAACTCGCCTGGAAAATGGAAACATGGAATGCCAGCTGCCTCTCCTTGGCACGTTTAGGAGTGACCGCATGTGTGGTGCACACTGGCGTTGCGATGTCGCACTTTGGGAATTACATCGACAACAGCTTTCAATCGGTACTAAATCCCATAACCACACTTCTTGAAGCGCCGCTGTTTTAGAGGGAATAATGAAAGGTTATGGAACGTGGTACCATAAGAAACATTTTTTGCCACGAATTGGACTGAAGTGGCAGGCGGTACCACCATGGAGAGGGCAGCAGGATAACGGCTTGATGGGATTTTTTCCTTGGGATTCATGAGCTAGACTCATGCAGTTATGAATTTGGACGTATCATAGTTAAATAAAATTAGATTGTAATAAATGCAACCACACTTCAGGATGCTGTACAAAAGAGTTGTCATTTATTTAACAGCCATTTAGAGGCAGTTTCAGGTATATGAAAAGAGGAAGGTCTGGACTTGAGCTCGGAGTTAGTCATGAATGGCTGGGAGACGGAAATTCCAGACTGAGGGCAGCAGAAGAGAATGAACAACCATTCACTGAGCAAAGGTTGAATGGGCTTGGAAAGACTGCCTTCGTTGCTGAAGCAGAGAAATCGTGTTTGTGATTTGTTACACAGATTATCTAGTTTATACAGTTGTCGAGCTACTTTACAAAGGAGATCTGTGGTGTGTGAGCACAGCAGCAGCAACATCAAGACAAGTGGGGAGAGGTCGGCAAGGATGAATCTGGAGGATCTTTAAAGTTGACCTGGGACTGAAGTGGCAGCCAGTGGGGGGATTAGAGTTTTGTGGTGATATGGTCACCTTTACGGAGGTGGATTTTCAGTCTGACAGAAAATGTTTGAATCATCTCGGGTATGCGGGGATCTAGGGAGGCCATAGAGGAGAGAGTTGCAGAGTTAAGATATCATAAAGGCATCAGCCACGAATTTATTTGACCCGGATTATTTGTGGATAACCACTCTTACCTGTGGATAAACAGATTTAAGGAAGAATATACCTGTAGATGACAACGATCACAGATCGGCCAGGGCCCATAGATAACCAGGAGTCGTGGATAAGAGGAGTTCTACTGCATTATAGATCACAACTTTGCTATGATTGTATACTGACAGCATTACACATTTCTTACTGATATTTTGCGAAGTTTGTGACCAGTTGAATAAAGAAGTGGCTCATCTGTTTATCCGATTCCAGCCAAGACGATTGTCGGTTGTGCCAGTGTGTGATAGCACCACAGGTCCAAGGGCAGGGCATGCTATCGTTCCACAGTGGTGTTCCAAACTCATAATACAGCTCTTCACCATGTGGCACTCCTGCAGATAAAGTTAAAATATGGTCCAATTTAGAATTCATAGAACACTTAAAGCCGCTTTAAAACATTACTTTTCATGTTCACTCGGAGACTAAATCATTCACGTGTTAATACAGTACTGACAGAAGTAGGTAACATCTCTGGAGTTATTGTGTATGGAGCCAAAATATATCAATGATTGCTGTGGCCAGCGTATGTGTCCACCTGCTGAAGAGATGAGAAACACTTCTATTAGGTGGCCCTATGGAGCTTCCATCTGGTTATCTCCCTCATCTACACGCCACGTTTGGATTTCTGAGATGTTCCAGTGTAACGCTCAGTGTGGCGTCTATAGCAGACAGGTGTGCGTGTATTCATTCTTACCGTACCACGGGGCCCATGGGGAGCTGTGTGTGCGGTAGTTGAACGTGTACACGAAGGTGGCAGAGCCACCGCGGGCATGGCCCTCGGCGTGGTACAGCGCGGGCGCGATGTACTCGTAGTCCGACTTCATCTGCACAACCGCGGCACAGCACCACACGCGCAAGAGCACTGAACAATGATGGCGGTGGGAAAGTGCGAGGTTGCGTTCTAAATAAGTACAAGCAGTGGAGGCTGTGGCACTGCGTTATGAGTTCCGTGTGTGGATTTGGAAAGGGCCAAGGATTGAGCCTTGTGCGACACCCCTAGCTGAGACGCTTCTGAGACGAACACAGGCCTTGACATGGAATATACGGGTGGAGAGGAGAGATGGGGTGCTGAGGCATAAGGCAGCATTGAACAGTGAGGACTCGTCAGTCCAAATCAGAGCGGAACTGATCTACAGTTGAATGTTTCACTGTCGCCTGTTGGGAGCTACGTTTTCTCAAATCGATTCGGTGCCTGAACGACATGGCCACACGGGCATTTTTTTGCACTGGCGGTCTGGATGAGACTGAAGGTTTTTGTGCATGCAGTGCTGCCGCACACTTGTTAAAGCTGAGGTAAGAGTGGAGACAGGGAGATGTCCACATCGCCATGGAGATGCGCGAAGAGGACCATACGCAGCAGAGAGGTCATGGAGAACGGGGAGAGAGAGAAAGTTACTTGGTACTCAAGAGGTTTCAGTCAACACGATAGCCGTGGTCAATCACCTCAATGAATTTTTCCCGTATGATTTCTTCATCCTCTGGGTTGACGTGGTCAGTGTATTCATAGAGTAGTGCTTCATAAGTGGCTTCTTTGTTTTCTTGAAATCTGTTTACCCAATTTTTCATCTGTTCTTCAAATTCAAGTCTTGTCATGGTCGGGCTGTCTGCTGCAGTGTGGAACATTAGTTCAGAAACATTTAGCACCAACACAATAATGGGGTTTATTTTGGAAGAGGTTAAAGTGTGGTCTATATAAAAACACATGTCTTCGGGCCTTTATAGAAGATTAAGCTTTGCACATGCTATCAGGATAGCTTGTCTAGACTGGACTTATGATGAATCACAACAGTGAAACCAATATCCAAACTACTGCCGCAGAATTGCAAAGCAAAGTTTTTCATCTCAGCTGAGGGAAAATCTGCTTTAACTTTCACACAAAAACTAAACTATTTTTTTTTTATTTTACCAGGTAAGGCCCGCTGATTGCGGGGGTGAGATATGCTAAAATTTGTCCCAAAAATAGCATCGATTATGAAAATTGCCACGAACGTGGATTGGGCATCAATTGTTCTGAGATGGACTCCCCATAGCCGCAGACAGACAGCATAAAGCAGAGGGTTGGCTGACGACTTGGGATAGATTTTACGGGAAATAGGAGGGAGAGTCTTCCTCTTTCGTATGGATTCATAGCAGATTAAAGATGTACATAAAATACAGACATTAATATCTGGTACAAAAGATGTATTACTAAAGCTATCAACAGAAGGGGTGTACCGGATTAATCGCACTTGTGGCAAATGCTATGTTGGGCAGACAGGATGAATGATCAGTACGAGACTAAAAGAACACCAAATAAATATTAAATACTCCCAAATACAACTGTCAGCAGTAGCAGAACACGCGTGCCAACAAGGACACTCAATTTATTTTGATAATGTTGAAGTTCTGTGCAAAACTAGTTACGACTGACCAAGACCAATTAGAGAATCTATCGAAATTGAAAGAAATACAAATAATTTTATCCGTTCAGATACCTACCGACTTAGTGCTGCGTAGAAGCGAATAATCAAATAATACATTGTTTAAATGCATGCCTATACAGGCCACCATACTTCAATAGGGATTACCGTTGGTACGGCTATTTTAGCACAAGCAATGGACAGGAAGGACAATATCAATGTGCTCGCATAACGCGTATGCATAATGTACGTTGACTCATGAATCCCGCTTTGCTAAAGAAGAGCACACAAGCGTGGTCACCACAACTACACCTCTATGTATGGAACGAAACGGGTGGACTTCTCCACAAATCTGGCTGTCGCCTGATGAAGCTAGTTGTAATTACTGGCGAAACGTCGTACTCAGATTGCAAATGTTGTGGCTTGAGCTCTCCAACGAATTGGCACGTCCTGTTTATGTGACAACCCTTCCTAGTTGGCTGTGTCGGGTGGTGGCGGATTTAACGACACCTTTATATATTTACGCGATCTAATCCCCAAAAAACTCTTATTGATTAAAGATGTAATTTTAGATTTGTTATCCACTCAATTGTCTGTTCAGACTGAGTGGATCTCGTCCGTTCCTCCTTTAAAAGAGTGAAGACAGCAGCTGTTCACAATGTGGTCGATCGTTTGGGATTCGTGGCCGCACTTGTAGGCCGCCAAATCTTTGATGCGCCATTTGTGCATCAGGTGGCCAAACCAGCCGCCGGCCAGGGTGACAAGTGAGAAAGAAACGAAGGCACAGACAGAGTTGGTGGACAGGAGATTAGAGGAACCTTCTGGAAGGTTCCAGACGGACCGAGGCGGGGGACACGAGGGGCATGACGGGGGCTCTCGGCTCACACTACAAATGACGTCATCGCTTCACCAGCCAATCGGCTGCGATGTCGATTTTGGCGCCAATTTCGACGGACGCTGTTTTGCAGTTCGCTTCTCAAGAAGAGCAAACTTAACGTCTGATGAGGTGGACACCCTCGTGTATTACATCGGTTGTGGTCACCTCCATGAAACTATCCCATAATTTAACGGGAGCCTCGTGAGAAAGGAGCGCACGTGGCAGAGGTGAGCACAGCATTGTTTTAACTTTTTGGGTTAGATCACGTAAATATATAAATGTGTTGTTAAAACCCACCGCCACCTGACACAGCCAACTAGTAAGGGTTGTCACGTAAACAGAACGTGCAATGCGTCACTAGTACAGCACTAGTCTATAGTGTAGTGTATATAATAGTGTATAGTGTAGTATACTAGTACAGCACTAGTGTATAGTGTAGTGTATAGTAGTGTAGTGTATAGTGTAGTATACTAGTACAGCACACCGGTGTTTTGGAGAGCCAAGCCACGACATTTACAATCTGAGTACGACGTTTCGCCAGTAATTACAACTATGGATGATATTGGTCGCGACAGCCTACGTGTTAAACAGTGTTGTAACTGTTCTACTAGTTTATTATATCGTTATAAATAATGTTAACCATACACAACATGCACTTAACCATCAAACAATCCGCCACAATCGGGCATCACAAAAAGTGCACCAACGATACACGCGAAAACACAACCACTCCAACAATCACAGAAGAGACAAAGAGAACGACAAACACACAGGCCTCTCCTCCCGCGCAGCAGTAGCCATGTGACGGAGTCATGGCAGACTTACGGCTGCTCAGTTTCATTCGTATATTCTTGCGGAAAAGTTATGCATTCCCTGTGTGTAAATTCCGCGAGGAATCGGAGATTCTAAAAACGTGGCCTACGACATTTACAGAGCTACGTATCTGTTCTATACTGGGGCGCCTCACAACTAATGTATGTGTAGAGGTGATACGCGCTGGGATTAAGGATCGTATGCACAGTGCGTGATGATTGGCTGTGTAGGTGGTGACGCGCGCTGACGGTGGAGGATCAGGGGTCAGCGCGGGGTCGTGGGTTACGGGGTACCGATTGGCTGTGGGCTGTGACGCGCTGAGAGAGAGTGCGTCGTGATTGGGTCATTAAGGAACGACGCTCACGTCGACGCCGCATCAGCTCCGTCCCTCGTGAGCAGGGGCTATAAAAGGGGATGCACACAGGCGTAAGGGGAGTGTGTAACCAGCGAAGAAGGAAGACGGGGATGAAGACCTAGAGCCCTGCGGTACCTAGCCCCGCTGTCCTAAGGGGACCGGGACTCTGTGTAACCCAGAGGCGAGTGTAGTGGGTGTAGCCATAGGTCTACACGAGCCGAATGTACTATGTGTAGCCAGGGCATAGGGCTTACACGAGTCGAGTGTATTGTGTAGCCAGAGGCATAGGGCTTACACGAGTCGAGTGTATTGTGTAGCCAGAGGCATAGGGCTTACACGAGTCGAGTATATTGTGTGTAGCCAGAGGCATAGGGTCTACACGAGTCAAGTGTATCGGGTGTAGCCAGAGGCCTAGAGCTTACACGAGATTAGTGGAGTGTGTCGGAGGAAGAAGAGAGACCACACGTTGTATTGTGATACCTAAAGGATTTAATAAAAGTGTGTTACCCGTCAAGAAGTTCCTGCCGTCAATTCCCATACTTCATATGTGTGAGATGTCACGGTGTTTACTTACGCCATTCCTCAGCTAATTCGTCCTTCACCACTCCGATCATCAGTGGCACTTTTGAGTGTTCACCCCTCTGGAGAAGTTCCCTTGGGTTTCTTTCAATAAAATCTTCATCAATAACTGGTGCCCAAGGTGAAATCATCGGTGGACCCTGCCCAGATAAAAAAAAAACTAATATTGAGCAAGAACCATACAGGTCATTCGCTGCAAGACTGGCACTACAGTAGCAAAGGGAATGTCGACTGTACATAGTCCCCGATTATAGAAATTATATACAATAACTTCAGATGATTGGTTATGTGGTAGACTATCCTTGAATGATCTGCATTGTACAGATGGTCTAAAAATATAAATAGGGAAACTACTAATTACAACTCCATTCAAGTTTAGCACTAAACACATTTATAAGATGCACTTAAACTATTCAACATTTGAAAAGGTGCAATAGCCCGAATTTACAATGCGAATTGCAGGGATTGTATCGGTGAAATTGCCATAAGCACGGAGTGCATCAGTCCATCCACTGACCATGACACCATTCATTATCCTGGCCGAGCACGAACCTGCATAGGGGAACGTTGTGCTTGTAGGCAGGTGCGATCAGCTCGCTCTCCCAACGCGGCAGTTGAAACAATGGCGCACGTTTCTGTAATCCCCCATGTGTCAATTGGCAGGTCCCGTATGGTGGGGGAAAGTGTGGGTATGCCCACCTCTTACAACACGTTTGGTCAGCTTGTAAGAGGAGTCCAAATGCCCTCTAGAGCTGACTCCAGTCGAGGCTCTACTGCCAGCACTGGCACGAGAAATAGATTTGCATGGGCTGCACCTTTACTTTCAATTACCCAGGAAAGCCACACTTAGTCCAGCCACTCCCTTTCAGGAGGGTCCGGCAATCGGAATGTTTAGTCAATCCTGTACCATTAATTAGTATTTTAAGTTTGGGAAACTGGAATAGCTGAATAAAAGCACTTCAAAAGAAAGTGACAACCTCCACACAAATATATTCAATATTTAGTTGCAATGCTAATTATTAAGTAACTTGCAGCCCAAGCATGGTATGCTACTACAGTTTCCTATCCAAGTGGAGTGACATTGCGGGATGTCACTGTGCAGTGCCGGCCCTAGAGAGGCACGGCGTGCGGTTTAACGACATCGCGGACACCACAGCAGTGTGAGTGGAGAATTGGCCCTAGAGTGGCTCGGTGAGCGCTGATTGATAGTGCTGGATGGCACCACGCTTGGCGTGCCAGTGCCAGCCCTACAGGACAGGGTGTGGGAGTGCCGGCCGTAGGAATGAGGTTACTAAAGGCCACGGCACTCTGGTTGACCCGAGAGGACACGTGACCAGTTAAGTCTACAAAGGGGCCCCAAGTGGGGGCTAGGGGTGGTCGGGGTCCAGATCCTGCTCGAGGATTCTGGAAGGTGGTCGTGGCCAAATGCGGATTCAGCCAATCCGCAGAGAATATATGCTGGGTACCCCAGAGGGACCGGCTTTGTTGTTCATCCTGAAGAAACCTTCGTCTATGTCTACGTTCTACGTTCTCCGATCAACGAGTCTCCAACACGTGGACCTGGACCCGAGCTGTGGTCCCGGCCCGTAGTAGCAGTTACGTTGTAACTAGTGTAGTTAGCCTGGTGGTCACCACCATAGGTTGTTATTCTGTTAGGGGAAGTTACCCGTTTGTGTTGGAGTTAAATGAATGTGTTGCCTCCAAGTATACGTCTGCGACTCAGTTGAACTCACTATACAAGTATTAAGCAGGCTCTACCCCGCTCAGCTTCTGAGACCTGATGAGATCCGGGACATACATGGTGATTTTGTCTCTCCCTGTGCCTTACCTTCACATCAACGTCATGAAACACCTCTGCGGGTTTGGTTTTTAAGCACGTGATCATGTCCTTGGTGGGGGATGTTGGACACTGCAGGGCATTTGCCAGCTGAGCTGCTGTATCTGAAGCTTTCCAGGGGGGAAGGAGGATGGCCCAATGAGCTAGGGCACATCCACTCTGAGACACGGCCGCCTGGAAGAGTCCTGGAGACACGCAAGCACAATCACCATGGGAAACGTCTCCTACACGAATCCACTCGTTACTAGTGTAATGTACGACTCTGGAGACAATAAACTGTAGAGGCACCGTCTTATTTATTACTCACAACTTACACTGTTATGTTCGCTAGCACGTAACACAACACTGACCGCCTAGCAATGACGGTTCTAACGGACAGCCCCGAGTTTCCTCTCTCGCCCCTTTAATCCTTCAAGCGGAGCCCGGCCACGCCCTGGCCACGCCCCCCTTCTAGAACCATCGAGCTGGTTCTGGGAGCTTAAAGATGGATCCCTTCCATGAGCCTTGCCCCAGATCTTCCCCTTGGGTGGGTACATACGCAATTGCTACTCCTAGTCGCCAGTCGGCGCTGCTACACAACACTAGCATGACTCGCTCATTGTGGGTGTGAGAACAGCATAAAGGAAACGGCTGCTCCTAATTTTTGCCACATGCTGAGGCCCCCCCTCAACGTCCTTCATCAGCCCTTGGCTCCTCAACATGGACATGGCGTCTACTTGCACACCAAAATGTCCAAGAGCACTCCCACAAGTGTCTTCACATTTAACAACCGTCGTGAATCCACTGGTGGACATGGATCATGAGCCTGCGTGTTTATAAAAAATATATACTTTCTGGTTTCAGTGTATCGCACACTTTGCTTTGGCTTTACCTGTTACAGTGATGGTCACATGTATTTTAGCAAAGAAAATGGCAGCCTTTGAAGGCCATTATCAGTGTAAGCTCCACCTTGGCTGTGCTGAGAGAAGAGATGCAAGCCTGTGCCTCCACCGCCGGAACTCTCTCCAAATATGGTCACCCGGTTTGCGTCTCCTCCAAAAGATTCTATGTTGTGTTTCACCCACATCAGGGCAGCGTGTTGATCCCAGAGTCCGTAGTTTCCTCGGGATTGCTCATCTCCAGTGCTTAGCCACCCTGGGAAAGGCAGTCATATTAACACAGAATAGTTTAAAGTGGATTTTGTTTTACCAGGTGGCAAACCAAGAGACCAGGACGATTCTCGTTTGCAAGAGGGACCTGAGCAGGGGCGGTTTCTTCATTATGGCGATTGGGCGACGCACCACCAATGTCATTCAACCACAGAGTCACGCTAGCCGTCACTGTGCCTCTGGATATAGTCCAATCAGCGTCATGCTACGTTCTGTGGAGTACCGCCTCTTTTTGGGCGATTTCCCTCCAGCTGAGAATCGCCCCGAGTGGCCCCATAGACTTACATTCAAAGATGTTTTTTTTCGAACGGGGGCGCTGCAATGCATTCTCTATGGCTTCCGGGAGGGCTCGCCCTAACGTGCTTACGTCATCATACGTGCTTACGTCATCATACGTAAGCACGTTTCATCCAACAATATAATTTGTTGCCACCTAGTGGAATCTTTAATAAAATAAACTTGAGTGGTTTGTTTTAATAGTGAGTATAGAAACAAACAAGATGTATTGTAAGAGTCACTTTATTTTTTATTAATATTAAAGAAGTGAAGTTGCCTTTACATGCTTAAGCTGTTAATTTATCCATTGCATGGGTGGACCTTATCCTTATCAATCATCCAGACATTTGCCCCCCCTGAGAGATTTTGCAGGAGCCGCCACTGGACCTGGGTCACCAAAATGATGAAAGCAGAACATGAAGCAATATAAAATGGAAAGGGGCAACGTTGGCTTTGTTAGTGAGACATTTAGCCCGTTAATGTAAAGACATTTAACTTGGCAATGTAACTCAGAGAGTCGGAAAAAAACCTTCTAACAACGGCAGGTAGAATGGAAACATCAACAACCAGTTAAGGCTTTACCTGGTTAATAACGTCCTTCCAATGATTGCTCAATATGTACCCATCTTCTTGGTTGAAGTTATGTCTGTGTTTATGTATTTGGATGGCTACATGAACAAATCTTTGATGGTAGCCCGAAGGTTTGCAGAGTACCTTGGTCTCGGAAAAAACAATGTCGTGTAAGCCCATAGCATTCAAGCAGTAATCAGCTACGGCAGAGGTATTGGTTCTGCCGTGTTTCAAATCTGCCTTGTGTTCGCGAACACGGTCCGAGACATGTCGTTTCGTTTCCCCAATGTGACAAACTAAGTTATGTCTGCGATTGCAGTTACATTGGGGAAATGAAACGACATGTCTCGGAAATTAATAACGGCCGTATCAAAAGTCGCTCAATCTAATAGTAATGAGTTATTCGCCTGGTGGTCATGGCCAGACTTCACTGTGACGAAGTGATAAACTCAGTCTCTGCACCAGAAATCTATAATGAAAAAACTGTAGGTTTAAGGGCTTGCGCCTCCATGACGTGACATCAGAAACACTAACTTTTGGTGTTTGTGATTTCTGGCTTGCACCAGTTCTCTTCACTAGCCCGCATTGGGAATAGGTTAAAGTAACCTATTATTAGGTAGATTGTGTTCGAGCCTGCAGTTCCGTGATCATTATGGCCACGGTACTGTGTGGATTGCAGTGCTTATATACTGTGATATTTTGTGCTCGTGGTAATTTGGTCGTGGTACTGCACCTTACTACTATATACTGCGATATCTGGATCACGCTACTCGCTCCTTGGGACTTGTATCTGCTGGTTAACACGTTGATGGATCCTCCAATTTGAGCCCCTCGCTACCTGCTCAGACAGGTTGCGGAATCTCAAGATGGTGTTCTTGGTTGTAATTACATCAGCGAGCTCCAGGCCCCGGTGGCCATTCCCCCCCTTCACGGTGATCACCAAGGACCACGCCGTCCTTTGCACCTACCATTGATTTATCGCAAAGGTTTTGTTACAATTCCATGTGAACAAGCAGATCATTCTTCCCTCTTTCTGCCCCCCTCCTCTTCGCTCCCCTCAGGGAGCCGCATCTCCACTTGCTCGATCCGGTTAGGGCCTTCACCTATGTCAATCATTATTTGAGTTGGCACAAATGGAACCAGCTCTTCTTCCTTTTTGGTGGTCTTCATTGTGGGGGTCTGGCCTCCAAGCACCAGGTAGCGACTTGGGTCCTGGCGTGTATACAGGAGGCCGACACCATGAGGGGGTGGTCCCCGCTATCCCAGTGTAATCCTCACTCAACGCGAGCGGTGGCTACCTCTAGGGCCACTAGGACTGGGGTGCCTCGGAGATATTTATGGCTGCGGATTGGAGCTCGCCTCTCACGTGCTACTTGGCATTATCGTATTGACACCCTGGTGGCCCGAGAGAGCCTCTTACGGAGTATTGTTCTCTCAGTGGCTGTGTCACAGTGAAACGGTTCGCCTTTCCTTTTTCCTCATTTAGGTGCCTTTTTGCCATTATTTTCCTTTGGCTTTGTTACGCATTCATCTCTTCATAACAGTGGGCCCTGGTGGTGGCCACAGGTGGAAACCAGGCTAAACGCAAGTACTACAGCCTAGTTTCACAGGTACATGACAAAGATGTCGTGGTGATGAGTTGTTCATGTCTACACTTACCCAGCGGCCCAAGGCGGTAGTTTACAGTTACAAGAATGACACCCGCGGCTGCTAAGAATCTTCCTTCGTATTCCTCTGCAGTCCCGTATCGATAAGCGCCACCATGAATCCACACCATCACCGCCATTTTATCTGCAGTGTCCACCTAAGAGTGCATTTGCATTAGATGTGCAGAATGGCCCTCACATGTAAATTATAGCCAAGGCAAAGCTGAAGGGTGTTCCGTGGTGCCACGGCCTCGGAGCAACTCTGCAAGCGCCGCGACTCCCTTCTGGCTCCCACACTGTGCACACACCCGCAGCGCACACACGTAGTGCCCTGGCGGGGGATTGCCTGACACAATGGGCTTTCATCCGAAGGGTCCCTAGGAGGAAAGTCCCGCGGTTTCCCGGTGCCAAGAGATTGGCCAACTCTCGCAGGACAAATCACATTGTGGTACCCTGAATTGGCTTAAAATTGTATGCACGCACAAAGGTTCACCGGGCCAGCCGCAATGAGTCATACAAGTCATCGGGAAGGGGGGCTGGGGTGAAATATAAGCGAGCAGAGCAGACCATGAGCGCCACGACCTCCCCCAGACCAAGTACACACTGGCAGGGTGTGTATTCGCCAGCCGGATGCCCTTCCAGGTTAAACAGGTCGATTCAGAAATTAATGATTACAGGTGCATAGACAATAGGTCGCGAAGTAACCGTCGCAATGCTCCGTGTCAGGGAGGGGAAACGAGCGAGAATCACAGGAGGCGCACGAATGGCCGCGCAGGATAACGCGACCGCGGGTTTTTGAAGCGAGGGCGATAAAAAGGGGAACCCGAGGTTTTCAAAACAGAACTCTTCTTCAACATCTTGGTCGCCAAGACCCCCTTCCCTACCGTCCTGCCTCCTCGAGCCGCTCACAGCATCCGTGTGATGCCAGCGAGTGCTGCTACGAGGCAGAGATAGGCAAAGGTGTTTTCGTCATCCTCCCTCAGACTCTCACAGCATCCGTGCGACGCCGTCAGTACAGCTGCGAGGGAGGTACGTAATAGGGCGTGTGAGTATTTGGGGACTTGGGTCGCAGTCGGCTAGGCTATGCTCATAGAATATTCCCTCCGGGTAGTGCGGGGTTTGCGCTGCGAATCAAAGTTAGCACAGAGCATCGGTGTGGTGTCGGTGATTTGTGTGTGGAGCGACTGTGTGGAGAAACGCGCGTTCGCGCCACCGCGTTAGCTGTGGTGGATGCGCGTGTTCGGATATAATTGCCCGCAGGTGCGAGCGTGTTCGCGCCCCTGCGTTAGCATTCGCTGTGGTGTACGCGGGCGTGTGGGTGGGTTAACTCAGTGCGGCTGTAAGCCACCGCGCCCCACGTGCCCAGCGAGGGCGGTGGGGTGGACGTCGGCCCCCACAGTTCCTTGCAATTATCATAAAAGTGCAACTGATCTTTATGGCTCCGAGCCATACGTGTAAATCTCACAATTCCACGTCAAGACAATTTTCTCTTTAGGAGATCCACCAATGGCTTCCTACAACATAGTAACTCGTGTTACTGGCCCCATGGGAGGCGAGTGCAGAGTTCACCCCGACTGGGATTTGAATTCGGAACCCGATTGTGAGCCAGATGCCACAGTGCCTCTGCTTGCATTGTGATCAGTGTACATATTGAAACTATGGCTTAGACATTACTCAGGTATTAAACTTTGGAAAAATAGCACATCCATGTTCTATCGACTGGTAGATGAAGCCTCCCCAAACCACACGAGCTGATCTCTGTTTCCGCAGTGGGCGTAATTTCATGTTCTCTCCTTTAGCTGCCACTCCATGTTTCTGTATCTCGGTGCAATCCGTATGCATCGTCTTTTTCAGAATCTCATGGAGTCTGCATGTGGTTAAAAAGTAAGAAAACTGTCCCTAAATCTGGTGTTCTCTCAAGTGTAGTTTTCCCTAAAATGTTTTAATAAGTTTTCCAGTAATATTTTCTAACAATACACATATTAAACATAGAATACGTGAATGGAAACTATTACAAATATGCAAACATTTATTTCTGTAGATCTGACATTTACGGTGTAGTTTGTGAAAATGTTGCAAATTAGGCAAAACTAATGTATAATTTTATACATGATATTTCAGCAAAGATAAATCCATTTCAAAATGGAGTTTGAGCTTGGGCGTTTTAGCTGTTAAGTGTGACTGGTGCTGAAGCAGATAGTCCCCGAGTTACGACGGTCCGACTTACGATATTTCGATCTTACGATGGCGATACGTTCAATGCATGTTAAAAGTTTTTTATAGCATAGAATTATTTCCTGAAAAAACTTTCTATTAAATTGCAGTTCATATAGGTAGGCTAAGAATTTACCTTTTTTATTTTACATTTTACTGTGCAATACAGTATTGTAATTAATAAATACATGCAGTATATCGATTATACAGTACGGTACTGTAAATTGCTGTTTTGCTAAATTATCACCATTGTTTATAACTCCTGGGTAGGTTAGGCCATCTTCGACTTACGATATTTTTGACTTACGATGTCGTCGTAACGCATCTCCATCGTAAGTAGAGGACTACCTGTACTTTTCGACTGTACAAGCAGCATACTTTTCCAGGCTTGACTTATGCCTAACCTGACAAATCTGCACGAAATTACATAACTCTGTATTACATCTTATTTTCACTCACCTCTGGGATGAATACGTTCAAGTAAAGGCAATCCTCATCAAAGTGGTCAAATTTTCCAAAACTTATTTCCTCCAAAAACCACGGCTTCTGGTAGCATGCTGGTGAGAAGGTGGTGGCATTATAAACACCATCCCATTTCTCCAAAGGCACTGGCTTTTTGAACCGGAGGTCCCCAATAGGCGGCTTGGCATAGGGTACTCCAACAAACGCTTCAACAGATATGCCCTGACCGAGGTTTATGCGCAAGCCCTGTAGTTTCCCCCTCGCCACTGTTCTGATAACTGTATTGCTGTGGATGCTGCATGTACTGAGGACCAAGAAGGGAACCAGGCCGAGGAGTGTGTTCATAAGCATCATAGTCATGGAATGTCCAAGCACCATTTCTCCCGTTCTCTTGCTCATCCGAAATGAAGGCAGCCTTCAACAAAGCAGCTTTGGTCAAAACACGCCCAAAAGGTTGTGGAGTTTGAGCTTTGGAACAAGTCACGCCATTTGGCAATGGCCTTTTAAAGGGCTAAAGTGCAAGGTGATAACACGCGGATTTGTAATGTCCAGATGCCAGCAGCTTTTTGTATCATCTTCAAGACACACATGTTGACAAGTTATCTCGTAAATGCACCCCAATATAACACCCACCTACTTGTTTCTAGCCTGCATTCACTTTACTCTGAGGACACGAACACACAGGTAGTCATATGTTTGAAAGGCGACGCAGTCGACAAGAGGGTTGTGCATAAATATCCAAAATATAGTTTTATACTTCTATGATCCCCACCTTCACCAACCCACACTAACTAACATGGTGAGGTATAACCACATAACCCCTAGAACCCATACGGTCTGCGGAGGCCCTCATCCAGCAGCAGATTGACAGGGCTGTATACATGCTTGTGAGAATAACTCGGTAAATTAAACTGGAATAATGAGATGTATTCAATGGGAAACAACCCTAATTCAACAATACAAACAAGACAATATGTTTTAATGGACAACATTGTGACAATTTATTGTATTGTTACATGGCTGTATGTAAACGATCAGGGAGGCAACACTCATCACACTTGATGATAAAAACACATTTAAGATTGAAGCGTATGTAGGTAATTCGACGCTTTATTTCGCAGTGGTGGTGGGGGATTATCACAAACTGGTGCTCATATAAGAAAAATGATAAAGAGAACTGGAAAAAACACAATAGTTCACAATCACCTATTTTAAACCCAAATTAAATTAAACTATAGTGACCGTGAGCAACTCGGCATGTAAGTGCATTGCTTCATTTGCCCAACGTGAATCATGGAACACTGTCTGTGGATCCAGCTATTTTTCAACTTCAAATTCCAAAACTGAAAAAAAAAACAAGTAAACAATTATTGAAATGTCTGATAATAAAGAAAGTTACAAATTTAGACCTGCCTGGTTAATATTGCAGGTGTATTAACCATAAAGTAGATGCTGTCTGATTTTTTAAGTGGGCGAAGTGCACCCACCCAGCATGCCTCACTCTTACCCAGCATGCCCCTCACTCTTACCCAGCATGCCTCACTCTCACCCAGCATGCCCCTCACTCTCTCACCCAGCACGCCTCACTCTCTCACCCAGCATGCCTCACTCTCTCACCCAGCATGCCTCACTCTCTCACCCAGCATGCCTCACCCTCTCACCCAGCATGCCCCTCACCTGCCGAGCGTGCCTCCCGCCAGTGTGTAGTACTTGTTGTAATCGAGCCGCAGCAGCAGCTGGGCCAGGTTAGGATTGCTCTGCTGACTCCGCACGCTGGATAGAATCTTGAAGAGCAGTGATGATTGGCGGCTAAAGCCCTGAGGTTCCAGCAGAGCCCAGTCACACCCAGCCCACACCGAATCACAACAGCACGGTTTCACAAATAACTAAGTCACCCTTCAAAAAGAAAATGTTGCATTTAGTAGTCATTTGACGAACCTTTGAGAAATTACATCATTAATAATTTTCAAATTGCCATATCATTTTACTGTTTATGACACGAGCCAAAACTCCACAAAATAACATGCTCAGCCATATCAAAGAGGTGGAGGGAATGGTTCGTGGTGGAGATGCTAGTCAAACAGGATTTTGTAGCGAGATGTCGTTTGATGAAGCCACTGGCACAGGAAACCCCATAACTCTGAGACAAACCATTTAACCGGCTAAATAAGTTACAACTGCATTTCTAATAGTTGCTCTACATGGGCCATATAAAAGTAGAAATACCTTTACTAGACTGTCGAGCTGTGTGGATACTCGGTCATCTGATACCGGCGATGCCTGGGTCACCAGGGCTGAGAAGGAGTGACACAAGCCCAGGATTTCGTGCAAGCAGTGGAAGACCTGCAGCACAGACGACCACATGATCAGACACCATGCAAAGCAGTCTCTATCACTGTCTTTAGCACGATCAGATCCTGTTCAAACAGGTTCATCCTTTCCTGCCAATGTTCCAGTTACACTTATCGTAGCTGTAAGGATTTGTGTGTGTGGCTGTGAGTGAGGTCGTGTGTGAGTGATGCCTTTTGTAAGAGGCCGTGCATGTGAGGCTGACTCAATGTGGATTCGAGTTAGTGGGTCCTGCACGGATGCCATATTATCTATCCATGTCACGTGGCCTCAAAGTGCACCTTGCCTGGCACAAGCAATGGTGACGTCACCGTCACTTATTGGCGAATAGAAGTTATTGTTGACCGAGGCTGTGTTTGTGAGGCCGACTCCAACCCTAGGTCAACTCGGCCTCAAATGATATCTGGTACATCGCCACTCGGGAGACAAAGGCGGCCGGGCGTGATGCTGGCCACCCACCCCCTAGTTTGCCATGCCTGCCTTCATTAGGGCTCGCTAACAGCACTTGCCACAAAAGTCTGTTAAGATTATAAGGGGGATTTTTGTCTTTGAGGTTGTATGTGAGTGAGGTCATGTGTGAGTGAGGTTGTATGTGAATGAGGTTGTGAGTCCGGCAAAACAACCCCCTACCTCCTCATGGTGCCGGGCGGCAACGCTGTGGTGGGCAGTGCTGTGGGGGGAGGGCCAATTTAGATTGGCCTTTCCCCTCATGGCGTCTGTGACCATCACAGCAGTCAAATGGGGGCTCTGGACGGGTGCGAGGGGCTAGTAACCCCTCCACCTTCAATTAATTACCACTAAACCACGACGGAAACATTTAATAAATAAGATTATGCCGGAGGCCCCGGGGGGACAGGCGCCTATGACGTCTCCTGGCCAAACCCCATTTGGCGGAGCCAGGAGACTGAATCTTTACCCTCGGGGCTCCTCCAGAAACAACAAAAAACCACTACGTGTGGCCACGTGGAATGTTCGAATGCTCACTGCAGAGGAGAGGCTGCCACTCCTCTGTCGGAAGCTGGACCGGTACCGCCTGGATCTCTGTGGTATTCAGCCCCACCAATACTAAGCACCTGCCTGGGTATTTTGTACCATCGGACACTCCACCCCCACAACTCCCAATTGGTGATAGGGCAGTTGTGGCGAGAGTGTAGAGTTTCCCATACCTGGACAGTGTGGTCATGACCGGCTCCAGTTTAACAGCAGAGGTCTCACTCCGAATCGGTCGAGCGGCATTATCTTTTCATCGGTTGCGTAACGCTGTGTGGAAGCTATCTGGTCTGTCGCTCCGCACGAAGCTTTAGGTCAGTCGACCTGTGGCATCTGGGTCTGCCCCGTGACCTCCTGCCAGTGGGCATTGGACACTTCATGTGGCCTCAAGGTACACATAGCCTGGCACAAGCATCGTGGTGACGTCACCGCCACTTAGTGGCGAATGGCGGTTGTTGTTGTTGAGGTTGTGAGTGAGGCCACGTGTATGTGAGGTTGTGTATGAGTGAGGCTGCATGTGAGTGAGGGTATGTGTGTGAGGGGTGCATCTCACGGGCTTTAGCAGGATGAAGGAGGTAGCGAGCAGGTTGGCCAGGAAGGCGTCATGTGCCAGGCGGATGCTCTCAAAGTCTCGTTTGCTGCTCACCTGCTGCTGTAGTTGTGAGAACTGAGACTCCAACACATCCACCTGAAGATGCACAACACAGCCGCATACAACCACATACATAAATACAAACCCACAACTATACAGACACACACACCCATACACTTGTACAACTATAGTATAGTGAAACTTCACAAGGCCAGACCAATCGGGGGGGAAAGCCTTTTCAAAAACATGACCAAAAGTGATGTCACAAGTGCAGGTGGCACAATTTTAGCGAGAAAAGAGGAAGTGGCATAATAATTGTGAAATCGCAACTTGATAACCCTTAATTTCATAGTTTTTATTTATATGAGATCATCTTTACAACAGTCGATGTGACTTGCCCACCCTGTAGACGGATATTGCATTAACACAGTTGGGAAGGGTTACAAGTATATTTTTTAATCATTAATCTGAATTGTGACAATTGAAATGAAAGGGAGGGGTTGTCAAATCATGAAATGCCTGCAAGATACCGGTGATGTGCCAGGTACCAGCCCCACCTGCAGGTAATACTGGAGGTTGTCAACAAGAAAAGCCATGTGGTTCCGTAACCTCCACTTGACTGCATCACTTTTGTCCATTCGTGAGCTCTTCCTTTCCATCTGGACGGCCCAGCAGCGCTGCAGCTCGGCCTGCACGCGTCGCACCTCGAGCAGGTAGCGGAACATCACGTTGTATCTGTGGAACAACAACAACACGGAGCCGCAGCAGCACACCCATTAGTCCCAACACTACATTGCACATGTTACACATTGCAGCAACTCAATTAAACTATTTAATGTATTCTGGCCTCTTAAACACAGACAAAAATACGACTTACCTAAAAACTGAAGTGGCTAATTCTAGTTTTGTGCAATCAATTTACCAGAACTAAACCATTTGACCCTATATTGACCAGGTTTTTGCTGAACCAAAACTAAACTGTAAAAACCAGTTCAACACTGCCAGAGTGATCCTAATGTTGTCCATGACCAAGGATGACAGGCTAAGTGAAACCCTAACCAGTAGAACTTGACAACATTCTGATTGTGATACAGGCACTCTACAGAAATTACATAAGGCTAGACCTACGAAGGTGAAAACACAAAACTCAACACACTTGCAAATAAGTTTAATGAGTCCGGAAATAAAACGGGCTCATTCCTGCCAACTGTCTTGAACAGAAGCACCCCACAGTACAATCCACTCTGGGCGTGTCGGGTCACAGACGCACTTGTCGAGCACAGATGGCGTGAGCAGGATGTGCAGTGGCCAGCGCACGGTGTAGGACAGGCCCAGCGCCGCCCAGCCAGACCATGGCTCTCGCACCGCCTCTCTCTCATGTCCCAACAGTCCCTCTGAGACAATGCAAAGAGAGATTGCTCATATCACCATAGTGGGGGCGCGCGTGAGCAAGTACCGGAATGGCACACAAGGTGGTGGCATTAACATACACTATGATATGGTTAATACAAACTGCAGTATTAATCAGGGAAGTATGCCGGATTCGAACAAAGAACCTCTGCAATGTGTGGTCAATGCGCTATTGCCGGTCATATTCTACCGCTTTTTTTCTTATTATGCTTGTGTTTGTTTTAGAAAAAAGTAAATAATATCAGCAGCACTGTAGCTGTGACAGGAATCTGTAATTTACGTAAGTAATTGATTTGTCTGGGGCATGAGTGATTCGTTATACACAATGTCAGGTCAACCTTATTGCCTGCATTTTTTGATATCTTGCATGTGACCATGAAAAATGGATGCATCACAAAAGCATGGCGGGAGGCGATGGTCATTGCAATACTCAAACCGGGCAAGCCAACCGACGACCTGGGGAAGTTATAAACCGATATCACTCCTGTGCATGACCTATAAACTCCTGGAACGCATCATCCTCCGGAGAATCAGCCCCCTCTTCAAGTCAGTGATCCCTGAGGAACAAGCGGGATTCCGGCCTGAACGCAGCGGCTATGACCAAGTTTTGGCACTTGAGATGCACATCGAGGCCAGATTCCAGAATAAATCCAAGACCTTTGTGGACATGTCATCGGCCTACGACAAAGTCCGTCTCCGGCACATGAGCCAACCTCCACAGACCTTTCCACAGGGATTTCATTGTTACAAATAGCTTTCAAGTCAAGTTAGACTCCTATCTGTGGTGCCAAGTTTCCTGAACAAAATAATATAAATACTCAGACACCCATTAATTAATCAATTATAATTGTCCTCATTGTGATTAATATGAAAAGACAATACGATTGAGAGAATTAGTATATAATATTTCACTAAATGTTTTTTATAAGGGTATATCCACGACAGCATTGAAGATCTGCTATGACCACGCCGATACCTCGGTGGTCCCTGGCCTGGGCGGAGATGGTGAGGTGGAAGAGGTGTAGCTGGTGTTCGTCGTCCAGCAGCACCCTGCTCGCCGCCTGCTGCAGTGCCACGTTCACATCTGCAGCAACCGCACACAACCACAGCAGTGACCGCTCGTCATCGCGCAAGATTAAAACAAATATTGAAAATGCATTGAGGTAAAAACGTGTTTTATTATGACTGTATATATGCAGTGTTACAAAACACCCATTGTGCAGAGGCCAAGCACTGTTGGTGAGATCAGTTCATGTGCAGGAGTGAGATGCATGGGAGCAGTAATGGACTGTGAGAGATGGCAATGGCATTGGGAGGCCTTCATCCAGCAGTTGCTGATGATGTCAACAAAAAAATACTACAATCATAATTACAATAGCAATTGACTACGAGTTATATTGCAACTCTGAAAGGCTGTTCGATAATTGTATGTGGCATATTTTCACTCGTAAGGGCTTTATAGAGGTTCTGATTTCATTTTTTTTTGTAAAACATTTCTCCAGGACCAAGAGCACTATAACGAATCAGTATTCAATGGGGTTGTGCTCAACGAGGTCTGCTCGTAATCAGTTTTCATCAATTTAAATAAAATGCAGAGTTAAATACTTGAATATCCTTCATATGCAATAAGTTTTTGCTTAAAAACTAAATTTTATTAAATATCGTTTATTATTCACTTTAAACAGAGAGTAATTATGAAGCCACTTAGCTTTTGAGCTGGTTTCCAAAGAAATGGCTGTTGAAAGATATCTAGAAATTAATGGTGAATGCCTCGATATTGGGCAGTTTCAGAAAGATTATTGTCATGTCCTGAATCAGGGCACATTTCCACGGAGCAGCGATTCACAATGGGAGAGGCTCTGGGAGGCATCTGTAATGGAACCGTTACAGATACTTATTTTTTTACAAAACCCAAGGTGTTTTACTGTGCAGTCATTTGCAAGAAAATGCTTTGTGGGTTAACAGCGGTCCGTGGATCCAGAAAGCATGGGAACCACTGGCACCTACCGAGACTTGTCTCAATGGGATCTCACCTGGTTAGAATCAAGTTCATGCACAGCATGAGAGGGTCCATAGAACACACACACAGATGCCACTATGTGTATGTGAATGGGGAATCACAGCGATCACAACACCATAAGCCTCACCCACCATGCTCGGTGACAGCTGTGGGTGGTGCCTTTAGCAGCGTTTGCGTACTGTCAATGAATGCCTGGAACAGCTCTCCCCGACCGAGCAAATAGAAGTCCTTTATGGTCTACGCAGACACAGAATACAGCACGTCCCAGTTGCAGCTTAACAAATGCATCACAACACGCATGGGTTTCCTCCCACATATATGAACACTCATTCATGGAGTTAGTCAAACATCCCAATATAGGGACAGAGAGCTTATAAATCGCTGGTGCCAGTACGGCCCGCTTTCCCGCTTGTCTGTTGTTTCCCATGGCTTCATTTGAAAACTGCGTATTACAAACCTATCTACGTGACTTTACCGAAAGACCCAAAGAATATGAATTCCTGCAGTCACGAAAGCTTTAAGTCAAGAGTTACAAATGTGTTTTTTTTTGTGAAATCAATTTGCATGATTCACACCATATAAATAAAAGAGATGTTATTTAATCGTTAATATGTCTCCATGTGGCTGGCGTGGTGCTGTTGGGGCCACTCGTGAGAGGTGGCTCAATGCAACATCCCACGTAGAGTATCTTACCTTCAGCTGTCCCAGCAGGTCTGCCTCTTCCACCACGAGTTTCCACAGGTGCTACATACACACAGTTCAGTAGCAATCATTTTATAGCTCCACTCTACCACTATGCAAGCGCAGTGCAATAGTAATAATAAGCAGTCAGGCCTGATGCCTTATATTGTTGGCAAGAGTCATGAATGCAGGGCCAACTTTGGTTATGACTCCTCGCTTCTGAGGTTGATCAAATCTAGATTGAGGTTGAGCAGAGTTAATTGTAACCGCACGCAAAATAAAGTGCAACCATGCCCAACGAATAGCATAAGGTAATCGGCAAATAAATAATAGTAAAGAAACATAAAAAAGATATATGGGAGGGAAAGTCCAGCTGTGTCACCTCTTAATTTTCTATCAGTTTACATGCAAACAATAATTTTACATGCTTGACAAAAATGACAAATAATGATAGTTTTATTGAACATTGACCCTTTGAATTAGCACCACTCCTGCTATCTTAGGCTTCGGACTTTTCAATCGGCTCTCGTGAATTACTTGCCTACCTCGGCCACTGTGTTGCGGATCTTATCGACCACCATCTCCAGCTCAAGAAGACTGAAGAGATCCTGCTGCTGCAAGTTGTGAATCTCCGTGGCAAAGGCATCCTCATGGGACTTTAAAATAGAACCTGGGAAGATAATGATGATTATTATACCTGCTTAGCCAACAACTGCTGTATTTCCCGCTTATGCAAATTGAAAAAAATTTCAAGCATGGTAAAATTGGACCATGACACAACAAACAATGGCCTACTCTTTTTTAAATGATGTCACGGGATAATTAACGTCCACTGTGAAGCAGACGGTGCGTATTCATGGTCAATAGACCCAGAGTATGCATCTGCTGGATTTGAACCAGCCTGTGAGCACCATACAGGTATCCCTTTGTTGTCCTTCCCCACACCTTCGATTAGTACGCTTGGCTACATAAGGTGTGACACAAGTTCAGCAAACATATGTAGTGTCTTCAAAAATTACTCACACCGACACGTAACAATTCACCTGTTTACACTTTATTCACCTATTCTGGCACCAGTTGTAGGCACTCCTATAACTATCTATACGGTCACTTATGTTTAACCTCTCCCCACTCTTATCTACCTTTCACCTCCCTTATCCTGCACTCAGCAGCTCTGCTCTCAGCGACTCCGTGCACAGCGTCTCCGCACACAGCGTCTCCGCACACAGCGTCTCCGCACACAGCGACTCCGCACACAGTGTCTCCACACACAGCAGCTCTGCTCTCAGCGTCTCCACATACAGCGACTTCGCGCACAGCGTCTCCACACACAGCGTCTCCGCGCACAGCGTCTCCGCACACAGCGACTCCGCGCACAGCGTCTCCACGCACAGCGTCTCCACGTACAGCGTCTCCACACACAGCGACTCCGCACACAGCGTCTCCGCACACAGCGTCTCCGCGCACAGCGTCTCCACACACAGCGTCTCCGCACACAGCGACTCCGCACACAGCGACTCCGCACACAGCGACTCCGCACACAGCGACTCCGCGCACAGCGTCTCTCCGCACAGCAACTCTACATCTCCACCGCTGCCCCTGGAGCGGCAGCGGCGAGATGTCTTCACCCTCGGTCCCCGACAACAACTCCCTCTCCGCTAACGCACACACCGTTATATCCCTCTGCTAATTATCAGAGACCTCTCCTGCGTCCCTTTAGGCTCTCGCCAGGCTGGCGCCTGTCGGCCCATCAATCAACCCTGATCTCCCGTAACCCTCATCTCCCATAACTCTTATCTCCCGTAACCATTATCTCCCTGGCAACACCTCCGGTCTCAACGCGCACACCCGGTCCACCCCGTTTGCACCCGCTTCTCGCCTTAATTAGGTGGCGTTTTGTCCGTGCAACCTCACGTTGCACGTGCGCACCTGTTTGCCCTCAGTTGCCCTCAGTTAACTGTGCGCACCGTGTATTCACTCTACACATAAATAGCGACTTTTCAGTACTCAAAGCAGGCCTTTGTATTTTTAATGACAAGCATTAGCTTTAGTGAGGCGCAGCCAATGGGAGGAGATACCACAGAGTGCTCGGTGGCACGCGCTCCTTTTCCCCTTTACCTGACGCACACCGAGATGCTGCTTGGCTCTGAAACATCTGCACCGACTCCCCCACAAAAAGGACCTTCTGGGCCAGGCGGTGGGGCAGGTATCCCGGGAGCATCTCCGGCCGAATCGAGTACAGCCTCATCGACTCCTTCAGCACGACTGCCTCCTTGGACAAGTGCTGCAACACAGGAGCACAATCCAAGGACTGCAGATGCACCTTCTCATCATCACACGTACGTCGTAGAGGCCACATCCGTTACCGTCAGTGGAAGCCTCGGCCACCACAACAGGAAGCCCACACACTATAGACAGAAGCCACTGAGACAACCCAAATCTGTAGCAAGCTCTGCCCATGAGTGAGAAGCTCATCCCACTTGTGAAATCTAACCCAGTATGTGCTTTGAGCCGAAAACTGTGCTCTGTATCCTATGATTTGTGCGAGCTGTGTGTTCTGTACTGTGTGCTATGTATACTGCGTGCTATGTGTGCTCTGTATCCTGTGTGATTTGTGAGCTGTGTGCTGTGGGTGCTTTGCGTGCTCACACACCAAGTTTTGCATCTGCCGCAGCTGCCGTCCGGACACGCCGCCGATGCCGAGCTCGTCGTCCTGCTCGCTCTGGCTGTGGGTGGGGGTTGCAAGCGCCCCCTGCTCGGGCCTGGTGGCCCCCCCTTGCTGGATGAAGAACTCCTACAATCACGGTGCAGGGACACTGTCTACATCACTCTCACACAGCAGCCAGCGCGCAGTGAGCTTTCTTCTCTCAATTGAAAGCAGCATTAGCAGCAATGACCAAGCACACATTTTACAAGCAGTGTGGCTTTGGGCGTTTTTCTTGCTACCCTTGGGATTTTGATTGAGTTGGGATGCCACAGGTTTTTTCAAAATAATATTAATCTAAGAATTTAAAACATGGCCGGGCATGACTTGAGACAAATTGCGGTGAGTCCTCAGAGTTTAATTTTGAGCATGGGTTACCATTAAATGGCATTCTTTAACCCCCCCACCTTTTACAACCCGCAAACAGCAGCATGGTGATGTATGATCAAACAACCCTATGACTTAAATGCTTTCCAACATGCGATTGTCGTCGGGAGTATGTAATTACTGATAGTAATAACGCTCACGCAAGGCATGCCAGACAGAGCACATCCATAGACTGCGATTAGACTGCCGAGAGTGGCTTCGCACGATGAGTCCAACCGATAATTGGTTCTTTACCCTTCTATCTGGCAACAAAACTGACACCTTTTTGCAAGGAGTCATGTTTGCATAGACCGCAATACCTGCAGTCATAATACAAACAAAAGAACATAACTCTGATAATGTGCACTGTCCTTGAAGTTGATTGGTCCACACCCGAGACAGCTTTCCTTCGAGCCTAGTCTCATATGGGTTGGACCAGTCTCATATGGGTTGGACCAGATGACGCCTTTTGGCGTCATCTGTTCCAACCCATATGAGACTAGGCTCGAAGGAAAGCTGTCTCGGGTGTGGACCAATCAACTTCAAGGACAGTGCACATTATCAGAGTTATGTTCTTTTGTTTGTATTATGACTGCAGGTATTGCGGTCTATGCAAACATGACTCCTTGCAAAAAGGTGTCAGTTTTGTTGCCAGATAGAAGGGTAAAGAACCAATTATCATATTTTTACTGGCAAATGAGGTCCCCATAGAGTCCAACCGAGTCGCAGACGTTGCTCCTTTTAGAGGCAACACTTTTACTGTGACACCGTAACACAAAGGGGTAACGGCCCCTTTACCCGATACAGCCTACGGTCGTGACCACACAGCTAACTACGCTATACAGAGGGGTTACTGCTACGAAGGTTCGGACTCTCACTCGGGTCTCTGACCACGTGGTTGCATCGTAGGACGAAGAGCTTCCAGCTTGAGACGTAGAGCTTCCCGCTTGTAGGTGTTGCGCTTCCAGCTGGTAGAATGCAGTGACCCCGGTCCCTCTCAGAGACCCGCCTGATATTCCCCTACGGTCGCGGCCGCTCCGCCCTCGGCCCAGCCCGCCTTCTCGAGCATTCTCATTCTCTCTCGATCCTTCTCAAGGGCTCTCCCCGGACATGTGATCACCCATTAGCCCCCCCATCTACGGGGTCAACCAGAGTGCCATGGCCCAGGGCAACCCTGCTCCTGGGCTGACACTCACCCACTCCCCCTCGTGGAAGCTCCCACCACATACTGTGCGTGGTGTCCGCACTATCCCAGTGCTCACCAAGCCTCGCTAGGGCTGGTATTACACACAGCCACCCACACAGTGCTGTCCACGATGTAAAAACATCCAACAGCGTGGCCCTTTTGGCCCGGCACCATACAGTGACATCCCCGATGTTACTACAGATGTGTGGGTCAGTGTGCGCATCTGCCTACTGGTGCTGTAGTCGGGGCTGATGTGAGTGACGCTGGAGGACTCAGCACGTACCTGGTGGGGGTCAAGCAGCAGCCCATGCAGCATCCAGGCAGAGATCTGCTTGTACATGACCCCATGGCAAACCCACAGCACCCTGCACACAGCACGACCGCCACCATGCCAGGATCCAGTATCTCTCACAATCACATTCAGACAACTCAGCATTCCTCTGTCAAAGCTGGAGTTTGTTTTAATTGCTCATATCCCAATCATCAGTCATGTTAAATCCACTGTTGGACAAAGGCCACCCCAAGCTGCCGCCACCTCATGATTTTGCATTCCATCAATCCATCCAAGCTCCTGCACAACTGATATAATCACTCCATCTCCTCGGTGCACGTGTGGTTTGCACAAAATTAAATGCTGCTTAATCCAGAAAAATGGTAGGGTCTGCTGTTTGGCACTCAGGCGAAAAACATTGTTAAAAGGATCAGGTGTGGCGGTCATGGACTCCAGGATTCAGCTTTCTACTTGTCTAAAGAGCCTCGGCACCATACTCGACTAAAATACATAATTTTATCACCACGTGCAAAATATTCTGGTACTGCAATTTTCATATGAGGGCTCTACAACACATCGACCACTATTGTGTCGTGACATAGCCAATACTGTGGCTTGTAGCATAGTATATCAACAAGGCTTGATTTTTGCAACTCGCTACTCTCCAGGATGTCTGGCAAAAACATGGCCAAGCTGCCGCATGTACAAAATTCTCTGAGACGTGTCGTGACAAGTACTACAAGATCTGACCATGTCTATCCAATGCTCGCCAAGCTGCATTGGCTTCCGGTTGCCGAACGAATACATTATAAGGTTGCACTCATTACGCATCAAGTACTTGCCAGAAATGGAAGCCACTGGAGCTATGCACTTTAAACATTGAAAACGCATTTATTTAGAACGACTTTTTGTGTTTAGTTTGTTGTCATTCCCGTGCACCTCTCATTAGCATAGTTGGCTATGTATTGTGCGAAATAAGTTCAACATACATACACCATCCCATTGAGCTATGTGGTGTCTTACCCAAGCCCACTTACTCTTCATAATAGTTTGGATGATTTTATTTACCCGAGTATCCCAATCAAAAATGCTATCATACGCTATCAAGGGCATATGCAAAGCTAATTCCCACATTCAAATAAAACTGTGCCCCCCAAGCAAATTTATTTTAAGAGTGGGGGAAAAATCAGAGAAGAGAGGGTTGAGCTAAGACAATCACCAAAATGTCGAAGCTGGAAGGTATCCAGGCTGTCCACCACGTGTAAGATGGATAAGTCAATTATAACTACGTGCTAAAACTAATCAAGTGGCAGGCCACAAAGAGATCAAGTTTTATGTAATTGTTCTTTATTATCAAGACATATCCTTCTTGAAGACGAGACGTCCCCATGTGCTCATCACCAAAGGACGCGTTACTAAGTTGTGGCTCTTGGGATTCCACTACGCATTACACTGAGGTTGTGACACAGTATTGAGTAATAGACGTGCACTCACTTCTCCAGCGCCTTACGGATGGGAGGGAGTCCACTGCAGCTGTGCTTATAGATCACTTCTAAGATTTGACAGCCGTGAACCTGACAGAGACCAGACACATGGGCTATTGAGACACCTCCAATTAGCACGGTTGGCTCCGTACGGTCCGAAAGAAGTTCAACATACATATGGAGTGACAGGGAATGCGTCACTATGGCACATAGCGCTGGTTGCTGGCACAGAGGGGGATCGGCAGGTGCAGTAGCCCTGTCTGCCAACAGGAGGTCATGAGCCGGGGAAAAGGGACGTGAGGCAAGGGGGACAGAGGGAACGCAAGGCAAGGGGCTTAGAGGGGACGTGTGGTAAGCCCGGGAACCTTCTAGCGTGTTCTAGAAGGGGGGTGTGGCCGAAGGCGGAAGGGGGCCACGCTCGGTGGATAAAAGGGGGACCTTTTCCTGAAGACGACCGCTTGCGTTGCGATCGAAACGTTGTAGTTTTCTGTTATTTTTTTATTATTTTCTTTGAACCTATCTACGTGACTTTACCGAAAGACACAAAAATATATGGCATGCACTATCAGTTAAACTTTTCAAATTATTAATGTTAATATCATGTAGGTGCTGCTATAAACGTTTCATGTCTTCGAACTGCAACTTTTTCACATTTGTCTATACGAAAAATGCATTGCATTCATAAAGTAAGTTTATGTATTAAAAGGGAAAACATCACAAGCTTTTGCTTAATAGTGTTAAGTGACTAATTCAATATTTTGCCTTGCATTATTCACAAAGGGATTTTCTACAACTGGTTCAGGGCCAGTGGCTTATGTGGAGACGAGAAGAAATGTGTAATTTAACACAGCATGAAGGAAAGTGGCACCAATTGCTTATATTCTTTTTTTATACAGAATCGGTCAGTCTTGTACCATTTTCCTTATTTATTGTATATTTCTACACAGCAAATATTTTAGAATAATGTACAAAACACAATACACATATCATCGATAGTATTGAGGTGATCCCATACCTTCTGTGATTTAATCAAATCCAGGACGACCATGAGTGCTGGGAAGAGCAGCTGAAACTGAATCAAACAGAGACATGTGTGGGCGATGGTTCCACAAGAACAAGATCTCATTGTGGCCAAAGCAGCCGATGCCGCCACCACCACACTCGCCAATGCTCTCTCCTCTCTGTCAGATCCTGGAGCTGCTGCTCAGTCGACATACAGCGACTTCCAAGGTCTGCCCTGACAATCTGCCACCACCATCTGCTCTGAGGTCTTCCCTTCCCCTTGGACGCTGGACTTATGTAGACCATTCCAATGCATGACTCAGCAACTGATGGCCCCACACAAACTACTATCTCATTTTATTGTCTTAATTATTCTTTGTTGTCTTATGCAATAGCCTAAAGGTAAAATACGGTGCAAAATAAGCTTAACATACATATATACAAAATACATATAATTATCTAATAATTTGCCTACAAAATAACTGACTCTTACACATAATATGGTGAATCTTTCATGAGTGTAAGATTTTATTTTGTATCTATTAACCAATTGTTACTTGCCTGCATATGGCAAATTAGCCTGTTTATCAGTGAAAGAAAATACGAGCCTGTGTCCTGGTAAACGAATAACGCGACTGTGAAGATTGATATCAGCCCATGGTTCCCAATCTGGTCCATGGAACATCGGTGGAGGCTCTGCAAGGCCATGGAAAGTGGTCCACGCAACTGTTGCAGACACTGTAATTTACAGCCGTTTCAATTATGACAAAATGTTATGAGTGCAATGGTGGTGAGTGGATGTAAGTTGAGACCTGACAGTGATCCGCAGGTGCAGCAAGATTGTGAACCACTGATATAGAAAATACATGCCTACAATCTCAATTAATAAGAATTTTATTTTTATTAGAATGCGTTTTTTAGAGAATATTCATTGAACGTGCCGTTCATTCTTTCCATTAACAGATCAACAGCAGAGAAAAATGCATGACTGCAGGTTCCCATTATAGCAATGGTTCCCAGCCCTTCTCGACCTGAGGATTGCTGCCAACCCTCAACAAACGTTTACAGACCACCATGCACCAAATAACCTCTATTTAAACATTTAAATGACTAAATTGCAGCATCTGCAAGAGTTCCATGGACCACCTCCCACAGCCTAGCAGACCACAGATTGGAAACAACTGCTTTGGAGTATCCTGCCTTTTTATATTTCACTTTGATAAAAGTTATCGCATCCAGTAACATAAACTAGACAATTATTTGAATTTTTTCCTTTTATCTTCCTTGTCCTCACAACCTCAAGAGACATCTGAACCATTAGGAAGCAATGCAACTTAAGCCAGGTGCCAGAAAGGGTTAGGTATGGAAGGCAGTACGAACAGCAACCGGGCGTGACACTCACCTGCTCAAGCGAGTGGTTCACGTGAGACACGGACAGGTGTGGATCGGCGAGGAACTGTAACAACAAAGCTTATTTTTAGAGATCAAAGGCAACCAACACAAACGAAGCACACACCTGCAACAACTGTTGTTCGCCAGTAAGTGGCGGTAACATCACCATGGTGCTTGTGCCATGCTAGGTGCACTCTGAGGCCATGTGAGTTTGGAAGGCTCGTGGACAGGATGTCACGGGACAGACCCAGTTGTCATGGGCTGACTGAGATGACTGGCAGATGCACCAACTTGGCTCCCCACTCTGCTAAGTTGCTGTGTTTTAGCCACTTGGCGCACTGCTCGTTGTGAGCATCGCTCCTCTGCCCTCTGCTGTTCTTCGAGGGTGACTGCCTCAAACTTCCCAGTAGCATTCCTCACGAACCTCCTCCATAGAGGCCGATCTTGACACTGCTGGTACCAGTCATTGGCAATTTATAATTAGCTCCACATCCTTCTGTACAATATCAGTCAATCTCCTGTCTAGCCCTATGCCATGCTCATTTAGCCCCATCTATCCAGCAAACGAGAAGCTGCTTGGGCATGCAGTGGCTGGGTATGCAGCCTTGCTTGCTGGATGAGCTCACCGATGAGAATGTGTCCAGATCTTTAAAAGATCTTTAAGCTCTTCACACAATCCAGTATAGTTAAACCCAAAATGGACCGTAGGCAGGGCAGCCTGAATGTTTCAAACAGGTGCAGATGTTCCTTTAGAGGGCTCCACATTTCGCAAGAATAGAGAAGGAAGAGCATAACCGTGGCCGAGAAGACCTGAAGCTTCGTGTGGAGTGACCAACGAGGTTGCTTCCACACAGCATTACGCAGCTGATGAAAATCTAATCCCGCTCGACTGATTCCGAGTGAGACCTCGGCTGCCAAAACCCCATCTCTTAATAGCATGGTTCAGGTTCAGTAGTAGTGTCTCCAACTCCTTCTCAAGAGTTGGCAGCAATTACCAGATTATCCACATACATAACATGGTTGACCAACAGACAACCATTCCATTACTGCACCCGAGGACATCCCTGTTGTACCCCAAGCTGAACAGAAAATATCTCAGACTCCCAACGGTGCAGCTTTACCCGGGCCTCCCCACCATCACGAAGGTCCTTAATGATTGTGAGGTAAAGGGTACAGGACTCCAAAATCACGAAGAATAATCCAGAGCCTTGGCATATTGATGGGGCACCACAGTGGCAAAATGCTAACGACCCTCGCCTGTATATTTGTAGTTTGCATGTTCTCCCCATGGTCGTGTAGACACATAACATAAAGCAGCGCACATGCACCACATACACAATAAACATATATATATACAAACCCACATACACAACAAAGCAGTTTACTTTAATATCAGTGAAATGCCAAAGGCTTAATGGACGTGGCCTAGCACAGCCCACATGCCTTGGTGCCTCCGAGAGGCAGCTCTACAGAAACGCGACGCAAAGTGACGGGAAAACCAGGGCAACGTAGCGCTCAGAAACTTAGGCTGTGCACCAATTTTCACAGGGTAGCAAGGTGCGGCACCTCTCCAAATGGGCTGCAGACAACACTGAAATCTAAGCATACAAATGGTAAAAGAAAGCTCCGCATAGATTACAGAATCCATTGCCGTATGACCATCAACGTGCCACTTTGCTGGCCAAGCATACAACTGGCATTCCAAATGGCATTCCTAGGAAGTCCTAACTTGGTTCAAACCTGCTTAGCTCCTGAGATATGAGGATAGGGCACACTCAGGGTGATTTGGTCACAGGCAATTCCAGAGACCTGCAGAACAGTTTACACCGATACCACAACAGGGGCCTATGATGCCTGAGGACATTTGGTTCTCAAGTAACATGTGTGCCTCGCTCAACAAGTCATCAAATTCGAACCTTGTGTCATAACAATCACTATAGTGCCATATGAGATGATGCACAAGATGTATATATACATCTATATTGGGAGCAGAGAAACCCCTCTCAACAATTTGTGGTGAGCCTGACCAACAGTGTGGGTGCAGCGTTCGTCTGAACCAGTGTGGGCGGTGGTAATATTTATCTTTGGCAACGATGACTGTGTCAGCTGAAGTGGGCATGGCCCGTGAGCCCAACCTGCTGCTCGAGGTCCAGCAGAGCCTGGCGGTACGACTGCAGCACCAAGTCCAGTCCCGAGCAAAACGCCCGCAGATACATGCCTTGCTTGTATCCTGCCAGCTCTGTCTGCTGTGAGTTATGTAACCAGGAAGAAGATACCATCACTATTAAGTTACACACACATGACGAACAGTGTCTTATTAACAACAACCGCCGTTCACCACTAAGTGGCATTGATGTCACCACGGCATTTGTGCTATGTTAGGTGTACTTTGAGGCCACGTGTTATGTCAAAGGCCCGCTGGCAGGTCATGGAACAGGCCCAGGTGCCATGGGTTGACTGAGATGACTGGCAGATGCACCAACTGTGCTTCCCACTGTGCTAGCTTTCTCCATTTTACCTGCCCAGTGCTAACGACCCTCGCCTGTACCCTCCGTTGGTACTGCAGGGCGACTAACTTCACAGCAGCGTCGTTCGCGAACCTTCTCCACAGAGGCCGATCTTGACATTGCTGGTACTGGTCATCGACAAATCCCATTCTGTACCACATCAGTCTATCTCTTCTCTAGCCCATGTCGCACCTGTTGAGCCCCATCTATCCGACCAAACAGAAGCTGCTTGGGCATGCAGTGGCTGGGCATGATGCAGTGGCTGGGCATGTGGGTTAAGATGATCCAGCCAACGCAGCCTCACCTGCTGGAGCTCACTGATCGGACTGTGTCCAGATTTTTTAAGGATTTGTGAGGTCTTCACACAATCCAGTCTAGTTAAACCCAGAATGGATGATAGGCAGGCTAGCCTAAATGTTTCAGCCGACACAGATGTTATTTTAGAGGGCTCCACGTTTTGCAAGCGTACAGAAGCGAAGGTAGAACTGTGGCCAAGAAGATCCAGAGCTTTGTATGGAGCGACAGGCCAGGCAGCTTTCACAAAGTGTTACGCAGCTGATGAATGGATAAGGCCGCTTGACTAATTTGGAGTAAAATCTTGGCTGGTAAACTGGAGCTGGTCATACGCACACTGCCTAAGTACAGAAACTTCTCCACTCTTTCCACAACTGCCGTATCACTCATGAGGAGTGAAGGGAGGGGAGCATTTGATGAAATAAAATACCCAGGTATGTGCTTTGTTTTTGTGAGGCTGATGGGAAGGCTCCATCTCTTAGTAGCATGCTCCAGGTTCAGTAGTAGCATCTCCAACTCCTCCGAGTGGGCAGAAATCACCAGATCATCCGCATACATAATATAGCTGACCAATAGGGAGCCATGCTTTGACCACACCCGGGCATCGATCAGCCTCCCCTTGTATCTATACCAGATGGAAATTCCACCAGTATATCTGTAGCGGCATCGTTGAACGTTGTGTGTAACTGCCGCTACTTATGGCCTGTAGTAACGGCCTTAAGCCAACAGGGGGCAGAAGGGAGGCCGATGGAGATGAGTGAGGCCGTTAGGCCAAGGTAAACCCCAGTGTAGTTTGGGACCAGGGGTACAGACCCTAGACCCCCAAGAGGGGGGCTGAGGGATAACGTCACGCTCCAGGCCCTCCAGACGGTTCCAGAAGGGGGGAGTGGCTAGGGGCAGAGTGAGCCAGAAAACGGTATAAAAGCCGGTCCCCTGAACGGGCCCGGCAGTCCTCGTTTGCCTCAAGACCGAAGAGTCACCCCGGAGACCTGGAGCTGCCACCTGGAAGACCTGAAGCGAAGAGCCCAAAGGGCATAACCCGAACCCCTGGCTAGGGTCGGGACAAAAGCTTAACCAGTGTAGGGTCAGAGCTTAACCAGTGTAGGGTTAGAGCGTAACCAGTGTGAGGGGATGAATAGTCTGGAGGAAATGCCTCTTTAGTGTATCGGGTGGAAGGGGCCGTACCCCTTTGTATTATGTAAATGTTAAATAAACATGCTGCCTCAAAAAGAGAGAAGTCTCCTCAAGCGTTGTACCCACTGCACATCCATGGAAAGTTTCTCCAACTACGTGGTCAACTAAATAGTCTAGGGGCCAGAGGATATCCCTGTCGCACTCCAAGGTGAACATAAAATGGCTCCAACACCCGGCCACATTACTAATCCCGGGCCTCCCCACCATCATGAAGGTGCTTAACGATTGTCAACAGATCGTATAGGACTCCGAAAGCATGAAAAATAACCCAGAGCCCTGGACTATTTATGGTATCATGGGCCTTGACCTGTCCAATAAAGCATAGATGTTGGTCCTGTTTAATTTCTCTACACCTCTGGTGTAGCATACAGAGAAAATGGCATCCATGCAGGACCACCCCAGTCTGAAACCACATTGGGGCTCTGCAAGTTTCTCCTCAGCATGTCTAGCAAGGTGATTTTGAATGATTATTGACAGGACTTTTCCCGTTGTAATGAGGGAGATACACAGTAGTTGTTGCAATCAGTAGGGCCCCCCTTTTAAAAAATAGGGACCACCAGGGCATCCTTCCAATCCTGTGGAACTCATCCTGTGGAGCAGTTCGCTGGAGAGGTCATCTCTCCCCAGGTGCTTTACCTGGTTACAAGCTCTGTATTATTCATAATTCAATAATTGTATTTTTCAGATTTGCCACTAGATGACAAGAGATATGTATGCCTTGAATACAAAAACACTTTGGTCACGCAAACTCTCGGGACTGGCCACAACTGGCGCATCGTCAGGTCCGAGAATAGACAGGACCAGTAGTGAAAGTGTTATTGAATGTTCTGTACGTGGGAGGCACGAATCTGTGCAGGGGAGGCTGGGGAGCAGAAATGCAGTTTGGGATGTCACCGGCTTCTGGACGTGGCTGCTGTTCTGCTGCACGAATTCGGAGAAGCGGATGTAGTCGGTGCCCAAACGGCAGATCCGGTTCAGCAAATTCACCTCACTCGGGTGGATAAACGGGACGTCCTGCAGTACCTGGAGACCACCACCATCATTCAACATCAATCCATTGGTCAGCCAATAAATCACTCCATTACGCAATTAAAACTCCACTGGATCGCTTAATAAAAAATAAACCACCAATTGCGATATTCATACATTAGCCAATTTATCTGAAACCGCTAAATGTATCAATTACTTATTATTAAATCTATCAATCGCTCTCAATTCATCACTCATTAACTATGAACCACTTAACCCACAAGTCAAATACTTAATTGCTTAATCTGTATACAGAGACAGGTGAGTTTCGTTTTCAATGAAGCACCTGGTTGAAATACAGCTCAATGTTTGATTTTAAAAAATGTCATTCGAGGTACAGATTCAACGTCTAAAATATAAACTATGAAATGTAAAGTCACCCAGCATCCATAAATAATACCATGAAATAGAATCGTCGGATATAAAGTCTTTAAAATGAAGTCTGTCGAAATAAATGTGATTTCAAATATTACAACAGACAATGAAACCAATCATCATCATCGTCGTCGTCGTCGCCGGTCACGATCCACCCGCGCGCGCGCTCGCCTCTCTGCCCGCGGGGATCTCGGCATCACCTGCAGCCCGGCCCGGCGGCTCCACGCGAACACGCTCCCGGGGAACCCGCTCAGCGCCAGCAGCAGCTCGTGGATCATGGCGACAGCGGCGACAGCGCAGGGAGACAGAGACAGCGCAGGGAGACAGAGACAGCGCAGGGAGACAGAGACAGCGCAGGGAGACAGAGACAGCGCAGGAAGACAGAGACAGCGCAGGGAGACAGAGACAGCGCAGGGGAGAGAGACAGTGCTGTACACACTGTACACAGTTGTGCCTCCCGCGCACTGGCGCGACGCGATGACCTCTGACCCCCAGCCACCCCCCCACATCCCTTCCCCTCACACAAACCCCGCCCCCTCACACAAACCCCGCCCCCTCACACAAACCCCGCCCCCTCACACAAACCCCGCCCCCTCACACAAACCCCGCCCCCTCACACAAACCCCGCCCCCTCACACAAACCCCGCCCCCTCACACAAACCCCGCCCCCTAACACAAACCCCGCCCCCTAACACAAACCCCGCCCCCTAACACAAACCCCGCCCCCTCACACAAACCCCGCCCCCTCACACAAACCCCGCCCCCTCACACAAACCCCGCCCCCTCACACAAACCCCGCCCCCACCCCACCCCTCTACAACCACGAGGTGGCGCGATCTGCGCTGTGTGTGGCGGCTCGGGCTGCTGCGGGGTGGTGGTGGTGATGGGTGGTGGTTGGTGGTAGTGGTGATGGTTGGTGATGGTTGGTGGTGATGGTTGGTGGTGGTGATGGTTGTTGGTGGTTGGTGGTTGGTGGTGGTTGGTGGTGATGGTTGGTGGTGATGGTTGGTGGTGGTGATGGTTGGTGGTGGTGGTGATGGTTGGTGGTGGCGATGGTTGGTGGTGGTGGTGATGGTTGGTGGTGGTGGTGATGGTTGGTAGTGGTGATGGTTGGTGGTGGTGATGGTTGGTGGTGGTGGTGGTGATGGTTGGTGGTGGTGGTGATGGTTGGTGGTGGTGGTGATGGTTGGTGGTGATGGTTGGTGGTGGTGATGGTTGGTGGTGGTGGTGATGGTTGGTGGTGGTGATGGTTGGTGGTGGTGATGGTTGGTGGTGGTGGTTGGTGGTGGTGGTGGTGGTGGTGGTGGTGGTGGTGGTGGTGGTGATGGTTGGTGGTGGTGGTGGTTGGTGGTGATGGTTGGTGGTGGTGATGGTTGGTGGTGGTGGTGGTGGTTGGTGGTGGTGGTGGTGATGGTTGGTGGTGGTGGTGGTTGGTGGTGATGGTTGGTGGTGGTGATGGTTGGTGGTGGTGATGGTTGGTGGTGGTGATGGTTGGTGGTGGTGGTGATGGTTGGTGGTGGTGGTGATGGTTGGTGGTGGTGGTGGTGATGTTTGGTGGTGGTGGTGGTTGGTGGTGATGGTTGGTGGTGGTGATGGTTGGTGGTGGTGATGGTTGGTGGTGGTGATGGTTGGTGGTGGTGGTCCGCTCACTCGACTCCCGTGCGCCACGAGTAATTCGCCGCTCGCATCGGGGTCACCGCGGTGCTAAAGACACCCGCGGGCGAGGTCGGCTCCATCCTCACATGTCCGTCGTGCTGCTGCTGCTACCTGCTGCTGCTGCTGCTACCTGCTGCTGCTGCTACCTGCTGCTGCTGCTACCTGCTGCTGCTGCTGCTGCTACCTGCTGCTACTTGCTGCTGCTGCTACCTGCTGCTGCTGCTACCTGCTGCTGCTGCTGCTGCTACCTGCTGCTGCTGCTACCTGCTGCTGCTGCTACCTGCTGCTGCTGCCCATGCTCCGATTTGGACGACCCAGACCCAAGTGTTAAGTTGGAAGCGCTCCACTCCCCAGGATCGGGCGGTTACTCTCGCAGGTCGCCCGGCGACCAGATCGCGGCGACTCCGTTCGTCGCCGCTTCTTCTTGTCCCGATGTTGTCCCCTCCACGGCGTGGCGGCTCGGCTCCCGGAGGGGGGCCGGCTGCTCCCATGCCCAGCACATCCGATCTTGCCAATCCCCCCCCCCACCCTGAGAGAGATGAACCTTCGGGTGGGGAGATCTGATGGCGGGGCAGAGGCTCGAGGTGGCCCACGCATGTCACAGTCTATGCAGTAGATAGTCGTGTCCATTCACCAACTTGAGGCCATCACGTTTACTGCACAGGACCACCTGCCATTGATACAATCGGTCGTAGATCTAAAAATCTTCAAAGTAAATAAATAGCAAGACTTTTTTGTTAAATTAAACTGCCCGTCTAACATAATTAACCAGACGGTTGGAGGCTAAGCACGCGGCCTGTAATCCAGCGGGGAGGGTTGACGTTATGAGACTCCCTCCCCGTGGGCTCGAGGAGGTCGGAGGTGCCATACCCTGGCTCGCCTCGAGGCAACGTGGACTCCACCTGTGACGCCTGTGCGAGAGTGGCGTTTCAATCTCCCACAAGCAACGTTCGTTGTCTGAGAGCGCCTGAATAATACCAAGGGCGTTGACTCGGGCAATGGTTGGTGCCGGATCCTGCGTGTGGTTTCTCTTGGCGCATCTGAGTCGTCCTCTAGGTTAGCGAGCGAATCTTGTGTGGCGGCGCGTTACGAGTTGAAATTCTTATTAACATCAGTTTCGGTCAATCAGATGTTGGAGACATTACGGCGTTGCCATCCCTCAATGGCCCGTGATGCCGCAATCCATCTTGTTCCTGCAAACCAGCTGATCTCTCCACTACATCTTCATGGTGCAAAGTACTCGAGCTTGAGTCAGGCTTTGATTAAACGAATGAATTCGTGCTGCCAGTGTGTGTGTGCTTACTTCACATTGAACAGTGACAGCACCTGCCAAATCGAGGCGAATGTGTGCTTGTTGTGTGAGGTGATTGGCATGTTTAATGCAGTACTGTATAGACTGAAATAGGATAATAGGATAGAATTAATAAATCAGAGCAATACGAGTACAACTAAACATTTTATATATAGCTGTCATATACCACCATGAAGAGTTTGATTATATAGAACAATTGATTATACAACATCAAGGATTTTAAACAAAATACACTTGCATTCTGAGGAACCTCTACAGTGAAAGTATTGCTCACATCAAACTAGAGCGTGCAGTTATAGATCTCAACATCCAGAAGTGAGTAAAACAAGGTGATCCTCTATCTCCAAACTTACAGCAAACTAGAAACATGTTTAAAAAAATAAATGAGATGATAATTGTGGAATGTCAATGGTAAACATCTTACAAATGTACATTTCACGAATGGCACTGTCCTGGTGTCTGATAATAAAAAAGAGAATATTATTCATCTTAATGGAACAGAGCAAAGTGGTTGGAATCAGTCCAACAAAAACTAAAGTTGACAGTTTACAATAAAATACAAAAAAAATTACGGCAATAGAATCGAGTATATTTGTCTCTTTGCTTTAGAGCAAGGGTTTGTGGAGTTTATTGCATTACGGTATTATTTTACCTGACTTTATTCTGGCCTTCATTGATCCCAGTACAGTAATCTGTGGTTTTCCTTAATTCCAGATATTTTAGATAATTTAGTTTTACTCTAACTTGGTCAGCTTTCAGTGCCGTTATCTTCGTCTCTTATTTGTCTAGAGGTAACATACAATGATGTGCATTGCATGTACTAATTTTTGGCGTCTGGAGTTGCATGTTGAGAATTGAGGTCACGAGTTGCCCATGCTTCGCATTCAGTTATTTGTATTTCTGCATGGAGGCCGGTATTATTCTTTGATTAACGGGGTCTTCTTAGTTTGGTTGCCAGTGTAGGCTTGCATGTCTGGCCCACTCAGGTTCTTTGTGTGGGATATCACACAACATTCTGGGGCAGATGGCAAAACAGTCGGGGCATGATGGTATAAACGGAGAGAGGTTTCGGGAACTGAAAGTGAAAATATATGGGCCCAGTGCTGTTGTATGGTATGAGGGCATGGATATACACTAAGAAAGAAACGAGACACTGCTTGACAGGTCAGAGATGAACATGCTGAATATTTTTCAGGGAAAGGAGGTGGAATGAAGAGGATAGAGTCTTGGCAAGGGTTGCTAATATTCTATAAAAGGTGAGGGAGGTGAAACTCAGTTTGGGCATGTGTTGAGTAAACACAAAGGTGCAATTGGAAGAACCATGGAGATTAGAGACCCATAAACCTGCACAGCGACTCAAAGACTAACAGCGACTCAGATTAGAAGGGCTTTGGAAATTCCATCAGTGCAGAGGGAGTAAAGTAGAGAGACACTGAGGGCAAGATGGAACGATGCGGATAGAGAAGAAACAGAATAGAAGCTCAGAGAGAAAGAAAATCGGAGCAGCTGACCCCAGAAACAGTGGGACTTTTGTATTCGAAGAGTGTGCAGTATATGCATACGTAGACTCTACCTACACATGCCAAGAGTGCAGACAGTCTGTGAGTGTATATAAGTATGAAGTGATTATATTTCCCCCTGCTAGCAGTCTCACCTTTTTCCATATCAACATATTTTCTTCCAAAATTAAATTTAAAAGCAATTAATAACAGGGAAGATTCAACTAATGTAATGACAACTGCAATAACATCGTATGACGGTTTCCAGGCCTCACTGGGAGCTGCTAATATAAGGAACCTTTCGGCAAAATGAATGTGAAATGGAGAAACAAAGGGTCCAGGTAGGAGAGATGTCCCCATATATTTTAGTGTGATATATGACCTTGAAAACTGTTCATATAATAATCTTGGAAAATTGTTTCACAACTGATTCCACCTCGTACAAGCGCTTGCACTGTGTCAATGAGGGTTTCAATGTATTATTCTTTATACATTTACAGCATACCTATGTTTTTCTGTTGATATTAATTATCGTTATAATGTTGTCTATTAAAAGGAATATGTTTATTGCTAATCAATGCTTCCTTCAGATTTTTTTTTATTAGAGTAACTTTAACAAAAATGTCATCTGAACTGCACAGCTCGGCCACAAAACTCTCTCCAGCTACTCCATGGCCTCCCACGTGCAAGGGAGGTTCACAGTGCCTGCTGCTGCTGCAGGTCATAGGCCTCCACGGCTCGCTTGATGTGTGAGAGCCGCACCTTCAGCTTCCGGCAGAGACGCTTCTTCTCTTGGTATTGCTGGCCCTGGAGAACAAGAAATACAACATGGCAAGCCTGGACTCACTATTCACAACACAGCAAGTGTGGACTCATTCAACATGACATGTGTGGACTAACTCATCACAACACGAAATGCACGGACTCTCTCATCACAACATGACACAGGTGCAGCGAGTGATCAACAGCAGGGCTCTATCACATGTTATGCAATGGTTATCTCTTATTATTCCATAAGCTATATATACGAAGAGTATGGTTATGATTGAATATGTATTATCTCCATAACTCACCCGCTTGACGTCCTTTATCTTGTTGTATTCTTCAGCAACATTCTGAAACAGAGTTGACGATGCACGTGAATGTATAACCACAGAGGAGGTCATTCGCCTCTGGGGCTCACAATAGCCGTGTTCAAGCACTCGTCTATTCTTGCACATCATCGTGACAGCAATATGGTTGAGGAGCTAAATGCCAATGTCAGGGTCTGCTAGCCACGACGAGAGGGCTTCAGGAGAGTTGGTGTAGTTTTATTATTCCTGTACTGACGGAGCGCACACCACAGAGGTTTACTATACGGTCCATAGTTTGGGTTTAATGGCCAGAGTTGCTGTGTGGCTTACCTTTAACATAGCTATGGGTCTCTGTATCTCCATGAGTCTCTATGTAACTCTGTGTCTATATGGGTGTATATGCATATCTGTATAGCTCCAGTGTGTCTGAGTATATCTATATGAGTTTATATATATGTATCTTTGAGACTATCTCTATGTCTAATTGCATCTACGTGTCTAATTATCTCTATGGGTCTCTATGTATCTGTTACTTTGGGTTTATTATATGGTCCATAGTTTGGTTTGAATGGCCACAATCGCATGGCTGTGGATTGCCTTGAATTTCCCATTCATGATGGAGATATTTGCATGGGCCTGCTAATGTTTGATGTGGTTGATGGCCACACAGGTGTCTTCGAGGAGAAGCACAGAGTCAGCACCACTGAGATGACAGATTCAAATCTGGGTTTCAGCGATTCAGGTTCCCAAGTACAGTATAGGCACACTTAGCTATATTAAAGTAACCCATTGCATATGTTTTGCCACTCAATCTGCTCTGAATGCTAAAATTGGAAATTATTTGATAAGAATATACAAATATGACAAAATAAAACATGAATACAAACTCAGCAGCCCACAGAAGTGGGTAAGTGGTTCTGTTATATCGAGTTCCTCAAGATGGCAGGTTAGCTCACAGCACTGAGTTGATACGACTAAGGTCCTAGGTTCAGATCATCTGCTCCCTGACCAGAATGAACCACGTTTCTTGAGCATATGGCACTCGATGGCCTTGGTCTGTTAGCCAGTGACAAAGAAAATAACGAATTGTATAAATTGGATTTACACTTAAAGAGCTTGAATAAATGCAGAGTGCACCATCCACTCATATGACAGGCTGGGAGACAAGAGTAAGGCAGTCGTGTGAGAGATCAATGAGGCACAACAAAAACTGTGTTGTTATGGAGGTTTCAGAATGAAGCTCCTGTACACTCCTGTGCTTAAATGCAAGTATAACACTGGGGTTTAACTAAGGAAAGTCTAGAATCTGTTGGGATGTAACAATAGATTAAGATGGATTCTTACTCTCAAGGTATGTGGCAATGATTCATGTGCAATAATTGTTACACATGACTCAATAATAGTTTGTGAAATTGTTTGTGACCCCACTTTCGGAGAATGCTTTAAACTGGAGGATTCATTCACTCCAAACTTGAAAAATGGCAGTCGAGTGTCAACATTCCAAAAACTATTACCAGCTCAGAGTTGTGAGAGTTAAAGTTCTTGAACAAACACGAGTGCATTCTAACAGCAGTCTAGGGCATTATCGTGCAAAATATGATGCTTTGACACATGCATTTGTATGTGTGTGGATTTCATATGTTTGACGTTTAAATTGACATTAGCACAGGGTGGCTGGATGTCGCATCGCCGAGCACGTGTACCTGGTATTGTGCGCTGTCCTCCGGGAGTCTGTCCAGCTCGGTGTTGAGCTGCTCGAGCCTCTGCGAGATGCCCCTGAGCTCGGCGTGCAGACTGCGGTACTCGCTCATGTCACTCTCAAACTGCTGCCTGTAGCTCTGCCTCGTGGTGCTCGAAGCAATGCTGGGGTAGAGCCTGCAGGCAATCGGCACATTCAAAGAAAGGTAAAGATACTACCAGGAGGGAGGGTCTTTGCTAGAGCAAGCCCTAGAGGATATTTGGTCTACTCTTCCACATTGAACAAACGTGTTAAAAGAGCTGGGGGCGCCCACACTTTACCCCACCACACTCATTCTGCCGATTGAAGAACTGTCGCGTACCCATTTATACCGTTGGGTAGACAGTGGAGGGCCGGCTTAAAAATGTGAAATGTATATCTCGACGCCTCCTTCTGTTAGTGAATAAACAATGTTGAGTGCACCACCTATTGCTTACCTCATTAACTCATTCTCTTCCTCTGGGCTGGACTCGGGCTCTGTGGTGTAGTCTGTCTCATACAGAGACCCCTCCGTTCCATATCTTTGAATCCGCTGGGCTTTCCTCTTCTGCTGAGCTCTCTTAATGGCTTGCTTGCCCGTGACCTCCAGAGTTGCACTCTGTCCGTCGCCCGGGCTTTCAGACCCAGCCTGGTCAGCATCGTACATTCCCCGGCTGGATGCTCGCTCTCTACCCTCCCACGGCCTGTTAATACATTCACATAGGATCCATCTGTCAATGATTATTTGGTTTATGTTTTAGATATTCATCTGTAACATTCTTAATGAAAGATATGTACTGCATTTAGCCAACTTTTGACACCACTGACAAACCTAAGAATATAAGACAAATATCAAATTAATCTTCTTGGTTCTTTCGGTAAAGTCACGTAGAAGGGAAGTAATGAAAATAATAAAAATAAAACATAATAACCAAGAAGATGAATCCCTGGAGTCACGAAAGCTTTAAATCGAAAAAAAAAATCAAATTGTGAACTATGTCTCTATAACAAGATTCGAACTTGGTACCAAAGATTGTGCTATTGCACATTCTCTATGGAATCCCCTTGTGCCGTTTCAGTCTGATTGAGTCACCATAAAGAAATGCTCTTAAACTCTTCCTTGATGTTGACTCCAGCCACATTCACAACTGTCACTTGGAACCTTGACTTGCAACTATGATTTGCAAGTGCAATTTATCCATTCAATATTTTGTATGATTGCTGTTACTTTTTTCTATATTCTGTTTTGTTCAAGTTTGAGTGTCAATGTTTAATTTATATGCCTATGTTAATTTCCTCTGTAAAATTTCTACCATTGCTTTGGCTGGCCTGTGAAAAAGAGCTTCATTGGTTTTCTGGTTCTTCCAATGTAAATTAAATGTTCATATCTATGTAACACAGGGAATACTTCAATGGTTAACTCAACCAATCAGTCGAGTTGCTAGTTCAGATTTGAATGATCAAATCTCCAAAACATTCAATCATGTTCTGGTCCATCCGCCTATTGTTTTTTGTGGACCAACGAATGCAGTATAATTTGTATCTGCTAAACTCTCTTGTCTGTATTATACTGCTCACTATCCACCATGACAACACAATGTTGTACACTTATCTCAAGTCGTTAGATAAGCAGTGAGAGTGGCTAGTGGATGAAGGGAGATTGATGAGAGCAGTGGTCCCCAACGTTTCTGAACTCGCGGATCATTGTGAACTCTCAAAAAGAGTTTGCGGATCACCGTACACCAGTAACATAAAATTGTGAAAGTGAAGATGCATCTGCAACAGTTTCACGGACTTCTTCCCATGGCCTTGTGGACCAGCAGCCTCAACGGACCGGAATCGACGCCTTCTGCAATCAGCAGCCCTCGGTGATCAACTACTGCTGGACCCATGCGCAACCCCTGTATGGCGATATGGCCAGCGCAGTATCAGGGTCTGCAGCCTGAGGACCTTGAACCAGTTTGGGATCCATCCTTGAGTCTTGAGCCAATTTTGCATCTGACTTGAAACAATGCTTTCCAAAGAGCTTGCTATGTGTAATTAGTCCGCATTCGTGATGGACTGGATTCTTAAGAGTTCGCAATAACAAACGATCAAACTCACTTATTCTGTGCACCACAGGTTGGGAACAGCTGCACCCATGACAGCGTGAGACCGATGGCAGGGTGGGTCGGGGAGGAATCGCTGTGTATGTTCAAAGTGCTGTACTGATCGTCACACGCGAGTGCGTGAGAACGATATTGCGATGTCTGAGGTAAGACCTCTCCTCCCCGCCCGAATTGAAAGTCTAAAAATGAGAATGGTTTAATCAACCAGAGAATAAGAATAATAAAGACTAAAATAAACCATAATTTTCTGCACATTTTACACGAGATAAACTGCAGCGTGGCTGTTTGCAACTGCGAGTCAACAAGTCTGTGTAGCCCCACACTTCAAGAGTAAAATTGACGAAGTGTAGAGGGCTGCGCAACCAAACACTTGGGGCTATTTGGACATGCACTTGTCGGTGACCACAAATACATGCTTCAATGAAATACTCCTGGGCAGCACACATGACGACTTGGAGGGATGATGGCTGGTGGTCGAGGCTAACAAGTGGCTAACAAGACAAAGGAACAATGCCCACGAGCACGTCTACTGGAGAGATGGAGTGATGAGAGAATATCGTGTTCTGGAGCCACATGGGTTGCATCATGAAACTGTTGGAGATGAATGCTTTTGAAGACCATCTAGCAGAGGATAGATTTTGGCTGCTGCTGGTGATCCACAAATTCCACAAATGTAACTACTTGGACACAAGCCTCGTAAAACCGAATCATCTGTGTTGCACATGTTTCACAAGGTGTTTTCTGTGTAATGAGAGAGCACACCGACGGGCGACAGAGGGCTGCATAGCCAATCAGGGCAAACGGTTCCATCTGAGCCAAAGTTCATGGGCGGAGCTCATGGGTTCATGCGAGAACCATCGGGAAGGTTCTGAGGTTGGAGGCGGAGCTTGGCTCCGCCGAGAGGGATGTAAGGAGAGGCAAGGGAGGACTCGGGGTCGGTGTGGGAGCCCGAGAGTCCGGACTGCATCTCCGTCATCTCGTCACGCCACCGGCCACGTGGCAGTCTCGAGGGCCGAAGCTCTCCCCACTCCCTGCGCGCCGTCGACCAGCGGTGCGCGGGGGAGAGAGCGAGGGAAGCCGCGCGGGAACGGAGGAGCAGTGAGCGCGTGCATGTGGCGAGAGAGAGAGAGGGTGACCATCCAGAAAGGGAGTGCGGAGCCGAGCAGTCATCACTAAATAAAGAAAGTCTCAACCTGTCGTGGTAGTCGTTTATTACATCTGTATTGCCATTAGCAGGGGCTGGCTGTTTTGCTGTATTTGGTTCACCTGGTTTCAGGTGCACCAAATACATGTCTCAGGTTCGTCGAATGTCAGAATATTTATTTATACTGGAGGAATGCGAGAGCTACAAAGCTCTTTATACACAGATGTCCAACGTACTCTTGCCTGGTTATAAGTACAGATTGTGCCTGCCTACGTCACCTCACCGGGCATCGGCGGTGCCGAAGATGTTGCCGCGGGAGGCAGTCCGGGGGACGTAGCTCACTTGTGCCTCGCTGGTGAACGTGGCGCCATCACCGTAGCTGGATCCCTCGGAGCCCACGGGAGACTCCGACATCCCCTGGGCTTCCAGGTCCATTTGACTCATCTTAGTGAAAAAAACACAACGGCACAGCGTGAGTTCGCCACCACCATCGTCACCGGTACCACAGTGGCGGCTCCTGCAAAATCTCTCAGGGGGGGCAAATGTCTGGATGATTGATAAGGATAAGGTCCACCCATGCAATGAATAAATTAACAGCTTAAGCATGTAAAGGCAACTTCACTTCTTTAATATTTTTCGATTTAAAGCTTTCGTGACTGCAGGGATTCATCTTCTTGGTTCTTTCGGTAAAGTCACGTAGAAGGGAAGTAATAAAATAATAAAAATAAAACATAATAAAACAATTCTCACGACGTTTCGGCCACAACGCAAGCAGCCGTCCTCAGGTGAAAACCAGGTCCGTCGAGGCGACAGAGTCTGAATGAAACAGCACACGAGCTTGGAGCATATATATAAGCTGGGCGCATTGACAAAGGAATTTGCATATCAAAAGGAATTTAGCATATTTATGGGAAATGCAGGAATGTGATTAGTACTGCATATGCATGTGCATTATGCAGGATTAACAGCATCAAAGGGAGCTGCAGTTACTGCTGCTGCTGCAGTTGCTGCTGCTGCAGTTTCTGCTGCTGCTGCAGTTGCTGCTGCTGCTGCAGTTGCTGCTGCTGCTGTTACTGCTGCTGCTGCACTTGCTGCTGCTGCTGCAGTTGCTGCCTTATCCATTTTAATATAACACTATGTATTATTCTACCCACCCTAATGTGTATCACACTGCTATATGTTTACTATACAATTACGACACCATACATTACTCTGCACACTGCACCATGCCAGTGAGTGGAACGCGGTCTGAAAGTCACCGTAAACGTGAACACAATCAGTTAAGATCCGAAATGGTTTATTACGTCCTTCCAATGATTGCTAAGCCAGAATCCATCTTCTCGGTTGAAATTGTCTCTGTGTTTGTATATGTGGATCGCCTCATGAACGAATCTCTCATGATAGCCAGATGGCTTGCAGAGAACCTCTGTCTTGGAGAAGTCAATATCATGTGAGCCCACTGAGTTGTAACAGTGATCTGCCACGGCTGAGGTGTTTGTCCTACCGTGTTTCAGGTCTGCCTTATGTTCACGGATGCGGTCCGAGACATGTCGTTTGGTTTCTCCAATGTAACTGCTACCACAGAGGAAACTTAGTTTGTAGACGCCAGGGTACTGTATGTCTGGAACCACATCTTTTACAGACGGGACCAGATCACGGATTTTATGTACTGTGTTGAATCGGACCTGGATCTTGTGTTTAATCAGGATTTTGGAGATCTTTTTTGTGACCCCAGCAATGTAGGGTAAGGTGATGGTCTTGAAAGGCTCCTCAACAGGATCCTTCTTGATGGTTGGAGTGATGGCTTTGCGGATTGTGTAGTCGGAGTAACCATTAGCCTTAAGAGCTTGGCGTACGTGTTTGAGTTCACTGGAAATGTGTTCATGGTCGGAGATGCATTGGGCTCTATGATATAGAGTCTTGATGAGGGAATTCTTCTGGGATGGATGGTGGTGGGAATCCGGTTTTAGATAAGCATCCGTGTGGGTGGCTTTCCTGTAGACAGAGTGGCTCATTGAACCATCAGGTCTCCTTTTGATTAGGACATCCAAAAAGGGTAGCTTGCCATCATTTTCGACTTCCATGGTGAATCTGATGGCTGGGTGTATGGAATTGATGTGGTCGAGAAATTGGTCTAGAGCAGGCCGGCCATGTGGCCAGATGACAAAAGTGTCGTCTACGTACCTCTTCCATAAGGTCGGGCGTCGAGTGGCAGTCTGGATGGCGTCCGTCTCAAATTTCTCCATGAAGATGTTGGCTACAACCGGAGATAGGGGGGAGCCCATTGGGGTGCCCTCAATTTGCTTGTAGAAGGTTCCATTCCAGGTGAAGTATGTATTAATATTAATGAAAAATAAAGTGACTCTTACAATACATCTTGTTTGTTTATATACTCACTATTAAAACAAACCACTCAAGTTTATTTATTAAAGATTCCACTAGGTGGCGATAAATCATATTGTTGGATGAAACGTGCTTACGTATGATGACGTTAGCACGTATGATGACGTAAGCACGTTAGTGCATGCCCTCCCGGAAGCCATAGAGAATGCATTGCAGCGCCCCCGTTCGAAGAAAAACATCTTTGAATGTAAGTCTATGGGGCCACTCGGGGCGATTCTCAGCCGGAGTGAAATCGCCCAAAAAGAGGCGGTACTCCACAGAACGTGACATGACGCTGATTGGACTATATCCAGAGGCTGACAGTGACGGCTAGCGTGACTCTGTGGTTGAATGACATTGGTGGTGCGTCGCCCAATCGCCCTAATGAAGAAACCGCCCCTGCGGTACCACCTTCAACAAAACATGTGCAGTGTGCCATGCAACGGACAGGCAATGATGGTCTTCTCTGCAGTAGGCGTTCTCTCTTTTGCAGGGTGGTACTTATGAACCCTAGAGGGGTGGACAGGCTAAGCCAATGTCCAATCTAATGTTGCCATTGTCAGTTGAGCCTACTGATACCCCACGATATTAGATATTGAGTGTTTGCGGGAGATAAACACATTCCTGCGGAGGGAGCTGGTAGGAACGTTGAGTTGCTCGGTCAATGGCCAGGGTCAACGGCGGCGTGGTGTATTTCGCAAATATGCCCGACTGTGAGGGCGGGCACAAGCCGGCGTGAGTAGGTTAAACGTTGAGTTTTATAAGGGCACCACGGGGTGACCAGCCCCTCCCCACTCAGCCCCACCCTCCCCACCCAGCCCCTCCCCACCCAGCCCTCCCCACCCAGCCCCTCCCTCCCCACCCAGCCCCTCCATACACGACGGACGGACGGACACAATAATCCCCTGTGGGCTGGTGGAACCAGGAGGTTCCTACCAGTATAAACGTTATATACACACTATACAACTACAGGTTAAACATTCACTTTGCAGATTAAAATGTAAACTAACACACTCACCCATTTTTCAATGTTTTTCCCATAATCGTTGTCCCATGCTATGAAGTCCTTGCCATACTTCCACATTTTACTGCGCGTCTTGAAAGCGTAGACAGAGGCGACGATGAGAAAGATCATGGAGACGAATCCACAAGCAACTGCGACTGCCTGTAGTGGTGAGACGAGGCGAGTGGGCATCACTCCACTGCAGTTTTTCGGTGTGATGTATGTGTACATACCGTGTCTTTTCATGTATTTGTTAAGGTCAACAGTGACAGTAAACACAATTAAAAAAACTTTGGCGATTGAGTCTCTATTGAGCTTCCTCCATACATCCAGGATTGTATTCAGCCATACGCTCCACGAAGTTGATTCAGCCACACTCTACTGAGATCTACCAATTGTGCCCTAGTCCGCGTACTGTGCTCCAGGCTTCGAACTTAGTTCTCTATTTGGGCTAACCATCGAACAAAGACGTGCACTGTATCGCTCGCTTTCAGATGCGCTTCTGTGACCGTCTGGAATGTTCCTTCATATATTATGCATCCACTAGAGCTATGCACTTTTAAATCTAGATTGAAAACCATATAACTCTTTTTTGTGTTTAATTTGTTGTCCTTCCCACGCGCCTCCGATTATCAAGGTTGGCTTTGTACGGTACAAAAGAACCTCAACATCCAGGCATATTCTGTCACCTTAGTCTTTCTCTCCACGGCTACTTCTCACGTATTCCTTCCTCCATTTTACATGCACGGTGCTCTGAGATCCGTTGTTTAAGGGTGCTTGATAAATGTAAATCATTATTATTCCCTTGTAAGCTGTGCTTATAATTATTGTTTGGGTGGTTTGTATATGATTTACCAAGGAATATGAGTTGGGTAGGGATGGAAGGGGGCACGGGGGTTAGCTGACTGGCCTCTTTCAGCAACATTGAGACTGACAGCTTTGCTCTTGCATCGTCTTAATGAAGTGCAATTAGTCTTTTCATTGGATTGATACCCCTTTCAACAGTTAGTCAAATGTAAACATGTTGTGATGAGTAAGCCTGGACTTCTGAATAAGCCCTTTTTAGGCAAAATACGTTTGTAGACAAAGGGCCTTCACAATAACTGCATCTTGCATTCCTGCAAATGGGGCTATGTGGACTGGCAACTGATGCTTTAAAATAACATGCAGTATCTCAAATTTGTAGACACAAGGGGCATCAGACTTTTTCTACCCCACATATATGACCCACAGTATGACATACACACATACACAGACTACGGATTCACATTTAACCTGTATATGTCTGTAAAGGCATCAAGTCTTGCATTGAGATCAGGATGCTTGTTGGTTCTGAGCCTCAAGACAGTCCTTGTCTCTGCCTGTTTTTTGAGAAAATGACTCTATGAAGTTGGACGAGCCACGCGTGGTCACGGGAGGGAAGCTGTGTCCCACTGACCAAGTCACTGAACGTTTCTTATCTACAGCACCTGCTCCGACAGAAGCAGCCTTAGTGCAATTGATAAACCAGCAGGCTGTTACCACCACTCACCTCCTGAGGGTCCATGATACAGAAGTGGTAGAGGAATGGGTCGATGTAGAGGCTTGTGGCAGCAGGCAAATAGTAAGCCCTGCACAACGAAACAACTTGGTGGTAGCTTGACGAGCCTGCGGTTTGAGTCGAGGGGTTGACAGCGACGGTGTAGACTATGGTGGCAATCAAATCCAAGATGGCAAGAAATGAATTTACGATGATAATGGTCAAGTAGAACTTCTGACTTCTCATGCTTTGAGATTTAGAAAGACTGAGAAGGAACAAAATGCCCACTATTAAGATGGTGATAGCTGCCATGGCCATCATGAATCCCTGGGCCCCTCTGGCAAAAGCGAACATGTGGTACATGCCGAAGTGGCCATAGTTAGACTGTCCGTACAATGGGTAGTTACCCCCAATGTTACCCCCAATTGCGTAGTTGACATCCCAAGGCAGCGTGGAGGCCACGCATGCAAAAATTCCAGCGCTGAGAATTAAGACCAGGATGTGGAAGATCCGTACAAGGCGTGGAGGAGAGCGCCATGACTTGAAGTCGATTATATCCTCAGGATACTCACTCCCAACATAGAAGGATCCAGGAGGCACCGTTCCAGACAAAACAGACTGTGGGTATCCTGAGCCACGTCGTGAGTACATGGAACGAGCCACTCCTGACACCACGGACTGGGAGCGGTTGTAGTTTGGCCCCCGCCCTGATCTAATGGAGCGGGCGTAGCCAGCAGACTGCCCTGATGACCCAGCAGGAAATGCTGTGACCAGTTGTGTTGAAGGACGGTGTGAGTTCGTGTATGACGGTGGTCCGTAACCAGGCTCTCTGTTATATCCGGCCATCGTGACAGTTGAATGCGTCACTTCCAATCTGGAATGAAAAAAATGTCAATAAACAACTCACTCAATGACGTTCCATATACAGTAGATCGAGGATATCCGACGTGTGGTTCGCGGACCCCTAAGTATTAATTAGGTATTAATTTTATTTTAAGGCCTCCTTCATGCAGGAAAGCTGGTTGGTCAGGAGCATTTCAATCAACCCATTCCGCTGTTTGTGCTGCGTTGTATGTCTGGTAAGGGTGCCTGATTGTGGCTCCTCGATCTAAACAAAAATTATTGCTGTAGTTTATGATGGCAACACAATTTAGTATTCTGCAAATTACCACAAAGAAAAACGATTTAATTCACTGATTAGCTAAGATGTAAATGTAGCAAGCTATGCATAGTTTGCTTGTTATGTAGACTAAAAAGCAGACAATAACTTAAATTACGTTAACAAGGAGTCAAGAGTTGTGCTGGGAATGGCTTAAAGTGCATTGCAATTTGTTGCTTTTCATAATGGCTTTAAATGGTAGCATCACTGTTCATAAAAATGGTTGCTACTCAATGTTTACCAACATGAATGCTCCAATTTCAATTCAAAACAACCCTGATGTCAACTTTAAATATATATTAATCCCATCATTTTCAGGACCCCAAAGTATAAATTGTGATCTATAACTTCAGGTCAATCTAATCTTCTGCCCTCTTTTTTCTGTGAAGAAAGGGGCATTGCCCAAAATATCATCCTGCTACAAATGTATCTGTGCAGGGCATTGACGATAACACACGTGGTGACTTGTGATCTTCATTCAGGTCCTCCTAGGGGACTCAAATGTGCAGTTTGTTCTTAAAATAGTCATCAGGCACTGAGCTGTGGGTTGGTGTTCTGGGTAAATTTGATTCTGGATGTAGAGCTATGGGTAAATTTCAACCTACATGTAAATAGATAACATTTACACATCCCATCAGCCACATGGCCAAATGAGAGTGGCTAATAGCAGCAGCATTTATTATTCTGTTGTTTCTAAGTGTAATAAGTGGCTCCGACACGACATAACTTTATTTATTAAAGGTTCTTCACAGCCGCGACTCCTCTCGTTACGCAGATGCCGCCGTTCCTTTCTTGGCGTGACTGCGCTGCCCCGCGCCACGTGGCGCTCACCCCGATCTCCACCGAACCGCTGGCTGGCGGCGCACTGGGGAGCGGCTGAGCGGCTGGAGGTCGAGCTGCCACGTGGCTGGTGGAGATGGTGGGGCAGCAGCGACGGGGAGCTCCTCTTCGATCTTCAACAACCGACCCCAAACCGTCCGCTACTCCCCACTTATATTCCCTTTTCCGTGGCTAAGCCCCGCATCTGGCCACGCCCCTCTAGGAACCTTCGAGAACGTTCCAGAGGCTTCCATGCTAGCTCCGCCCATTAACCTTTCCCCCAGATAGAACCCCACCACTAATAAGGCATGGACTGTCTGTCAGTATATAAAGTGAAACCCCTCAATTATGCAGGAGATGGCGCTCGCTTATTACATCACCCCCCCCCCCCCCCGGTGGTGAAAAAATCTAGCCGTCCCGGCTAAGTAAGGAATATCAAGTAATATGGAGCGCCAGAAAAGGTAAACAAGTGACCAACAACAAGATAACGGAAAGCAGAGACCCGACACGCAGGTAAGCAGACATGAGTTCCTCAGGAGAAATGCAACGTCTTGGAGCGTGTCCGTGTAGCCAGGCCATCCGCCTGAGCCGGAATCGACGCGGACGCTCCTGCAGCCGGCAGCAGTGGGTCAGGAGGGGGCGGCACGGCCGGGTCCAACGCAGGTGGGCATGGCAGAACAGGGTCATCCGCCGATCCTGACGCCTCACTCATGGGCGCTGTGGGCGGTAAAGACAACTTCGGAGGATCACCTTGCACAGGGGCCGCAGGTCGGTTGGACACGTCAGGCACCGGGAGACCGATTGCTGGAGATGATGATGACCCAACGGGAGCAAGAAATGGTTTCAAGCACGACGGGTGAACGAACCAACGACAGCGGCCGTGACAGATACGAACACACTGCGGACGCAAAACCTCAACAATTTTTACAGGGACTTGCCATGGTTTGTGGAGCTGGGGCGAGGTGTCAACGGCCACTTGTGGGCAGTGAAGCCATGCCTTATCACTAACAGACCATGGCATGTCACCCTTGGACCTCCGAGCACAACGTTCATTGCGCGCCTGGGTCCTGGAGGTATTAAATTTTGTGGCTTCCCGTGGCTCAGAAATCCGTCGAAGGGACTCCTGGACATGCTCAGGAAGAGTCGTTTTTAGTAGCACGACTGGGAAACCCAATTGGACATCCACCGGCGGCACGTTCTCTCTCCCATACATGAGGAAAAATGGCGAGTACCCCGTGGATGTGTGTGGCGCCATCCGGTACACAGAGAGGACGCTAGGTATCTGCAAATCCCAGACGACCTGCCTCTCATTGACCGTTTGGCACAGCATGGCGTAAAAGGGTGCGATTCAGTCGCTCAACCATACCGTCCGTCTGAGGATGGTAGGGAGATGTACTAATCTTCCTGGTCCCCAAGGCATCGCAAACGTCATGCAACAACTTCGAAGAAAAGTTTCTACCCTGATTGGTGAGTAACTTTTCCGGCGTCCCTTTATCCATCACGTAACCGTTCACGAAAGCGTCCACAATGGACAAAGCCAATTGATCTGGCAGGGACCAAGCCACAGGCCAACGAGAAAAATATTCAACGCCCATGAGGAGAAATTTGTTCCCGCGAGGTGTTACAGGAAACGGTCCTAACACATCGAGGGAAACCAACTCATTAATGCGTGTGACCGAAATGGATTGCAAGGGCGGAATGTAGTGTTGCCGGGACGATTTTCTCCTAGCGCAATCGGGGCATGATCGGAGTGCACAAAGGACGTCTGACATCATACCAGGCCAAAAATAATCCCTCTGCAGGGTGAGCAACGTTTTCTAGCCACCAAAATTGAAAAGGTACTCACTATGCAACGTACAAATCGACGCCGCAGGGAGAGACTCCGGCACAACCAGCCGAAGCCGGCCAGATATCTCATCCTGCCCCATCAACAAGCTCTCATGAACCAGGAATCGACCTTCCTTGACTGGATTCAAATTACCCACGGTCGGCACGGGCCGTCGCCGCAAGGAAGTCAAGGAGTCGTCCGATAACTGCTTGCGTAACCATACCGAACGCGGAAGGCGCAATACGCAGTCGGCAGGCGGAACCCCTGTTTCGTCTGGAAGTGTCTCAACTGCGGACATGACTGATCGACGAGACACGTCGTGAGGAGTACAGCGGTTCGTACCGGAGCTGCAAGCACAGCGAGGCTCGTGTGACAACCGTGACAATGCGTCAGCATTAGCGTGACGGGCACCCTTCCAAAAAGTGACATCGAATGTGAATTTCTGCAAGCCCTCAAGCCAGCATGCCAACTGGCCACCTGGCTGCTCAATCTTTAATGAATACTGGAGAGCTGCGTGGTCAGTGCGGATAACGAATCTCCTTCCAATCTAGATTTGAAGTTTTCGTGACTGCAGGGATCCATACGCTGTGGTTCTTTCGGTAAAGTCACATAGGTATAAATTCAAATAAATGAATTTCTTTCCATATAATTACGGCCTAAACAATCGGACAAAATTAACGATCGCCAGCAACTCTCGTCGTGTAACACAGTAACGGGTTTCTGCCGGCGAGAACACCCAACTACCATAGGCGATAACACATTCGATGCCTCCCTTCATCTGCGACAGGACTGCACCGATACCCGTGTCACTCGCGTCGGTGTCAAGAATGAATGGCGATGAAAAATCAGGATAGTCGAGAGTAGGCACGTCGGACAACCGATCGCGTAAGGTATCGAACGCTGCCTCCTCCTCCAGTCCCCAGTCGAATCGCTGATTTTTAGCAGTGAGGGCATGCAACGGTTTGGCGATAGAAGCAAACCGAGGAATTAACCGGCGATAATAGGAGGCGAAGCCCATGAAGCTCCGTACATCTCCTACGCACACGGGGACCGGCCAGTCACGAACGCACGCCGTTTTCGTAGGATCGGTAGAGATACCTTCCACACTGACTATGTGGCCCAAATATCGTATGGAAGTTTGTAAGAGGTGACATTTTTTCGGCTTGAATTTGAGGTTCGCCGAGCACATCCGCTCGAAAACGGTGCCAAGCCGAAGGAGGTGGTCATTGAACGAACGGCTGAACACAATCACATCGTCCAAAAAGATCAAGCACATGTCCCATTGGAGACCGGCCAGGACGATGTCCATCAGCCATTGGAACGTGGCAGGAGCAACGTTCAACCCCATCGGTAAACAATTTAATTGAAAAAGGCCCTTTGGTGTTCGGACGTGGTTTTCTGCCTCGAAGACTTGTCAAGGGGCAGTTGCCAAAACCCGGACGACAAATCAAGAGTTGAGAAAAACCACGCTCCGGACAAGGCATCCAAGAAATCGTCCATCCGTGGCAGAGAGTACGCGTCTGCCACAGAGACCTTATTCAACCTCCGAAAATCAACACAAAAACGGAGGTTCCCATCCTTCTTCTTCACCAAAACAACCGGAGCGCCGCATGGGCTAGTAGAAGGTGAAACTATGTTAGCGGCCAACATTTTGTCAACAGCACGCCGCACGATCTCTTTCTCTGACAGGCTCATGCGATGTGGGTTTCGGCGAATGGGGCTAGCGTCACCCATATCGATGTGATGAGACAACAAGGGCGTTCGACCCAAGTCGAAATCGTCTTTACTGAAAACATCGGAAAATTCCGACAACAACCTGCGCAATTCGCTACGCTGAGCCGGAGACAGTGATGCGTTCTCGTTACACAACTCGGCGATCCATCGATCGTCTGAAGGATACGTTTTCCCAACAGCGCATACATTCCGACCCGACGTGCGCTCCTCGCGATCGGTTAAAGCGGTGGTGGCATGAGCCAGAACAGTACCGGTGAGCACAACAACATCGCCAGGTCCCCCATTCATAACCTGCAGAAACGGAGCCTGACCCGTGCGGAGGATGGTCTGAGCACAGGCCAGCATCAAACTCCGCGTAGCAGTATTCGAAAGTGTCAACAAGACACCATTACCCACGCTTTTACAACACATTTCTTTGCGATAACGGAGCGGAATCAACATTTGAGAACCTGCCGGAACAGTGACAGTGGCTTCCACCAGCACCTGAACCAATACGGCCGATGCCGGCCGAGGGAGCGGCGACGACAAATAACACACCTTGCGACCCGAAGGCAGCTCAAGGCAGCCTTGGTCGACGAGAATCTTCCTTGCCATTCGTAACAGAAAATCCGTGCACAACAAACATGGCACAGCCAACGTGCGTGAGATCAATACAGGATCCGACGCCTGGACATTGCCTATGGCGATACGTGCGTCAACCTGACCAATGATATCCATACTACCCCCGTTGGCAGCGACACACACATCGTACACCGGACGGTTGCACGACACGGGGAACAACCCTCCGTGCCAATTTTTTCCATTGAGTCTGTGAGGTCGGCCACCCCTTCGTGACAGTACCCGAGCAAGGAACATCACGCGAAACACCCTGATGTGATGGACCCTTCCGAACGACATGAGATGGATGAGGTGGTGAACGTGCCTGGGTGCCCGACATGTGCCAACTTGCCTGTGTGGAGGGAAGTGAAGGCAGTCGGTCGGCCGCAGGAGATGTGGTCGGCAATCCGGACGGCGATGCTGGACGAGCTCGGCACTCCCAGGAGTAGTGGCCCACGCAGCCACATCTGCAGCATGTGATGGGAGGCCGCTGGTGCAGCAGATCGCCGTCCCACCGCGGTCGGTAGATGCTCTGCCGACGCCGACCATCCCTCCGTCGCTGGTTCCACGGGGGAACCGCCGCTGCGACGTCCCCTTCTGACGGCACCTCCTTGGGTATGACCACCACTTTGGATGGACTCCAGCCGATCGGTTGACCATCACGAGCCGGATCCCCGGCCCATGTGGCCATCTGTGCCCATCTCTTCAACTTCTCGTGTGCGTTCAAGCAGCGCGTGGCCCACAGAGATGTTTGCGATTCGTGACCGCATGTGGGAAGGACGACTCCCATGTCCCTCACCAGCGCCAACATGCGTTCTATCACCAAAGGGTCCAAAATCTCTTGTTTCACGTCAGGGTAGGCATCGACTGCCAACACCATCAAGGCGCTTCTGTAGGCGAGGAGCGACTCGGAGCTCCCACGCCTACGGTGCTGAAATTTTCGTGTTCTGTCGTCTGGCGGTTCATAGACTTCCGCCATTTTAGCAAACACTTCTTTGAGCGTCTTCTTCTCTGGGGGGATCGAACGAAAAACGGCCAACACATCGTCGTCCAGCATGGTGGGCAAGGCAATCAACGCCTCTTCCTCCGACCAGTGGACCGACTAGTAGGCAGCCTCAAAGCGCCACCTGAAGGCACTCCAATCACCCCCAGCGGCCACGAACTCTCAAACTTGGGGCAGGCATCGAACCCGATCGGCACTCTCCTTCGCAGTAGGTGTCGCGATATTCGGTGACCCGCCACGCGGTAGCGTCAAAATGGCGGCTGCCCCACCGCTCACCTCCGCGATGTCCAAATTGGCGGCTGGGAGATGCATGGTCACCAAGGACTGTGAAATGGCGGCCGTCTCCACCCTGCCCGGGATGGCGGCCGTTTCAGCCAAGGGGGGACACTCCGAGGTGCCGTCGCCGGCCCTCTGCTCATCCACCCCCGGATGGTCCACCACCGGACCTCCTCCAGTGGTGATCGGCGTGACGAGAGCGACGAGGTGGAGGAGCGCTGTCGTCAAAGCGCTCAGCTGCGTCTCCACCCTCCGCCACAGGTCGTCAGGGTGAAGCTGATGTGGAAGCTCTGCCGCGCCATCTGCTGCAGGTGCGACATCCGCACCCGCCGTGGGCTCCATAACCGGGACCATGGGACCCGGGGTCGGCAGGAGCTGCGTCGCCGCTTCGTCGTCGTCGTCGGAGGACACCGTAGGTGTATTGTTCTTTTTCTGGTGCTTGGACATCGTGTCTTCCGTAGAGCACCGCCAGAAAAAGTCCACTATCTGACACGACTATAACAAGTGGCTCCGACATGGCAGAACGTTATTAATTAAAGGTTCTTCACAGCCAGGACTCCTCTCGTTACGCGGATGCTGCCGTTCCTTTCTTGGCGTGACTGCGCTGCCCCGCGCCACGTGGCGCTCACCCCGATCTGCACCGCACCGCTGGCTGGCGGCACGTTGGGGAACGGCTGAGCGGCTGGAGGTCGAGCTGCCACGTGGCTGATGGAGATGGCGGGGCAGCAGCAAAGGGGAGCTCCTCTTCGATCTTCAACCACCGACCCCGAACCGTCCGCTACTCCACGCTTATATTCCCTTTTCCGAGGCTAAGCCCCGCCTCTGGCCACGCCCCTCTAGGAACCTTCGAGAACGTTCCAGAGGCTTCCATGCTAGCTCCGCCCATTAACCTTTCCCCCAAATAGATCCCCACCACTAATAAGGCATGGACTGTCTGCCAGTATATAAAGTGAAACCTCTCAATTATGCAGGAGATGGCGCCCGCTTATTACATAAGTATGGCTCTTAATCGGGATTCTGCTAAAGCCCCATTATAAACAACTGTGGGCCCTACCATCAACAAATGACCGAAGTCTACCTCTGTCCCTAACCAGGGTTCACTACAGGGTCCGAGTCATGATCTCGCTTTGATCACTAACATAGGGACTGTACGATAGAACAAACCGCTGCACAGAGCCGAATACTTGCACACTGCTGTGCCATGTTTAATTCTGACATTCAAACACCACGAGCGCGTTCTGTTCAACCACGGACCTATGCATGAAAGCATGTCCAACATCTGACACCTGAGCAACAATGTCATGATTTTCTGAAGAAGAAAAGTTTTCCAGCAATATGGATGATGCCGTGGGGTAATCTTGAACACATTGAACTTACAAACTAGAGGTTGTTGGTTCTATTCGGGGGTTGCACATTGGAGATGCTTCATAACTTCCCCCCACCACAGCCTCTGTCCAATCAGTCGGTCGCACGTGGTGGGGGGTAACGTGTGGGTACTCCCAAAATACAATCGAGAGAGGCTTCTCTGGAGGAGAGATCTCCCGAGTGGTCACCTAATATACTCGTGGAAACATACTGCAATTTAATTGTTGAGAAAATATAAACCATTTAAAAGTATAAGGTGTGTCAGAAGTAATCATTACTGTGGAAAATACATTACACAACACTTGAGAATATTTGACACGTACATCACATTTACGCTGACTTCGGTTTTCTTACTGCGCGCATGGACATGGCCGAGTTGTCGTGTGACATGTTCAACACAAGGTCTATGAACTCAAAAGCAATTGCCACGCTTGCGCAAATATAGAACTACCACGCGAAAAAGTTATATCTTGGACTTGCCATTTGTTCCACCTCACAACAATTCACAAATCGCCTCCATGTCTCACCTACAGAGCTATTTGTGTAATAAGTAAACAAAAAGGAGTTTCCTCCGCTTAGTGCCTCTGTCGAGCATAGAGCTTGGTGACCTCACGTCGGTGGCTTTTTGGTCAATCACTGACTCTACATATGGCCAGGATACATGAATTAGCTTCCAGTCGAAGAGGCTTTGCTGAGTCTACCAGAAACACACCACTGCCTCCATTGTGCCACGCGAGTGTTACATTGACCGTACGTGAATTCCACGAGTGTTATAAACGTTCGTGTATACATGTCAACATTACCACTACTTTTCACAACTCCCGTGATACAACCCGAGACAATGATGACACCATACTTTGGTCACATCTCTTTTTCAATAAATTAACATGAACAGATGCACATTACCGAAACATCGGATTGCAGTACAGTACTTACGTTAATCTCTTCACAAATGAGAAACAATGTTCGCTTAGAGTTAATTATTTACTCACAGATTAGCTGAGCTTAAGCCAATGATTTACTTGAGTTGTACGTTTGCCACACAGGGACACGCACCTGGACCATTTGCGTCAATGCACAAATTAACTTTGCCTACACCTCCACTGGAGGGATCTGGCTTCCAGGGATGAAAGAATTGTTCCCGGCTGGTACTGCGCTCATCCTTAGCGATGTGGTGCGTTATTCGTTTTTGCAACCAACGTGGTACAACTTGGTTGAACTGTAGTAACTGCATTTGTAAACATGTTTACACAAGTTGATTGTTATTGTTGATAACAATTTCCCTGTATCATGACCGCCAAAATTAATATTTTAAACTGCATGCTAGCCTGGATAATCATGAAATCAACAGTGCGTGCACACATTTTTCACAGGCAAAGCAGCTCCCGATGACCTGCGTCTCTCTTCTGCATCAGAGTTGGCACGACTGTCACTGCAGGAGCAGCAAAGACTCCATCTGATGACAGCTGATGCTACCATCTATTCCCATCTTTTTATTATTGTGGCACCATCGACCGCCTAACGTCCGAATCTACCTTAAAACGTCTCGTTCCATCTTGATTTGAAGCTTTCGTGACTGCAGGAATCCATACTCTTTGGTTCTTTCGGTAAAGTGACGGAGGTAGAAATAAAATAAAACAAATCACGACGTTTCGATCGCAACACAAGCAATCCTCATCAGGTGGTTCAACCACAGCAAGAAAATGCTGAAGTCAGCGGGAGAGCTGCCGTGGCAAGAAGTTATATCGGTAAGACAGGGGGGAGAGAGGGGGGGGGCAGGGCTAGAAGTGGGAAGTTGGAGAAGAACATCAAAATGTGCTAGTAAACCGGCAGGTACGATGGAAAGAACAACAACCAGTTGATAACATCCTTCCAATGATTGTTCAATTTGTATCCATCTTCTCAGTTGAAGTTTTGTCTATGTTTTTATATCTGGATGGCTTCATGAACAAACCTTTGATTGTTGCCCGAAGGTTTGCAGAGTACCTTGGTCTCGGAAAAAACAATATCATGCGAGCCCACAGCATTATAACAATGGTCAGCTACGGCAGAGGTATTGGTTCTGCCATGTTTCAGATCTGCCTTGTGTTTGCGAACACGGTCCGAGACATGTCGTTTCGTTTCTCCAATGTAACTGCTACCGCAGGTACAACTCAGTTTGTAGACTCCAGGGTATTGCATTTCAGGAATGACCTCCTTCACAGATGAGATTAGATAACGGATTTTGTGTACTGTATTGAATCGGACCTGGAATCTTGTGTTTGTTTAAGATTTTGGAAATATTTTGGTAACACCTGCTATGTATGGTTAAGTGATGGTTTTGATTGGTTTCCCAGGAGATTGTTTCTCCATGGTTGGAGAAACAGCTTTGCGAATAATGCAGTCCGAGTACCCATTCATCTTGAGGGCTTGGTGTACGTGTACCTGTTCACTGGCTAGGTGGTGTTGGTCGGAGATGCAGCGGGCCCTATGGTGTAGTGTTTTGATGAGGGAATTCTTCTGGGCCGGATGGTGGTGGGAATCAGGTGGGTGGCTTTCCTGTGGACAGTGTGACCCAACGAGCCGTCAGGCCTTTTCTCAAACAGAACATACAGGAATGGTAGCTTACCATCCTTCTCCACTTCCATGGTGAATTTGATGGATGGGTGTATGGAATTGATGTGGTTGAGAAATTGGTTCAATGCTGGCAGGCCATGTGGCAAAATGATGAAAGTGTCATCTACGTATCTCTTCCACAAGGAAGGACGTAGGGTGGATGTCTGGATGGCATCTGTTTCAAATTTATCCATGAACACATTCGCTATCACTGGTGATAAGGGAGAACCCATGGGGGTACCTTAATTTTGTTTGTAGAAAGTACCCTTCCAGGTGAAGTAAGTGTTGGTAAGGCAGTGCCTAACCAAAGTTGATACATCAGGATTCAGTCCATGTTGGACCAAGTCTTCAATTATTGCTAAGGTGTCAGGTACAGGAATCTTGGTGAACAGAGAGACTACATCAAATATGACAAGCAAATCATCTGGACAGTGAGATGCCCTTGATTCAAAAGACCAAGTCAGCTGAGTTACGTACTACTGAGGTAGTCTCGCCCGTGAATGGAAGCAAGGTCTCAGACAGTTTGTAGGTAGGTGAGTTGATAGTGGAAATGATGGGCCGAAGTGGAGTACCTCCTTTATGGATTTTTGGAAGACCATAGAATATGGGTGGTCGAGCAGCAGAAGGTTTTCGGGAGAGCCGCTTGAATGGTTTGATTAGAGAATTCTAGATTCGAAGTTTTCGTGACTGCAAGGATCCATACTTTTTGTTTTTTTCGGTAAAGTCACATAGGTTAAAAGAAAACAAATAAATTAAATCACGACGTTTCGGAGGCAACACAAAATTCTGTTTTCAGGTGGAACCGTCACAGCAAAATGACTGTATCGAGTGAAGAGAGCTCTAAAGAGACACGACCTTATATACTGGTTAAGGAGAGGAGGCAGGATGGGCCGTGGGGGGGGTAAGCTCGTGAGAACACGCCTGCCGCTGCAGCTGCGGACACGCCTGGAGCTTTGTGATGGAGATGGCGGAAGTAGATAAGCAAGCGAGGATTAAGCCGCCTTTTGTTATGCTCGTCGGTGGGTTATAT